TCGCATGTCTAAGTCAGTGGTGGAAATTCCACGATGCTGCGACGGAGACCCTGCTTATTAATCATGTGGGTGGAGTTATACAACCATCAAAGCGCATGCAGCACTCCATTGGAAGCTCCTTGCCAGTAGCAAAATATGATGATTGTTTTTTTACCCTTTTATCTGGCAACAAAACTGACACGTTTTTTTTACAAGGAGTCATGTTTGCATTGACCACAATACCTGCGGTCGGAATGCCAAAAAACACAACTCTGATAATGTATGCACTGTCCTTGAAATTGATTGGTCCACACCCGAGACAGCTTTTCTTAGAGCCTAGTCTCACATGGTTTTGGACCAGATGACGCCAAAAGGCGCACAACTCAAATGGTGTATCGAGTCTGTTAAAAGTTAGCAAGCTTGGACGAAGGGATGATGGGGGCTGGCAATGACCGAGTGGCAGCCGAGAGAGGGAATGCTGCCGAGAAAGTCGTCCACCGCTGAGATGGAGCAATATTATATAAATTATATCATTTTAATCGCAGCGGCTTTGACGAGCCATTGGACAAAGAGGTCACCGCATCGCGCACTGTCAGATGCCCTGCTGCGGCCGTCTGGAACGCTCTTCCTTCCGATATTAGGAAGCCACTGGAGCTATGCACTCTTAATTCATCTATTTTGAAAACTCTCTTTTTTCGAACTGCTTTTTGTGTTTCGTTTGTTGTCCTTCCCCGGTACCACCGATTAGCACGGTTGGCTACGTACGGTGCGAAAGAAGTTCAACATACATACATAAAATCGGATCGTGTGCAGGCGGCACTGGGGTAGATTATTGAATCATTGAATCGCGGGGTCGCGAAAGATGACGACAGCTTGGCAATGCCTTCATCTAGCAGTGGTTTGATCACGGATAATGATGACGACGACGACGACGATGTCGATGATGAGGATGACACGCGCTCGTGCAGTAGCACGGCTTTGAGAGGCGCACTGAAGGAGCGCTGGCAGGAGACAGCTGTCGCCAGCTGTGATTAGCTTTGGCGAGGGTCTCGCCGTGCGCACTGGCCGCTGGGGAATATTGACAGCCAATTGCAGCCCGTGTGTGACCAGACATTGAAGGGGGTCATCTGAGCAAATGGGATTAACGGGATTATGATCCCAGCGCCCCTACCCCGGCAGTGCCCTCTGGACAATTCACGTGGCACCACGCGGTAATCCCGGATTTGCGAAGCTCCACCAGCCGCCTCCGATGCGGTGTTGCCGTTTGCAGTTGGGCAGGAGCGGTGGCGCAGTGGTTAGCGCGCCGCGCCAACGAACCAGACTGAACTGAGTTCGATTCCAGCTCACGGCCGACATCAGTGACGAATGATCTAAAGCCGATGCTGGGTCTCCCCTAGGTCGACTCGGCCTCAAATGAGTACCTGGTGCGGTGTGTAAAACATCAGCACAGGGGCGACAAAGGCGGCCGGGCGTGGTGTTGGCCATCCAACCCCTCGTGTGCCGTTGCGGGCTTCAAAGTGTCTATGTGTCTGTGTATTTGTGCCTCTGTATTTGCATGTCGCGGAAATGTACACGAGATTGTGCGTGTACATGTCTGCGTGCGTGTTTATGTGTGTGCGATTTTGATAAGTGTGTGCGCGCCTATGTGTGAGGCTGTGTGTTTGTGCGGTTTTGATGTGTCTGTGCGTGAGTGAGCACAAAATATAGCACGCTAAAACATTAATGGGCTCCCTTGGCTACGATGCAAAAATATCAACTCAACACATATCTCATTAGCGATAATTCTCTGCAATACAGCAGTGATAATGCCCAATGCTGTGGTGTGTTTTGATTTGTGTCCGTGCTTGTATGCTGTGTATGTGTGGGGAGCGGTGGCACGAAGGTTCGTGCACTCCGCGACGAGCTCGATTGTCGCTCACGGCCTACATCAGTGACGATTATCTGAACCATTCCTGGGCCTTCCCCTAGGTCGACTCAGCCTTAAATTAGAATGTGGTGTTGTGTGTTAAACATCGCCGAGGAGACAAAGACAGCCGGGAGTGGTCTTGTGTGTGAGTGTGTGTGTGTAATGGAGCATCTTCACCGGTTTGAAACATTTAGGCAAGCCTGCCTACGATCCATCCTGGGTTTAACCAGGCTGGATTGTGTGAGGAGCTCACAAATCCTTAAAAGATCTGGGCAAAGTCCCATCGGTGAGCTCCTCCGGCAGGCAAGGCTGCGTTGGCTGGGTCATGTAGCTGGCTGCTGGGGCGGCCCCGGGATGTGAGCCCAGCAGTTCCTTGCGAAGTGGCCCTTATGGCCACAGCGGAAGCACTCGACGTCGTTCCGACATGCGGCACCCCCTCTGTCCCGACGTTCCCGCGCCGGCGGCGCGGACCTTGGCCCCGTCCCCCCCCCCCAGGCCACTGGGCAGAGGCGGCCGTCAACTCCTGCGGTCCCTTGTCGTCAGGAACGTAGATCGCCTTCGTAGGATCCCACCCCGTAGCACCACCTTCAACGACGGGCCCCCCCGTCCAAGCCGACACCTGCTTCCAGCGTCGGAGATTAAATTGAGCGTCCAAGCACTTAGCCACAGCACGGGACGTCAATTTATCATGGCTGCACACCGGCATGGGGATCCCAAGGTCTCTAGATAATTCGAGCATCTTGCCCAACACGAGGGGCTCCAACAAATCGGGCTCCGTCTCGGGGTATGCCGCCATCGCCAGTTCCAGAACTGCGCCTCTGTAGGCCACCGGCGATTCATCAGGCGCCCGTTGGCGCTGAACAAATCTCCGATGGGCGTCGTCCGGAGCCTCGTACGCATCCGCCATCTCCTCGAAGACACCCTGCAGCATCTTCTTCTTGTCGGCCTTGATGGAGCGGAAAAACCGGACGGACTCGTCATCGAGAAGTGTTGGTAAGACTTCCAGGGCCTCGGCGTCCGTCCACATGGCGGAGCGTACGGCCGCTTGAAAACGGCAGGCGAATGCGCTCCAATCGCCGCCGATTGAAAATTCTTTGACCGTTGTTAAATGACGGCTGCGGGTTCTTGCTCCTCCGTCCTCCTCCGATGGTGACACGCGCGGCAGCGACAAGATGGTGTCGCTCCGCAATGTGTGCAAGATGGTGGCTTCCCGCGGCGGAGGGCGCAAGATGGCGGCTTCCCGCCGTTCTTCGTCGGCCACGCCCAAGATGGCGTCTTCGTGCTGCGTGGTCGGGAGGGCTGACGGCTCCGGCCCGTTGTTTCTCGCCGGGCCTCCCCGAAGTCGTCGCCGGCATGACGAGGACACACAATTGCGCCAGTATCGTCTTCAGCGCCTCTAGTTGCGCCGCCACCTGTCGCCATCCGTTGTCAGCGTCCAGTCGCGTGGATGGGCCCACCGAGGCAGCCATGTCCTGCACGGCTGGAACCCCGCTCGTCCCCGCTCCGCTTTCCTCCTCCATCGTGGGTAGCGCCACCGCTGGAGGGAGGTCGTCGTCGGAAGATGTTGCCGAAGATGGTGCAGGGACGGTCTTCTTCCTGAGCTGTTTTGACATGCCGTTTCACTTCTGACACCAATGTAATAAGGGACTCTCTCTCAGATATCGATCTCCGTTGTCCTTTATTGGGTTCGTAGAATCTCCGTACCACGGCGTCTCGCTCAGGCCCGCGTCCCGCTCGACGACCTCTCCACAGCCCTCGGCTGCTCCGTTATGCAGTCTCCCTGCTGCTCCAATATGCAGTCTCCCTGCTGCCCCGTCAGGCAATCCTTGCAGCCGCACCGCTGCCCAGCTCTCTAGCGTCACTGCTGCCCCTTACACAGCTAGCCTCTCACTGCCCCGTTAGCTCTCTAGCGTCTGACACCGATGGCCGTCGGTGTCGACGTCTCCCACCGTGTGGCAACCGCGCCACACTCCCCGTCTTGCTCAGCGTGGCCTCCTCGTATTTCACTCCGTCTCAACTCCCCTTTCCCCTTTCGGTTCTCTCCTTAAATCCTCTCCCCCCACGTGACCCTAACTCCACCCACTTCCCACGTGACCCAGACTCCACCCCCCCTCAATCCTTGCTCGCATTACACATGTACTTGTTGGCGGTGCACCGGTCCACGGTTTTAAAGCAGCAACATTTTTGCAAACTAAATTGTTTTTATTTTATTTTCTCGCGAATCGCAACCACGGTCAGAACATCTTGCGGGGTGGTGGGGAGCGCATCGTCACTTCTCGTGATGTCCAAGCAGTCGGAAGACGAATCTTAAGAGCGGCTGAACACGAAGACGCGTCACAGTCTGGCTGCCGTATCGCAGCACCCAGCCTGGTGACGATTTGGCTGGCTCCGAGGTCCCACAGGCAGCGAGATTTGACTCCTCGTGCCCGAGGTTTGGTCGGACGGTTCCTCGATTCATTTCCAGAATTATTTCTTGGCGGACGGCGGCATCGACAGATTACGGCTCGCTCGAGTGTGAAGGCAGCTGCTGCATCGAAGGCGACTTCTGATGGAGAGTCTGCAGCTCATTCGAGGGCTACAGCGACATTGTCAAGACTATTTCATGAGGAGCCCGGTGTGTTATGCTGCACAGGTCTTAGGGGCCGTCCATAAATGACGTCACGCGATTCTGGACGATTTTTGACCCCCCCCCCCACCCTAGTCACACGGCGTCACAAAAAGTCAGACCCCCGCTGAAATATGACGTCACCAATATCTGCCCCCCCCCCAAAAAAAATATAAAACATGCTTCAAATCGCTTTAAACTATTGTCATTTTAGTGCGTATTTAATGTGCCGCTGCACTCTAGTGTTGTAGGAGAAAACATTTATAAAAAGTCGATTTAATTAAGTAGGACGTGTTGTCTATATTTATTTAAAGTTGCGCGTTTTGACGTGATGTCACATTTCTCAAACACCCCCCCCCCCTCGTCACACATCGTCACAAATGTCTGACCCCCCCCACCCCCCTAGGTGCGCGACGTCATTTATGGACGGCCCCTTACCGCCAATACGTCCATCTTCTGATGCTGATTCTGTGCCCGTGTTGTGTGTGTGTCACGTGTGTGTGTGCACAGGCGCGGACTGGTTCGACGTGGAGCTCGCGGTGACAGTGACGGACGTCAATGACAACGTCCCCGAGTGGCTCATGGAGCCCTTCCCCTTCCTGGGCGTCGTGGCGCCGGACGCGGCCCCGGGCACCGTCGTGTACCGCCTGGCGGCACGGGACGCCGACTCGGGGCCCAACGGGGAGGTCCGATACCAGCTCATCGGAGGTAGTGCCGACACGCCAAGAGCCCTGTTGAACGCGCCGACGTTGGGCCGACGTTGGGGCAACGTTGAGTGAACGTTGGGTGAACGTTGAGTGAACGTTGGGACAACGTTGGACCAACGTCGGGCCAACGTTGAGTGAACGTTGGGTGAACGTTGAACCAACGTTGGGCCAACGTTGAGTGAACGTTGGGTGAACGTTGGACCGACGTTGCTCCAACGTTGAGTGAACGTTGGGCCAACGTTGTTCCAACGTTGAGTGAACGTTTGGTACACGTTGGACCAACGTTGGGCCAACGTTGAGTGAACGTTTGGTGCACGTTGGACCAACGTTGGGCCAACGTTGAGTGAACGTTGGGTGAACGTTGGGCCAACGTTGAGTGAACGTTGGGTGAACGTTGGACCGTCAGGCCAACGTTGAGTGAACGTTGGTTGAACGTTGGGCCAATGTTGAGTGAACGTTGCGTGAACTTTGGAACAACGTTAGACCAACGTTGAGTGAATGTTAGGTGAACGTTGGTCCAACGTTGAGTGAACGTTGGGTGAACGTTGGACCAACGTTAGACCAACGTTAGACCAACGTTGAGTGAACGTTGTGTGAACGTTGGGCCAACGTTGGGCCAACGTTGGGCCAACGTTAGGCCAACGTTTGGCAAACGTTCCATATCCACTGGCAGCACCGCGTTGCACAGGCGCCATGCGCGGCCAGGGCTCTGATTGTCTGTGCGACCCCGCGACCCCGCGGTGTGCGCAGGCGGGGAGGGCCGCTTCGAGGTGGACGCGGAGTCGGGCGCCGTGCGCACCGTGGGCAGCGCGCCGCTGGCCCGCGAGCGGCCCTTCGTGCTCACGGTGCTGGCGAGCGACGCGCTGGGAGCGCAGGGCGCCTACGCCTCCCTGTCGGTGAGCTCGGCGCCGCGCGCCCCGCAGTTCGGCCGCCAGGCCTACGAGGTGGCCATCCCCGAGGGCACGGAGCCCAACCGCACGTGAGTCGCCGTCGTCGTCGGCGTCATCATCTTCGTCCTTGTCACGGTCATCATCACTGTCGTCGTCATTGTCGTCCTCGCTTAAGCAATCTTGTCATCGTAATCATCATTGCGACATCGTCATCATCGTCGTCGTCATTGGCAGCATCATCACGAGTACAATTGTCATCGACGTGATTGTGATCTTCATTATAATCATAATCAGCAGCAGCATCGGGATCATCATCGTTCGCATCAGAATTCGAGTTGTAATGCGTCGCGCGTGCGTGCCCGCGGCTGTCCGTGTGCGTGCGTGCCCGCGCGCGTGTGCAGGGTGCTGGTGGTGACGGCCCGCTCGTTCCAGGGGGGCCGCGTGTCCTTCTCGCTGCTGGGAAACCCGGCGGGGCTGCTGGCCGTGGCGCCGCGCACGGGGGAGCTGTCGCTGACGCGCGCCGTCGACTACGAGAGCGAGCAGCGGCGCTACCTCGGGGTCATCCGCGCCACCGAGGAAGCGCCCTCGGGGGGGCTGAGCAGCGAGGCGCAGGTCAGGTCCGGGGGTGCGGGCGGTGTCGCATTGAGCCTCGCAGCAACGGGCCACCTGGGTTCGATTCGCGACTCGGGCGACTTTGTGCGTCGAGTTTTGTTCGTTCTCCGACCGGTTCTGGCGCAGAGTGTGAGCGAGTGTGTGGAACCCCCTGTGTTCTGCAGAGTGTGAGTGTAGCAGTGTGAGTGTGTGTGAGTGAATGTGTGGAGTCTGTGTTTTCCCCCTGTGTTCTGCAGAGTGAGTGTATCAGTGTGAGTGTGTGTGAGTGAATGTGTGGAGTCTGTATGTGCTGTGTTCTACAGTGTGAGTGTAGCAGTGTGAGTGTGAGAATGTGTGGAGTCTGTGTGCTCTGTGTGTTCTGCAGAGTGTGTGAGTAGCAGTGTGAGTGTGTGTGAGTGAATGTGTGGAGTCTGTGTTTTCCCCCTGTGTTCTGCAGAGTGAGTGTATCAGTGTGAGTGTGTGTGAGTTAATGTGTGGAGTCTGTATGTGCTGTGTTCTACAGTGTGAGTGTAGCAGTGTGAGTGTGAGAATGTGTGGAGTCTGTGTGTTCTGTGTGTTCTGCAGAGTGTGAGTGTATCAGTGTGAGTGAGTGTGAGTGAATGTGTGGAATCTGTGTTCTGCAGAGTGTGAGTGTAGCAGTGTGAGTGTGTGTGAGTAAATGTGTGGAGTCTGTGTGTTATCCCCCTTTGTTCTGCAGAGTGTGAGTGTAGTCTAAATATTTTACGCTTCGGGTAATAACCCTGCTTTATAGAATGTATTGAGTTTTTTGTTTGATCATTGGGCTTGTGCACCACCGTCAACACGGCATCACTAAACAATTTATTTCACAATTATTAATATCAGCAGCAGCAACACAAACAGCAGAACCATCGGCAGAAAAACACAGCGATTCCCTGTATAGCCTGAGCGGACTGTAGGGGCAAGTGCTGTTAGCGAGCACCTATGAAGGCCGGCACGGCACACGAGGGGGTGGGTTGCCAGCACCACGCCAGGCCGCCTTTGCCTCCCCAGTGGCGATGTTTATACACCGCACCAGATACTCATTTGAGGCGGAGTAGATCTAGGGGAGGCCCAGGACTAGTTCACATAATTGTCACTGGTGGCCGTGAGCGGGAATTGAACTCTACAGATGGTGGCGCAGCACGCGAACTGCCACACGACGGCAGACAAAAAGAAATATACGTGGATGTACGTTTGTTGAACTTCTATCGCACCGTACGTAGGCAACCGTGCTAATCGGACATGCGGGAAACATCACCATCACAAGAGCGGCGACCACAGCAGTACAATCATCATCATCGTCGTCGTCGTCAGCTGACGAATCGCTGTTGAATCGTTAAGAGGGGGTGGTGGTGATTTTCTGTGCTCAGGTGACGGTGATCATCCTGGATGACAACGACTGCGTCCCGGAATTCCTGCACTCGACCTACAGCTACGAGGGCCTGGCCGAAGACGCGGAAATCGGGACGTTCGTCTTGCAGGGTGAGCGCCCTGCCGTCTGAGCTTCATAATTGGCCGTGTCGGAGTCGATGGTTCTGGAAACTCTGAGATCCTGCGGTTCAAACCCTGTCCCTCAAATGAGTACCTGGCACGGTGTGTAAACATCGCTGCTAGCGAGACAAAGGCGGCCGGGCGTGCTGCTGGCCACCCACCCCCCTTCGTGTGCCGTGCGAGCACTTGCCCTAACAGTCTGTGAAGGCTATACGGGGGTTCTTTGTCATAATGACCATGCCAAAACAGCGGAGATCCTGGGTTCTACATTAGATTGATCATAGAGCTTTAGCAACTTCGTGAATTTAATAATAAGTAATATTAAAAATGCGTGTTTAAAAACACGCTTTAATTAAATGTACCCTACTCGTAATGGCAGAACTCCACGACTCTAGGAAGTGGGCCCGAGGCTTGCCACAACGTCAGGGACCGTGGTGATTTACAGCCAACGTCAGTTTACTGTGGACAATTAGACCGAAGCCGAAACATAACCTCTAAAAAATAATGTTCTTGGTTCTTTCGGTAAAGTCACGTAGAAGGGAAATAATACAATAATATTAATATAAAACTATAAAAATTCTCACGACGTTTCGACTGCAACACAAGCAATCATCAGCAGGTGTTATTATTTTATTATTTCCCTTCTACGGGACTTTACCGAAAGAACCAAGAATATGAATCCCTGCAATCACGAAAGCTTTAAATCAAGAGAAAAAAATAATGTTTAAAAACATATATTTGTAATTTGTAATGATAGAATATAGTATTGTCATCAGTATGACATAAGTATACCAAGTTTGCAGTCGATACCATATTGGGAGGTGGGTTAAAATTGATTTACAATATTTGAGGATACAACAACAGAGTGAGTTAAATTTCAATTTAAAGCTTTCGTAACTGCAGGGATTCATCTTCTTGGTTCTTTCGGTAAAGTCACGTAGAAGGGAAGTAATAAAATAATAAAAATAAAACATAATAAAATAATTCTCACGACGTTTCGGCCACAACGCAGGTGAAGACCAGGTCTGTGAGAATTATTTTATTATGTTTTATTTTTATTATTTTATTACTTCCCTTCTACGTGACTTTACAGAAAGAACCAAGAAGAAGAGTGAGTTAAATAACCGTGTAAAAAAACGAAAGGGCAGGGAAGATGGTGTGGTTCTGACCCACCCCTACTCAACATCTGTGAAAAAAAGCTTCATAGCTCATCGGATTGCTCTAGTATGAATACATGTTCTGATTCTAATTCTGTTTTTATGCTCTGGTGGATTGGAGACTACGTTTCAAGTTTATTTTTCTTAACGAGGTCGTGAGAACCCAAGAGACATACGACGAGTAAAAATTTTAAGAGTCACCAAAATGATAAAATCAAAACGAGTAGAATTAATTACAGCAATGAACCAAATTTAAATCAGATTTTAACAAATGCGTTGTCACACGAGGAAGCGAAAATATTGCACGAAACACAAATCGATGTGAAATAAAACATTCCACGTGGTGTGAGTCGGCTCGGCAGGGTTATTTTTAGACCGATCACAGTACCACGACAAATGAGTTCACTCCGGCTCTGACTCCCACACTTGACGTGAGTCGACTCCACTGTCACCCTCTCTCTCTCCATGTGTCTGTGTCACCCCCCACTCCCTCCCCCTCTCATTCTCTCTCCACTCCATGCGTCTGTGTCTTTTTTTTTACGATCAGAGGAAACAAGAAGATGCTCGGTGTAGTCGGCACTTTGCTTCGTTCATCATCTCGTTTTTTTTAATGCTTTGCTTTATGTGCTCCCCCCCCCCTCCTTTTTAAATGCTCTGCTTTCCTTACCCCTTCCCTCTCTCTCTACCCCCTCTCTCTCTCTACCCCCCTTTCTCTCTACCCCCTCTCTCCCTACTCCATGTCTATGTTCCCCCTATGTTGTCTATGTAATATTTGTAATATTATTCATCCTTTTTTTTACGAAAAATGCTGCATCTGCTCTCTCCATGCGTCTGTGTCACCCACTCCCTTCCCCTCTCCCATCCCCCCCCCCCCCCGTGCCTCCGGCAGTGTCGGCGCGAGACTGCGACTCCGGCCTCAACGCGCTGCTCTCCTACTTCGTGGCGGGAGGCGGCGGGGGCGACTTCACGGTGTCTGCCGACGGCTCCGTGTCGGTGGCGCGGGCTCTGGACCACGAGCGCTCCCGCGGCGCCTACGAGTTCGCCGTGGCGGCCGTGGACCGGGGCCACCCACCCCGCACGGGCACCGCCGCCGTGCGCGTGCGCGTCGCCAACGTCAACGACGAGGCGCCGCGCTTCTCCCGGAGCACGTGCGTGTGTGTGCGTGCGTGCGCGCATGTGGGTGCGGGTGCGCATGTGTGTGCGCGTGTGTAAATTCGCACTTGCGAACCGATCCGCGGAACTATTCTGTTCAGCGGAGCGTTCCTCCATGAGATGTGATGAGTCGCAGCATTGCGCTGGGAGTGTGTGACATGCGTGTGTGTGTGTACAGATCGGTAGTGCAATGGTTAGCGCACTGCGCTACGAACCCGGCGATTCCTGCTCACGGCCAACACCAGTGACGATTATCTGAACCGGTCCTGGACCTTCCCTAGATGGACTCAGCCTCAAATGAGTACCTGGTGTGGTGCTAGTTCCCCCTTCCCCCCCCCCCCGCCTCGTGTGCTGTGCCGCCCTTCATAGGTGCTCGTTAACAGCACTTGTCCCAACAGTCTAAGGCTTACGGGAGATCTTTGTCTCTATGTGTTCATGTCAATTCGTGCGTGCGTGCGCAGCTTCTGTTTGGCCGGATAGAGGGAGCTCAACGGGATGGGGAGCTGAATGGACTTGCTGATGATCAGTAGCAGCGCTGTCAAGATCGCCCTCTTGACAGCGCTGCTTGGGCTCGATGCGTGTCGCTGAGCGAAGGGCCCCACGCGTGTCGCTGCGCCAGGTACCAGGCGCTCATCTCGGAGGAGGCGGGGCCGCACGCGCTCGTGGGCTCGGTGCTCGCGATCGACCCCGACGGGGACGCCGTCTCCTACGCAATCGCCAGCGGCAACGAGGACGGCAACTTTCTCATCGACCCACACGAAGGCACGCTCACTCACTCGCTCGCTCACTCGGTCACTCGCTCGCTCACTCGCTCACTCACTCAGTCACTCGCTCACTCGCTCGCTCACTCGCTCGCTCGCTCAGTCACTCGCTCGCTCGCTCAGTCACTCGCTCGCTCACTCGCTCAGTCACTCGCTCGCTCGCTCAGTCACTCGATAACTGTTTTACTCACGAACGCGTTCAATCATTCGATCACTAATTTTCTCAGCGCACTCACTCATACATTTGCGCAGCAACGTATGAATTCGTTCGTTAATTCGCTCACTCGGTCGCTCACGCACTCGCTCACGCTGATGATTCAGCAGCTGCTGCTGATGGTGATATTTGTAATGCTGCTGCTGCCTATAATGGTGATGCTGCTGCTCCTGCTGCCGCAGGCATCATCCGCTTGCGCTCCTCGCCGCCGCCGCGCCTGCTTGGCCCCTCGTACACGCTGGGGGTCACGGCGACGGACGACAACGCGTCGGGTGGCGCGGGGCCCCTGCGCGGAGACGCCACGGTCATCGTCACCGTCCGCGACGTCAACAACAACAAGCCCCACTTCGCCGAGGTGGCGCACCCCCCGACCCCCCCTCTCTCCCCACCCCCTCTCCCCACCCCCTCTCCCCACCCCTCCTTCCACCCCCCCTCCCACCCCCCTCCTACCCCCCCTTTACCCCCCCTCCCACGCCCCTCCCACCCCCCTTCTACCCCCCTCCCACCTCCCCCCCCCTCCCACCCCCCTCCCACCCTCCTCTCATCCCCCCTCCCACCCCCCCTTCCACCCCCCCTCCCACCCCCCTCCCCACCCCCCCTTCCACCCCCCCTCCCACCCCCCTCCCCACCCCCCCTTCCACCCCCCTCCCACCCCCTCCCCACCCCCTGGCCACCCACCCCCTCATGTGCCGTTCCAATCTAAATAGGTGCTCGCCAACAGCACTTGCCCCAACAGTCTGTTGAGAATACACGGGGGATCTTTACCTTTGCGTGCAGTGTGCCCGCTACAGCGAGCTCGCCGTGGTTGCCGAGAACCTCCCGGCGGGCCAGGCAGGTCGTGCAGGTTGAGGCTCACGACGCTGATGAGGGCGACAATGGGAGAGTCCGCTACGGGCTCATCCAGCGGGCGGATGCCTCGCCGGCTCTGCACATCCACCCCGAGAGCGGTGAGGCCTCGCCCGCACCCGGGATCCAACCCATCCCGCAGAGCTGCCCTGCCGGGTGTGGTCGCTTGCAGCGCGAGGTCAGGGGGGAGCATCTCCCCTCCTCCTGCAGCCTGCCTCGATCCCATCTCCCTTCCTCTCCCTCCGCTCAAAACCTCCTCTCTATCGCCGTCTCATCTCAACTCCCCTCTTATCTTCGAATCTACAATCTCTCCCTCTCCCATCCTCTCCCATCCTCTCTCACCCCCCCCCACCTCACTTCCCTCCTCCCCTCTCGTCTCCTTCACTGCTCTCCCCTTTTTTTCTTTTTTTTCTCCCACCCCCTCTACTCCCTCACCATTCTCTCCCCTCCCATCCCCTCCACTCCCTCACCATTCTCTCCTCTTCCCTCCCCTCTACTCCCTCACCATTTTCTCATCTCCCACCCCCTCTACTCCCTCACCATTCTCTCCTCTCCTATCTCTTTTTTTTACGATCAGAGGAAACAAGAAGATGCTCGGTATAGTCGGCACTTTGCTTCGTTCATCATTTAGTTTTTTTTCAATGCTTCGCTTTATGTAACCCCCCCCCCCATTTTTAAATGAAATATTTCACGCTCTGCTCTCCTTCTTACCCCTTCCCTCTCTCTCTCTACCCCCTCTCTCCCTACTCTATGTCTATGTTCCCCCTGTTTTCTATGTAATATTTGTAAAATAAAATTACTACGACTCCCGCATCCCCCCCCCCCCCGCCCCACCGCTCAGGGCTGATCACCACGACGCGGCCGCTCGACCGGGAGGCTCAGCGCGAGCACGCGGTCACGGTGACGGCCACGGACCAGGGCTCGGAGCCGCTGGTGGGGGTGTGCCGACTCGTGGTCACTGTCGCCGACGACAACGACAACACCCCGCGCTTCGAGGCGGCGCGATACGAGCGTACGACGAGAACAAACAGCAATAACAACAACAAACAACAACAAACAACGACAAACAACAAACGAAACTGTAGATGGCTCGACAGTTTTAGTTGATATTCTTTGGGTCTTTCGGTAAAGTCACGTAGAACAACATTTTTTTACAAAAACTACGACGTTTCGATCGCAACACAAGCAATCGTCATCAGGAGGAAAAAAGAGTGGGGAAAGCTGCTGAGGCAGGCTGTTTTAAAGGTTTGAAATGTGTGTAGCCCAAGGGTCATAAACGAAGTGGGCAGGGCTAGTGATGTTAAAGTGAGAAATGTGCACGTCAATGTAAGCGTCATCAGGAGGAAAAAAGAGTGGAAAATCTGCTGAGAGAGGCTGTTTTCAAGGTTTGAAATGTGTGTCGTTTATCCGGGTGTCGCCACTCTGCCACCCACCCACCCCCCTCCCTTCTGTGCCCCCCCCCCACGACCGCAGACATCCTGCGAGAGGACACCCCTGTGGGCACGAGCTTTCTGCGCGTGGCCGCGCACGACGAGGACCAGGGCGCGAACGCCGCCGTCACCTACTCGCTGTCGGGCGACCTGCCCGAGTACATGCGCGTCAACCCCGCCACCGGCTGGGTCTACGTGCACCAGCCCATCTCGCTGGTGCGCTGCAACGGGGAGCGGTGGGATGTCCCTGCCGGGGGGGCGGGGGGGGGTTGGCGTCGCTCTGCCGCGTGTGCCGTGCCGGCTTTCGTGGGTGCTGCTCGCAAGCAGCACTTGCACCAAGTCGTTTGATTTATAAATTTATTATTTTATCTTTATACGTGACTTTACCGAAAGAACCGAAGAGTAATTCCTGCAGTCACGAAAGCTACAAATTAAGTTTGCACCAAGTCGTTTAAGGCTACGCGGGCGGGGGGGTGTCTTTGCACGAGAGCTGGGCTGGGGGCGGTGTTGCGGTGGTTAGCGCTACTTGCGCTACAAACACATGCGGCCCGAGTTCACTTGCAGTCCTTAGCCCTACATCGGTGTTGATTATCCGAACCGGTCCTGGGCTCCGACTATATGTCGATTCGACCAGTTATGATACAGCGACGTATGGTGTTGGCCTTTCATAGGTGCTCACTAACAACACATGCCCCAACAGTTTATGTAGGATCGTTGTCTTGTTTCCTTCAAGTGTGTGACTTCAAGTATTTATGTGTGTATGTGAATGTGTGCATATTGGTGTGTTTGTGTTTATTTGCATACGGTAAATATGTGTGCGTGTCTGTTCACGTATGCATGTGTGTGTGTGTTCGTGGGCATGGATATGTGTACACGTGTGTAACCATGTGACTGCACGCATTTGTTAGTGAGTATCCACGTGATATGTGATGCGTGTGTGCTGGTGGTGGTAGCAGCGGCACACCAACCCCCTGGCACTCTGTTCTGGCAATCATTCATCCACCAAATATCCACAGACACATCGTGCAAACCGCAAGGCAGTTTCCACGTTTTCTTGCCAACGACAACCACCTATTCTTAGGTTTTTTCGGTAAAGTCACGTAGATAAAAAAATGTAATTAATAAAAGTAAAATAAAAATAAAATAAAAATCACGACGTTTCGGAGGCAACACAAGCTTCCATCTTCAGGTGGAACCGTCACAGCACGATTGCTCTTACTTGAAACAGCAATTGTGCTGTGACGGTTCCACCTGAAGACGGAAGCTTGTGTTGCACCCGAAACGTCGTGATTTTTATTTTATTTTTATTTTACTTTTATTAATTTTTATTTTTTACCTATGTGACTTTACCGAAAAAACATAAGAATATGAATCCTTGCAGTCACGAGAGCTTCAAATCTAGGACAACCACCTACCCATCAACTAAAATCCTCAGCAGTGTCACTTCGCCACCGAATACCCAAGTCCCAATCCCCCTTCTGGGATCGCGCTGCTGCCGTTTACCATTTTCTCGTCAAGGAGCAGAAATCATCGTCACGCCAACTCCGGTGGTCATCCTTACAGCAGCAGCAGCAGTAGTGGCTTTTTACTCGCCATTCAACAAAGACGGTGGTCACCGCATCGCGCATTTTCAGATGCGCTTCAGCGGCCGTCTGGAACGCTCTTCCTTCCGATATTAGGAAGCCACTGGAGCTCTGCATTTTTAAATCATCTAGATTGAAATTGCATTTAGAACTGCTTTTTGTGTTTAGTTTGTTGTCTTTCCCCCGCACCTCCGATTAGCACGGTTGGCTACGTACGGTGTCGAAAGAAGTTCAACATACCTACACATGCAAAATCAACAGGCCGATACACACAGCTCCTTCATGAATAAAACATGAAAGACACAAGAGCCACAGTGGAAGCGTGGCTGTGGCCATGCAACTATAGACCACTCGTTGTACTAACCGGCTTCGCCCGGGACTTGGATTCACGACACCCGGCCGCCTTTTCTCCCCAGTGGCGATGTTCACACCACAACAGTTACTCGTTTGAGGCTGAGTCGACCTAGGGGAGGTCCAGGAACGGTTCAAATAATCGTCACTGGTGGTGGTGGCCGTGAGCGGGAATCGAACTCGGGTCGCCGGGTTTCGTAGTGCAGCGCGCTAACCACTACACTACCGCTCCAAAGACAAAGATCCCCCATATAGCTTTAACAGACTTTAGGGGCAAGTGCTGTTAGCGAGCACCTATGAAGGTCGGTATGGCACATGAGGGGGTGGGTGACAGCAGCACGCTCGGCCGCCTTTGTCTCCCCAGTGGCAATGTTCACACACCACAACAGTTACTCGTTTGAGGCTGAGTCGACCTAGGGGAGGCCCAGGACCGGTTAAAAAAATTGTCACCGGTGGTGGCCGTGAGCGGGAATCGAACTCGGTCGCCGGGATTCGTAGCGCAGCGCGCTACCCACTACACTACAATACGTTACGCTTCCACGTGCGCGGGTCACATGACAAATTTGACGTCACAGCTCACTTGCTGTGCAAAAAATAAATGCATTATTGAGCTCCCCACCCCTCCCCCCAAAAATGTATTTTTATAATTTTTGCATGGTGCACAGTCTGGAAAGTACCCACATGGCAAATTAGCAGTTTGTTGCATTTCGGGAAGTACGCGAAACATTTTGAACAGATACACATAATCACAATGTTGCCTTTTATATATATGGAGATTAAGGAAACCACTGTGCTCTGCACTCCGACGGAGGAGGTGGAATAGCAAAGCGACACGAACTCTCGTCTTCTGAAGGAAGCCCTCTCGTCGTGACCAGCAGCAGACCTGAACATCTGTGAAAGAGAGCTTTACAGCTTATCGGATTCCTCCAGTATAAATAAATGTTGTGATTCCGGCCTCGACATTGTCACCTCTCGATCCTGAACACGTCGCTGCTGCCATCTGATGGTGGCTTTGGAGGCCACCACCCCACGAGCCATGGCAGTAGATGCGGATTCATACTCTTAGTTCTTTCGGTAAAGTCACGTAGGTAAAAAATGAAATTAAAATGAATAAAAATAAAACAATTATTATTATTGTTTTATTTGTATTAATTTTATTCATTTTAATTTCATTTTTTACCTACGTGACTTTACCGAAAGAACTAAGAGTATGAATCCTTGCAGTCACGAAAGCTTCAAATCTAGAAGTAGATGCGGATACCTGATGCACAAATACAAAAATCCAAACTTTCCAGCAGTGTGCGATTGTGGTCATCCAGGACAGACCGTACACAGCGTGTCACGACGCAATCCCCGACCCACAGATGCGAAGCAGACATCACAGCGATACACTCCGCTGCTCCTGACTCGGTTATCTGACTTGACCACCCGAATGGGAAGTTGTCGTTGTTGCTCCGCATTTAAATCGTCAGCCGTACGACAAAAACGAGCCGCAGTCGGAGCTTCTTCCTCTGACGTTCTCGTCTGCGCTGACGGGGCCGGTCACGTGTGCGTCTCCCCGCCTCCCCTCCCACCCCCGCGTAGAACCCGCTCATCCGCCGCCTCGTGGTGGCGACGGACGGAGGCAACCGCAGCAGCTCGGTGGAGCTGTCGGTGAGCATCACCAACCTGCGCAACCAGCCGCCTCGCTGGCACAGCGACCGCTACGACATCACCGTGCCCGAGAACACGACGCGCGACACCGTTATCCTGGTGCGCGCACGAACACACACGCACGCGCGCGCACACGAAACGCGCACAGCAATACATGCACATAGCTGTACACAGTGCGTTTAAATGCAACTGCATCGCAAGACACTTTATACAATTGTAGTGGCTTCAACTGAGTCGCAGACGTAGACTTTGGAGGCAGCACATTTATTTAGTTCCAGCACACGGGGTAACTTCCCCTTAACAGAATAACACCCGGCTAACTGCACTAGTTACTACACTAGTCACTACACTAGTTACTACACTCGTTACTACACTAGTTACTACGTAACTGTTACTACGGACCCGGGACCAACAGCATCTGTCCGGGTCCACGTGCTGGAAAACTCGTAGAACGGAGATCGTAGACGAAGGGTTTCTTTCCCAGGATAAACAACCCTGGTCCCTCTCGGGACCCGGCTTCTATTCTCTGCGACGTGGCCGGCTCCGCCCTTGGCCACGCCCACCTTCCAGAACCATCGGGAAGGACCTGGGTCCCAATCACGTGACCCCCCTAGCCCTCTCTTTGGGGCCCCTCTGTCATCTTAAACGGTCACGAGTCCATAATTGGCAATAAGTAACGGCAAAGCAGCTTTAAGTGACTCACAGAATTGTGCGCAGTTGCGTACACAGTACACGACTTCCCTGAAGGCAAACGCCTTCAGCGAGCGCGATGCCGATGACACAACGCAGTTCGAATTCGACCCTCGATCGATGGCTGCGCCATCGCCGCACACGCGTCGAATAAAAAGCAAGGGACAAGTCCTTACATACTAACAACTCCTATAATTTTTCATTGCTGGAGAGGTTGCCCCCCCGTACCTGAAAATCCTGGCTCTGCCATTGGCTCAGCGGGCCTTGTACCTGATAAAATAAAATAGTTTAGTTTACAGTCACCCTGGAACAGTCTCGGTGTGTGGTCGTGAGCCCTTGATGAGCGAGGGCCTCCACGCCACCGCTCTCTCCGTGCCGCCGCGTGGGGCCGCGCGCAGACGCTGAAGGCGAGCTCGCAGCTGGGCGACCCGCGGGTCACCTACACCCTGGAGGAGGGCGGCCCCACCGCCCTGTTCTACCTGAGCCCCAACCGCGCCGACGGCTCCGCCTCGCTGCTGCTCGCCGAGCCCCTCGACTACGAAGCCGCCCCGCGCCTCTCGCTCCGGATTCGGGCCCAGAACGTGGCCGCCGTGCCGCTGGCCGCCTTCGCCAGCGTCTACGTCTCCGTCACCGGTCGGTGCTCGCTCGTTCGCTCGACCGCTCGCTCGTTCGCTCGTTCATTCGCTCCAACGTTCGTTCGCTCGACCGCTCGGCCTTCCTCGCTCGCCAAAGTCACCCCGAGCGTAATGGCTGCGCCACATCGAAAAGCATCCGCATGTTCAGTTCTCTTGAGTTACGTGGCCGGATGCAATGTGGCAGGTTTGTTGTGCAGTCATTGGTGGCCAGGCTGAGAACATTAATTAACTAAACTTAAGAACCCAATTTAATCACAAGCCAGTCTATTGTGTGAATTAATGGGTTTTCTGCGTGAGTCTCTGGGGTTTCTGTGCGAGTCTCTGGGGTTTCTGTGTGAGTTTATGGGTTTCTGTGTGAGTCCCTGGGGTTGTTGTGTGAGTCTCTGGGGTTTCTGTGCGAGTCTGCGGGTCTCTATGTCAGTTAACGGGCGACTATGCTGAGACAAGTCGCCTTGCAGCTCTTCTTTGAGACAGCTGTAGAATGAGGCAAAGAGGAAGTGACATCAACGCGTGGGGTGGCGTAAACAGCAACCGGCCACGTGACCTCGTAGCCTCTCAGATGTCTGGCTGTGGCCCTCACGACCTCCCGACCTTGAGTTCAATACGTGGGTGACCGTTACATCGTCCTGACCTCCACGTCTGCATAATGAGCCGCGATGACCTCTTGACCCTGGCCGTTGTCGCCCGTGTCCGCTGCGCTCAGACGTCAACGACAACGTCCCCTTCTTCACGGCGCCCAGCTACGAGGCGTCGGTGCCCGAGGGCGCCAGCGTGGGGACGTTCGTGACGCAGGTGTCCGCCACCGACCTCGACTCGGGCGAGCACGGCAAGGTGACGTCGTCATCATCGTCGTCAGTAGCGGCGTCGTCATCTCTTCTCTGTGGCCCATCCTGCTACTGCTACTCCCTGCCCCTGTCCCCTAGCTACGATCTGACCGAGCCCAACCCCGACCCATATTACTACCGCTATCACTACCCCTATCACTACCGCTATCACTACCCCTATCACTACCGCTATCACTACTCCTAAAACTACCCCTATCACTACCCCTATCACTACCGCTATCACTACCCCTATCACTACCCCTATCACTACTCCTATCGCTACCCCTATCGCTACCCCTAATGCTACCCCTATCGCTACCCCTGTCACTAACCCTATCACTACCGCTATCACTACTCCTAAAACTACCCCTATCACTACCCCTATCACTACCCCTATCACTACTCCTATCACTACCCCTATCACTACCCCTATCACTACCCCTGTCACTAACCCTATCACTACCCCTATCACTACTCCTATCACTACTCCTATCACTACCCCTATTACTACCCCTGTCACTACCCCTATCACTACCCCTGTCACTAACCCTATCACTACCGCTATCACTACTCCTATCACTACCCCTATCACTACCCCTATCACTACCCCTATCACTACCCCTGTCACTACCCCTATCACTACTCCTATCACTACCCCTATCACTACCCCTATTACTACCCTTATCACTATCCCTGTCACTACCCCTATCACTACCGCTATCACTACCCTCATCACTACCCCTATCACTACCCCTATCACTACTCCTATCACTAGCCCTATCACTACCCCTATCACTATCACTACCCTTATCACTATCACTACCCCTATCACTACCCCTATCACTACCCCTGTCACTACTCCTATCACTACTCTTATCACTACCCCTATCACTACCCCTATCACTACCCCTGTCACTAACCCTATCACTACCCACATCTCTATCACTATCACTACTCCTTTAACTAACCCTACCCCTATCACTATTCCTATCACTACCCCATACCCTATTGCTACCCCTATCACTACCCCTATCGCTATCACTACCCCAACCCCTATCACTACCCCACCCCCTATCACTACCCCTCCCTAACCTCTCCCACCTATTCTCCTATCACCATAACTACACCACCACTTTAAAAAACCATCCCACTCTAATCTCAACCACTGTCACCTTGCGTACAACTTTATAATTACTCTAAAAGCGCTTTTGAATAAGGCGCAACACAAATCTATATACGATAAGATAAGACCACTATCGTCATCTTCATCATAATATAATTACTCGATTAAGATTCATAACAGAGGTTTTTTTGTTAGATTACGTTTATATATAAATGTGTCGTTAAACCCGCCACCCACCCGACACAGCCAATTAGTAAGGTTTGTCACATACACAAAACACGGCAACTCGTTACTAGTACAGCACTAACCGGTGTGCCTTGGAGAGTAAACTCACGACATTCACAATTCGAGTTAACGACGTTTCGCCGGTCATTACGACCAGCATTGTCAGGCGGGCAGCCAGAATTGTGGAGACATCCTCCACCTGCTGCTGCTGCTGCTTCGGCCATTGGCACTGCAAGGCAGCAGAAACTGTTGCCCCCTAGCGGCAGACGGGGTCTGAACAACCGCCAGTTGCTGTCCGTGGTGCTAACTCTAGATTTGAAGCTGTCGTGACTGCAATGATTCATACTCTTAGGTTTTTTCGGTAAAGTCACGTCGGTAAAAAAATAAAAAATAAAAATGATAATAATAAAATAATCGAAATAATAGAAATAAAATAATAAATTACGACGTTTCGGAGGCAACACAAGTCTCCGTCATCAGGTGGGACCGTCACAGCTAAAATCTTGATGCAGTAAATTTAGCTGTGACGCTCCCACCTGATGACGGAGACTTGTGTTGCCTCCGAAACGTCGTGATTTATTATTTTATTTCTATTATTATTTAGATTATTATTTATTTTTACCTACGTGACTTTACCGAAAAAACCTAAGAGTACGTTGTGCTAACGTTAAGAAAAAACCGCCACTTTTAAAAAAAATTTCTGCTGTGGTTTCAACACCTGATGATGATTGCGTGTGTTGCAATCGAAACGTCGTGAGAATTTTATTATTTTGTATTTTTATTATTTTATTATTTTCCTTCTATGCGACTTTACCGAAAGAAGCATGAAAATAAGACCGGGTCCTGTTCGCAGGCCGCGCGCCGAGTGAACCTCGTGCCGCCCGCACGCGGACAGCTCTGCGAGACGTTCGCGGTTCGAATCTGGCAGGCCGCCCCGAGTTAATGCCACGATGCGTATTGACCGCGAAGCACAACGCTCGCTCTGATGTTCACGGTGGACGTTTTAAAAAACAACAAAAATCCCGTGACATAATATGAAGAAGCGTAAGAGATGCCCGCATCGCATCCGATTTTCCAGATTCAAAAATTTTACGCCGAAATAATTCAATTGCAATTACGCATTGCCCCCCGTATTGGCAGGCTAAGTGCTGAGTCAACTTGTGCTCACAGGGACAGCTGCCGCTGGGGGTGCCCTTTAAGGTGTTGAGACAAGATGCAAAGGGCTCTGAGATGATCCGGCAAATATGGTGCATTATCATTGTTATCTTCATCAGCAGCGCTTATTAGTATAGCCGCAAGGGACTGGGATTGACATCGTGATCATAATGATGATACTGATCTATTGGTGATAATAACGATTATCTTAATGGAGTAAATTTTATCTTACTTATCCTATTGTCGATGATTGATTGTGATGGTAATGATGCTGATGACGATGGTGATCCAAATGGTGATAATGCTGTTGATGCTGGTGACTATCATGATGATGATACAATTTTTAGTTTTTACACCAAAAGTATTTTATTCAAAGTAACAACAATAACCAGGGGGAAGGTTGAGCATACGGTCAGACAGGGTTCAAAGGGGTGAATGCGAGGGCTGGAGCGGAACGGATTATCCGGTGCTAATTTTTGGTGAATCCGTTCCGAATGCCGGCGATGGATGTTGACGACGGCGACGGCCGCAGGTGAGCTACTCGCTGCTGAAGGACGCGAGCGGCGATCACCGCTTCTTCTCGGTGGACGAGGGCAGCGGCGCGGTGTTCACACGCGCCGTGTTCGACCGCGAGAGCAAGAGTTCCTACGTGGTGGAGGTGCAGTCGCGCGACGGGACGGAAAGCGCGCGCACGGGCAGACGCGCGCAGCCAAACACAGGTGAGCCACGCACGCGCACGCGCGCACACACACACATGCACACACACACGCACACATGCGCACACACGCACACAAACGCGCACACACACACACGCACACACACAAACGCGCACACACACACGCACACACACAAACGCGCACACACACACACACAAACGCGCACACACACACGCACACACAAACGCGCACGCACACATGCGCACACACACGCACACAAATGCGCACACACACACGTGCACACATGCACACACACACGCACACATGCGCGCACACACACACAAACGCACACACACACACACGCGCACCCGCACACACACACACACATGCGTGCACACACACACACGTGCACACACACACACACGTGCACACACACACGCACACATGCGCATGTCCACACACACGCGCACACACACACACGTACACACACGCACACGCGCACACACGCACACACACACGCACACAAACGCGCACACACACACGTGCACACACGCACACATGCGCACACACGCGCACAAACGCACACACACACAAAGACCTCCTGTATACTCGTACTTTTTGGTCCTCTCGATAAAGTCACGTAGGTGAAAAAATAAAATAAAAATAAATAAATTAAATCACGACATTTCGGGCACAACACAAGCGCCCGTCATCAGGTGGGACAACCACAGCAAGAAAACAATTGCTGAAGTGGTCAAGAGAGTTGCTGCGAAACAAGAAGTTATATACAAGTCAGAGAGGGGGGGGGGGGAGCCAGGGAGAGGTGGCAGGGGGGGGGGCAGGAGGAATGGTAAGGCTGTGCTATTAGCGACCACTTATGAAGGCCAGAACGGCTCACGAGGGGGTGGGTGGCCAGCACCACGCCCGGCCGCCTTTGTCTGCCCAGTGGCGATGTTTTTACGTAGCGCATCAGGTGCTCATTGGAGGCTGAGTCGACCTAGGGGAGGCCCAGGACCGGTTCAGATAATCGTCGCTGGTGTTGGCCGTGAGCGGGAATCGAACTCAGGTCGCCAGTTTCCTAGCGCAGCGTAGCTAACCGCTACACCACCACACACAAGCACACACACAAGCACACACACACACACAAGCACACATGCACACACACACACACAAGCACACATGCACACACACACAAGCACACACACAAGCACACACACAAGCACACACGCATGCACACACGCACACGCCCGCACACAGACACGGGCTGGGTCGGGGGACTGTCGGATTTTCAGAGCCCCACTGAGGTTTGGGGTGGTTAGGCTCAATGCCATCGGTGGTGGGGGGAGCTTATATATGGGAGGGGGGGGGGTCCGGTTGGAAGGGGGGGGGGGAAGGAACACTCTATAAATCATTAAACGTGGACAATTTATAACTGCTGCCTTGTGGCTGAAGAGCCACCTATCGCTGCCAGTTCCAACCGGCATCAGGACCGGTTTCAGATAATCATCACTGGTGTAAACATCACCACTGGGGAGACAAAGGTGGCCGGGCATGGTGCTGGCCACCCACCCCCTCGCGTACCTTTCCAGCCTTCATAGGCGCTACTCGCTAACAGCACTTGACCCAACAGTCTGTCAAGGCTACACGGGGGATCTTTGTCTTTGCGTGCGCGTGTCAGACTCGGCGTACGTGCGCGTCATCATCAGCGACGTGAACGACAACGTCCCCACCTTCGAGCGGGAGCTCTACGAGGTGACGCTGGACGAGGACGTGGAGGTGGGGACCATCGTCGCCACCCTCGTCGCGGTCGACGGAGACGACGGTGAGGTCCGCCTCGTCGTCGTCGTCGACGTCGATTTCAATAGCGCCATCATCGTCACCATAATCATCAATGTTATTATCATGGGCAACGCTTGCTGTGTCTTTAACGTCCACTGTGAGCGAAGCAGATGGCGCGTGGCCATCTGTGAAACTACTGGATGTTTGTGATAAAGAGTTCATAGCTCATCGGATTCCTCCAGTAAAAATATTAGAACACATTCCTGCGGAGGGAGCTGATAGGAACGTCGGGTTGCTCGGTCAATGGCCAGGGTCAACGGCGGCGTGGTGTATTCCGCAAATATGGCCGACTGTGAGGGCGGGCACAAGCCGGCGTGGGTAGGTTAAACGTTGAGTTTTATAAGGGCACCACGGGGTGACCAGCCCCTCCCCACCCAGCCCCACCCCTCCCACCCCCCACCCAGCCCCACCCTCCCCACCCAGCCCCACCCCACCCTCCACTCCCCACCCAGCCCCTCCCCACCCTCCCCTCCCCACCCAGCCCCTCCCCACCCTCCTCTCTACACCCAGCCCCACCCTTCCCATTTTTGGATGCACGACGGATGGACGGACACAATAATTCCCTGTGGGCTGGTGGAACCAGGTGGTTCCTACCAGTATTATGATACTGATACTGAACACAGCCGTGGTATTAAACAGGGCGGCCACTGGATTCGAACGGTGAATGTGCCGACGCTGCGCCGTGGTGTCACCGCATCTCTCCGGCATTGTAAAACGGCTACCAGTGGGTTGAGCCAGCGATCGTTGTCAAATGGAGAAGAATGTGAAATGTGTAATCTCTCTTCTTGGTTCTTTCGGTAAAGTCACGTAGAAGGGAGTAATAAAATAATAAAAATAAAACATAATAAAACAATTCTCACGACGTTTCGGCCACAACGCAAGCAGCCGTCCTCAGGTGAAAACCAGGTCCGTCGAGGCGACAGAGTCTGAATGAAACAGCACACGGGCTTGGAGCATATATATAAGCTGGGCGCATTGACAAAGGAATTTGCATATCAACAGGAATTTAGCATATTTATGGGAAATGCAGGAATGTGATTAGTACTGCATATGCATGTGCATTATGCAGGATTAACAGCATCAAAGGGAGCTGCAGTTACTGCTGCTGCAGCAGTTGCTGCTGCTGCAGTTTCTGCTGCTGCTGCACTTGCTGCTGCTGCTGCACTTGCTGCTGCTGCTGCACTTGCTGCTGCTGCTGCACTTGCTGCTGCTGCTGCACTTGCTGCTGCTGCTGCACTTGCTGCTGCTGCTGCAGTTGCTGCCTTATCCATTTTAATATAACACTACTAGCTGTACTACCCGGCTTCGCCCGGGACTTGTATCCACCACGGCCGGCCGCCTTTGTCTCCCCAGTGGCGATGTTAATACGCCACACCAGTTACTCGTTTGAGGCTGAGTCGACCTATGGGAGGTTCAAATAATCTTGACCGGTGGTGGCCATGAGCGGGAATCGAACTCGGTTCGCCGGGTTGGTAGCGCAGCGTAGCGTTAACCACTACACCCACCGCTCCTCACACACACAGACGCACAGACACACACACAGACACACACACAGACACACGCAGAAACACACAGACAGACACAGACAGACACACAGACACACAGACAGCACGCTAACCACTACACTACCGCTCCCCACACACCACACACGCACACACACAGACACACACATAGAACACACACACAGACACACAGACAGACACACACACACAGACACACACACACAGACACACACACACAGATACACAGACACACACACACAGGCAGCACGCTAAGCACTACACTACCGTTCCCCCTACACACCACACACGCACACACACACACACAGACACACACAGACACAGGCAGCACGCTAAGCACTACACTACCGTTCCCCCTACACAACACACGCGCGCAAGTCCATAGGTACACATACACGCGCTTGCTGCAGACACACACATACACACACATACATACACGCAGACATACACATACATACAAACACACACATACATACACACAAACACAATACACACACACATACATACAGACACACATACATACACACAAACACATACAGACACATACATACACACATACATACAGACACACAGACATACACATAAACACATACACACATAGTCATGACCCGGCTTTGCCCGGGACTTGTATCCACCACGCCCGGCCGCCTTTGTCTCCCCAGTGGCGATGTTAATACGCCACACCAGTTACTCGTTTTGAGGCTGAGTCCCTCCCTCGCCACTCTGCCTCCCTCGCCACTCTGTAGAGGACGTGAAATTTGTATGAATTTACCTCAGAGTGGCGTGTTGGGTGTCGAGGCCTAGCACCGTGCAGAGCCTCCCGCCTTGCCTGATTTTCCCACCCGGCGAACGCTGGGTACGGGTGCCGGTCCCCCCCCCCCCCCCCCCCCGCGCTATTAAAAATGGCGTCCACCCCTCGGAGAAAAGTTGCTACTCGTTGCCAGGGGCAACCGCCGTCCAATGAAAGCGGCGAAGGCGTGGCTAGCCGTTGCCAGGGGCAACCGCCGTCCAATGAAAGTGCGTATGGGCCGAAATACACACACACAGACAGACATGAACGATTTTATATATATAGATGTATTATTCTACCCACCCTAATGTGTATCATACTGCTATATGTTTACTGTACAATTACGACACCATACATTACTCTGCACACTGCACCATGCCAGTGAGTGGAACGCGGTCTGAAAGTCACCGTTAACGTGAACACAATCAGTTAAGATCCGAAATGGTTTATTACGTCCTTCCAATGATTGCTAAGCCAGAATCCATCTTCTCGGTTGAAATTGTCTCTGTGTTTGTATATGTGGATCGCCTCATGAACGAATCTCTCATGATAGCCAGATGGCTTGCAGAGAACCTCTGTCTTGGAGAAGTCAATGTCATGTGAGCCCACTGAATTGTAACAGTGATCTGCCACGGCTGAGGTGTTTGTCCTACCGTGTTTCAGGTCTGCCTTATGTTCACGGATGCGGTCCGAGACATGTCGTTTGGTTTCTCCAATGTAACTGCTACCACAGAGGCAACTTAGTTTGTAGACGCCAGGGTACTGTATGTCTGGAACCACATCTTTTACAGACGGGACCAGATCACGGATTTTATGTACTGTGTTGAATCGGACCTGGATCTTGTGTTTAATCAGGATTTTGGAGATCTTTTTTGTGACCCCAGCAATGTAGGGTAAGGTGATGGTCTTGAAAGGCTCCTCAACAGGATCCTTCTTGATGGTTGGAGTGATGGCTTTGCGGATTGTGTAGTCGGAGTAACCATTAGCCTTAAGAGCTTGGCGTACGTGTTTGAGTTCACTGGAAATGTGTTCATGGTCGGAGATGCATTGGGCTCTATGATATAGAGTCTTGATGAGGGAATGTGTAATCTCTGCCACTGGTAACTTCTTACAAACTAAACCACCACCTTCAACATGCACCGATCTCGGGGTTGAGTCTGGTTGAGGAGTATAGTTCGTACCCGGACGTGGGACTGCCGGACATTACCATGTTATTGTCAACTCAAACTATTAGACATCTCTTTTTGGTTCTTTCGGTAAAGTCACGTAGAAGGGAAATAATAAAATAATACAAATTAAAATAATAAAATTATTTTATTATGTTTTATTTTTATTATAATTTTTATATTTTATTAGGGAAATAATACAAATAAAACATAATAAAATAATTTTATTATGTTTTATTTGTATTATTTTATTATTTCCCTTCTACGTGACTTTACCGAAAGAACCAAGAAGATGAATCCCTGCAGTCACGAAAGCTTTAAATCGAAATATTAGACATCTGTCAAAAAGAGCTTTATTGCTCATCGGATTCCTCCAGCATAAAAAAATATTCCGATTCCGTTGTCGGCCCGGCTTGCATCCCGAGTCCTTTTCTCGCGCGACCGACCACGCGGCGCGGCGATTTCACCGGCGGCCGGCCGCGCCGTCTCGCGCAGGCGCCGACGGCCTCCTGCGCTACCGCATCGTGTCGGGCAACGAGGACGGCGCCTTCGAGTTGCGCGCCGAGACGGGGGCCCTCACCGTGGCGCGCCCGCTGGACTACGAGCGGGCGGCGCGCTACGCGCTGCGCGTGGCCGCCTCCGACGGCCGCTGGGAGGGCCACGCGACCGTGGCGGCGGCGCTGCGCAACCTCAACGACGAGGCGCCGGTGTTCGCCAGCGCCGAGTACCGCACCCGCATCGCTGAGGGGCTGCCACGCGACGCCCCGGTGCTGCTCCTGCAGGTGCATCTTTTTGTATTTTTGTCATCGTTTTGATCGTTTCATTATTTGTCATCGTGATTGTTTAAACTGTAATTTTTTTCTTAAATGCCGGGTAAGGACCTTGCTGAGCTTTTTAGCTCTTTTTTTATTTACCAAGGAAAGCCTCTCAAGACTGCTTTGCAGGAGGGTCCTGCCGAGTTTTCACGGAAGCGGTGTGGTGTGTACGCGTGTAGTACGTACATTGAACTTCTCTCGCACCATATGTAGCCAACCGGGAAAGGACAACAAACTAGCTTGCTGCTGCTGTGATTCCAATCTGGTATTTTACAGGGAGTTTCTTAGCATTGGTGATGTTTTGGCCGGACACCTGCTCATTTTGTACCGTTTTATTATAGCTATGGGAGGAGGAAACCAGACGACCCGGTGGGCCCTGCTTCAAAGCAGGGGGAGAAAATACAAACACCACACAGCAACATGCCCACGTCAGGAACTGAACCGAGGCCCTTGTTCCTGCGAGGCACGAGTGGTACCACTGCGTCCGCTGACAGTCGTGGCTGTAGGGGGCTTTGCTGTTGTGGCGGTGGGTGGGTTGGTGGGTTGGTTGGTTGGTGGGCCCATTACAAAGAGCGAGCAATAAAAAGAGAAGGGGCCACAGGAATTCCGCAGACAGAAGCCCGAAACGCGATGCTCATGGGTCAAGGGGAAAGGGAGAGAGACGAGCTCGCTCACCTGCTAGAGTAGGGACTACGAGCGGGAGCACGGCAAGGGGTAAAGGAACAAAAGTGAAGGCAGAAGAGAGTTCACATGAATCCTGGAGAGCAGTGATTACATTGAGTCCAGCCGTCTGGTGGTGCATGGAACGTCTGTCCCTTTTATAAGGCCACGTGGGAGCCATGTGGCAGTTTGGTCGTGTCGGTACAGTTCTCGGTGGTGAATACAATGTCTTTAAAGATAGCGGTGCTACTACGCCTCTGAAAATAAAATGAATGCAGAGCCGCTTGCGCATTCCGGACCCCACCCTGCGACTTGCAGACGTCTTGAAGTGGGAGCGGATTAACACCTCCCTCTACGTTTTGCCCATCGCTCCTTGCAGGTGTCTGCCCACGATCCCGACCGCCCGTCATCACCACCGCCGTCGTCGTCGTCAGTGGCGGCGGCGGCGGGCGTGCGGTACTCGCTGCGTGGCCAAGGCGCTGGCACGCACTTCTCGGTGGACGCGGTGACGGGGGAGCTGTGGGCGCGGGCGCCGCTGGACCGGGAGGAGCGCCCGGCGTGGCGTCTGCTCGCCGTGGCCACTGACGAGGACGGCGCCGGCCTCTCGGGCTTCGCCGATGTCGTGGTCGCCGTCGACGACGTCAACGACAATGCGCCGGCCTTCGTCTGTGCCGGCGGCGAACGAGGAGGTGAAGGAGGAGCCCGGAGCGATAACGGCGATGGCCGCGAAGGAGCTGGATGGCACCACCACTACGACGACGACGACGACGATGGTGACGGCAGCGACGGCGCTGATGGAAACCGAAACGGCGATGGGAGCACGATTGCTGGGAAAACGAAGGCTGGCATCCTGGGTCATGGTGCAGCTACTGCTGGTGCTGGTGTGGGCACGATCGGTCTTGGTGGTGGTGGCATTGGTACTGGCGGCGGAGGTGGTAGTGGTAAAGTGGGCGGCAGTGTTGGTATTGCTGGCAGCGGTAAAATCGGCAGCATCGGTGCGGCCGGTGGCGGTAATGTTGGTGATACTGGGCCTGGCGTGAGCGGTGGTCATCTCGGTACTAAAGGCGGTGCTGATCTTGGTAGAGGCCACCTCAGTCGTGATACCGGTACCGGCATTGGCGGTAAAGGTTCTGCGTCGCGCTCCCTCGCCGCTCCCCCTTCCGCCGACACCACCACCTCCTCCGGGCCGTCCGGCTGCCTCATGGGCGAGGTGCTGGAGAACGCCGCTCCTGGCACGGCCGTGATGCAGGTGCTGGCCGTCGACCCCGACGACCCGGCCGCCGGCGGCAACGCGGCCGTGCGCTATCGCATCGTCGGTGGCGACGCCCCGCGGCTGTTCCGCGTCGACCCGGCCACCGGCACGGTTCGCACGGCGGCGGTCCAGGGCGTTGCCGACGGCACGGAGTCGGCGCTCGACCGCGAAGTCCTCGGCTCGCGCCTCCTGCTGCTGCTGGAGGCCGCAGACGGCGGGGGCCTCTCCGCCACGGCCACCGCCACCGTGGCGATCGTCGACGTCAACGACAACGCCCCCCGCTTCCTCGTGCCGCCCGGCGGCGTCTACCGCTGCCGCGTGCCCGAGGGCACCCAGGTGGGCGGTGTGGCCCTGACCCCCAACCCCTGCCCAAATCCCCTACCCCCAAACCCCTACCTCAAACCCCGACCCCCAAACCCTTGCCCTACAAAGTCCTGGCTCGAACCCCGAGCCCGGGGCTCGGGCAACCAAATTAATAAGAAGAGCCTCAATATGTCCGCAATGCGTGTGGTCAAAACGAGACGGTGGTCCTTCATCAACAACGTCACGAGGCAGTACTTAAAGAGAACTGCTTGTTGTGTTTAGTTTGTTGTCCTTCCCTAGCACCTCCAGATAGCATGGTTGGCTACGTACGGTGCAAAAGAAGTTCAACTTACATAAGTCGTGGCCCTAACCGCTAACCCTAACCCAACCACACATCCTATACCTTACCCCCATAATCCCTCCGCTTTCCCCCTAACCCTGAGCCCACCCTACCCCCCTACCCCCACGCGGCGTGGGCGCAGGTGGGCACCGTGATCGCGACCGTGTCGACGTGGGACGGCGACGCGGGCGACAACGCCCTGGTCTCCTTCTCGGTGGAGGGCGGCGACGTGGCCGGCGCGGGCCGCACCTTCTCGGTGGAGTCGGACCGGGCGGCGCGAGTGGGCACCGTGCGCCTCGCGCGGCCCCTCGACTACGAGCGGCCGCGCGAGCGCCGCTTCAACGTGACGCTGGCGGCGCGCGACCCCGACCACGGCGACCGCGCGTCGCTGCTCGTCGAGGTGCTCGACGACAATGACAACGCGCCACTCTTCTCGCGCCAGCTCTACGAGGCGTCGCCCGTCTCCGAGGCCGCCGAGCCGGGCCACCCGGTTGCCAGCGTCTCGGCCTCCGACGCCGACTCCGGCGCCAACGGGGAGGTGTCCTACTCTCTGGCGCCCCGCGGCGGCGACGGCGGCGGAGCAGGAGTGACGGCGCCGCCGTTCGATGTGCACCCGCACCTCGGGCTGGTGTCGCTCCGCGGGCGCCTCGACCGGGAGTCGAGCGAGCGCCACCTGCTGCTGGTGCTGGCGACGGACGGCGGGAGCCCGCCGCGGACCGGCACCGCCACGCTGCTGGTGCCCGTGCTCGACGTGAACGACAACGCCCCCGAGCCGGAGAGCGAGTACCGGCCCGTGGTGTTCGAGAACGGCCCGGCGCCGGCGGACGTGCGCGCCAACGCCACGTCGCTGGCGCTGCGCTTCGTCGACCGCGACGGCGCGGGCGGCAACGGCGCCGTGGCGTCGCTGCGGCTCGCGGAGGCGTCGGCGAGCGCCGGCGACTTCGCGCTGCGGGACGCCGGGGACGGCTCGGCGGTGCTGACGGCGCTGCGGACGTTCGACCGCGAGGTCGGCAAGCGGCTGCTCGTGGCCGTGGTGGCGACCGACGGCGGGGAGCCGCCGCGCAGCGCCACCGCCACGCTCACGGTGACCGTCGGGGACCGCAACGACAACCCTCACCAGCCTGGCAGCACGGGCATCTACGTGTACAAGTATCGCGGTGAGCGTCTGCCGGCCGCACGGTCGCCAGTGGAACCGGCACGCTCGTCGACTCGTGCCGAAAGATTTAGCCACCTATAAACCACCCCGCCACAACTCTGACCCTGATCCTGCTCCTTCTCCTGACCTTGACCCTGACCTTGACCCTGACCCTGCCACTAAATCTGACCCCGACCCCGCTACCATCGCTCACTCCCCGTGCCACTGCCCCCGTGTGCTGCTGCAGGTGCGCTGCCCTCGGGGGAGCTGGGACGAGTGTTTGCCCCAGACCCCGACGACTGGGATAACAAGACGTTCACCTACGAAGGGCAGGAACCCAGGTGAGTTGGCCAGGCATGCGATTGGCAGTTCCTTCCCAGTGCCCCCACAGTGTAACGTGCGGTCTGCCACTGCCAGTCGTCCAGTCTCTCTGAACGTTCACGTTCTGAAGGAGCTGCCAGCGCAGGGAGTGGAACGCTGTGAGCCGTACAGCACAACCGTGAAAAACCTACGCTGTGTTCTCTCTTTCTCTCCAATCTAAATCGTCAGCCTGCTATATATATACACACATGTATGTATATTGAGCCTCTTTCGCACTGACCTAGCCAACCGTGCACATCAGAGGTGCGTGAGCAGGACAACAAACCAAATACAAAAAGTAGTTATAAAAGGAGTTTTAAATCTAGAATGGAACCAAAACATACAAGCTGTGTTGGCCTTCATATTTGCTTGCTAACAGTCCAATGCCCCGACAGCCTCTGGGCACTTAAACTATATAAACGATATTTTTATTTTATCAGGTAAGGCCCATTGAGCTATATAGCTCTTTTTATTCAGGAGCGACCTGACTTCAAATGATAGCTCAACGAAGTGGCTTACCATGCGGACATTTATAGCAGCCAAATACTCTAAACACATGTTGATTCTTCTTGGGTCTTTCGGTAAAGTCACGTAGATAGGTTCAAAGAAATTAATAAACAAATAACAGAAAACTACGACGTTTCGACCGCAACGCAAGCGGTCGTATTCAGGAAAAAGCATGTTGATTCTAAATGTGGAGGGAGGACCCGGAGAAAATCCACACGGCCACGGGGAGAGCACGCAAACTCTAAATATACAGCAGGCGTCAGGGTCGAACCCACAACCTCCTGGATACCAGATGAGGTAGTTCACATCTTGCCACTGTGGCGCGTCTGACCGCGTGTGACCGCTCGCTCCGGGCTCAGGTGGTTCTCCCTGTCACGTGACTCCGGGGCGCTCTCCCTGAGGTTGGCGCCGCCGCCGGGGGAGCACAGCTTCCGCGTGCGCGTGGCCGACGGCGTGTGGCCCGACGCCGTCTCCACGGCGACCGTGCTGGTGGCGGAGCTCCCTGAGGAGGCGCTGGTCCAGGCCGGGTCGCTCAGACTCGCCGGTGAGGCCTTTACCTCCCTCCCATCACCTATCACCTCCCTCCATCACTTCACTCTATCACCTCCCTCTCCATCACTTCATCAACCACCCCGTCCAGTGACTCATCACCCCCACCAAGTCACCCAGCCACCCATCCCCTCACTTGATAAACTACCGACCAGCTAACTCAGCCACCCACCATCCTGCTCAATGAAATACCCACAAACCCCGTTGCCCACCCGGCCGCCCACCAGCCCACCCATGCAGCCACCCATCTAACCCGCCCACCGACGCACCCAGCCACCCGCCCGCCCGCTCACTCACGACTCTACAACCCCCGCCCCTCCCGTGCCTATATAAAGCCACAACAGCAGATCATTATTTCTCACCTGATGACGAACGCTTGTGTTGCGACCGAAACGTCGTCTTTATCATCCACCCAACCTCCCAGCCTACCAACTAACCGCCCGCCCACTCGCGCACCCAGCTCAATCATCATTCCTTATTTTCCGGGTCGACTGCTGATGATGCCCCTTACCCCCTGCCCCGTGTGACCCGACCCCTCGCGGGCCGCAGACACGACCGCCGAAGATTTCCTGTACGACCCACGTGACGGCGTGAGCCGCTACGAGCTCCTGCGCGCCTTCATCTCCTCTGAGGTTTTCGGGCTGCAACGACAACGACCGCCGCCGCAGTCGTCGCCTTTACCGGCGGCGATGGGCGCGAGCGTGCACGTGTTTGCCGTGAGCGACGCGCCGGGCGCGCCGGGCCGCGTGGACGTGTGCTTCGCCGTGCTCGGCGCCGCCAGGACGTACCGCGCCGAGCGGCTCAACGGCAACGTGGCCATGCACAAGGCCAGGGTACGGCCGCCGGGTCTCGTTGTTGCCGCTGCCGCCGCTGCCACTAAAACTACATTAATAGATCCATGGGCGCCCGGTGTCGAATCATTTGGCAAAGCATTTTGAGATGTGATGATGTGTGCATCATTAAATAACGATGAAAATGATGATGATTGCGGGGATTGTGATAGCCGGTGGCAGTTCGTGGCTCCGGGTTGAGGAGGGTAGCAATGTTCACCCCGGATTTTCAGGTGGAATCATCGAGAAACTGGAATTTGCTCTTCACACAGAGACCCACAGACTCAAATTCATCGGCAGTGGCTTGATCATCAGTGCTTATTCAGAAAGAGATCCGTAGACTCGCATAGAGACCCATAGACTTACATATTTAGCGAATGCTTTTACACTTGACGTTCACACAGTTAGAGCACCAGATCTTGCGTATAGACTTAGAGATACATAGAGACCCATTGAGTAACTGGAGTTTCTTTGTTTTACAAAAATCAATTCATATATTATGCATCACCGGAAGCTAAGCAGAGTTGAGCCTGGTTAGCATTTCGATGGGAGACTGCCTGCTATTACAGGGGGTTGTAGGCTTTGGCTGTGAGGATGGCGGTGCAGGAACGGATTCTTGAATCTATCTGTGCAGAGCTTTGCATGATATCCTCTCGAAAGTTTGGTGGGTTTTCTAAGGGTACAACGGGAGAGAGCAGAGGTCGCAAACAGGTTTTGATTCGGTACCCGTACCCGGCCGGGTACGGGTACCCGTTCCCTACCCGTACCCGTACGCTACCCGAAATGAGTGACAAACGGTTACTCACCAGTGACTCACGGCCTACCCGTACCCGGCTGCACCAGGGTCGCAAACGGCTACCCGTACCCGTACCCGGCCGGGTATCGGGTAGGGTACGGGTATCGGGTAGGGTACGGGTAGCGGGTAGGGTACGAGTATCGGGTAGGGTACGGGTATCGGGTAGGGTACGGGTATCGGGTACCCGGTTGCGACCTCTGGGGGAGAGTGTCTCCTAGCGGACCAGACGGGAGAGTTGTCACGTTTGTTGTTGGTCTTGTTGTCGACCGTTGACATCGATGCCGTCAATGTTGTTGTTGTTGTTGCCTTGTGGTTGTTGTGGCCCAGCTGGAAGAGGTTGTAAATGTGTCCGTGGCGAGGGTGGGGGGCCCTGGCCCGTGTCGGACGCCCCCCAATGGCGCCGCCCCCCGCCCCCCGGTCTCGCGCTCCGGGGCCGTCTCAGTTGCCGTGGGAACGGTCGCCGTGGTCACCGACTCCGACCGGGAGGACGAGCGAGACAGTGGACCGGTGTGCCGGAACGGAGGAGTCCCCATCGCGCCATCCACGTCCGCATACGGGTGACGCCCGCTCTCGTTGTCACCCGCTCGCTTGCCCGCCCACTCCCTTGCCTGCTCACTCATTCACCCACCCACTCACTCGCTACCTTCACCACTCACTCACTCACTCGCTACCTTGACCACTCGCTCATTCACCCACCCACCCACCCACTCACTCGCTACCTTCACCACTCACTCATTCACCCACCCACCCACTTGCTACCTTGACCACTCACTCAATCACTCACCCACCCACTCACTTACTCAATCACCCACTCACTCACTCATTCACCCACCGACCCACTCACTCGCTAACTTGACCACTCACTCACTCAATCACCCACCCACTCACTTGCTACCTTGACTGCTCAATCACTCATTCACCCACTCACTCACTCACCCACCCACTCACCCACTCACTCACCCACTGCCCTTCTCATGCTCACTCACTCCCTCGCTGCCTTGCTGACTCAATAAGTCAGTCACTCGTGCTCTCACTTATTCACTCATTCACCCACTCACTCAATTATCCACTTGCTTACCTACCCACTCGTCCCGTTCACACACTAAGTCACTCGCCTTCTCACTCACTCTCTCACCTACGTATTCAATTGTTTGCCCATTAACTCGCTCATAAACTCACTCCCCTACATTATCACCCTTTCACTCGCCCACATCAAACTCTCCCATATTCAATCTTGATTTATATTCATATCCCCCCCCCCCCCCCCCCGCGCCCCCACCCCTCCATCAGCTGCGAGTGTCCACCGGCTCTGGACGGGCCGCTGTGCGAGCGCACACAGCGGTGGTGGAACGCCAGCGAGTCCCCGGGGCCCGGCTCGGTGAGCTACGCGTGGTTCCCACCGCTCCGCCTGGGTCCCACCACCACCGCCACCACCACCGCCACAACCACCGCAACAACCGTCGCCAGCCTCTCGCTGGAGTTCCTGACGGGCGATCCGGACGGGCTGCTGCTCTACGCCGGACCGCTCGCCGCCCCGGGAGCGAGGGATCGGCGCGACTTCATCGCCATCGGTAGGCGCATCGCACGGTCCTCTTCCTTGCCCTCCCTCCCAAGGCTCGACGTCCGATGTTTCGTTTCTCTCCTCACGTTGGCAGTTTCTTCAGGAACTTCTGCACGAGCCCCCTCCCCCCCCCGGCCGGTTCACGGAGGTGACGGGTCACGGAGCGAAACGTCGGACCGCGTTGAAAATACTTTTGCGCGTGCGGTTTTTATCCCCGACAGCGACCCGTCCGTCGGCTTCCACGCCCGCGAATTAAATGCGTACGGAGACAACGGCGCGTACGACACGATGTCGTGTAGCCCACGCACGCACGCACGGCCCACTGAATCGTAACGTCGGCGCCTTGCAGAGCTGCGGAAGGGCTCCCCGACTCTGAGCATCGACCTGGGAAGCGGAACGCTGCTGCTGAGTGGCGGCGCCGGCACGCGAGGCCTTGCCGACGGGCGGTGGCATCACGCCGAGGTCTCCGTCAGCGGCACGGTGAGCGGCCTGCGTGCTAAATCACGGCAGGATGCATTGCTACGTAAAGGCGCGACGCTGCAATTGCTTTGCTCGCGTCACTGCTGGCGGATGCCTCCACTAGAGAGAGAGAGAACCCCTCTGGAGGTTAAATTTCGATTTAAAGCTTTCGTGACTGCAGTGATTCATCTTCTTGGTTCTTTCGGTAAAGTCACGTAGAAGGGAAATAATAAAATAATAAAAATTAAACATAATAAAATAATTCTCACGACGTTTCGGCCACAACGCAAGACAGCTGTCTTTCCGACAGACCTGTTCTTCACCTGAGGACGGCTGCTTGCGTTGTGGCCGAAACGTCGTGAGAATAATTTTATTATGTTTTATTTTTATTAGTTTATTATTTCCCTTCTACGTGACTTTACCGAAAGAACCAAGAAGACCCTCTGGAGGTTGTTTCGTTCTGCACCGGTGAGTACGTCGTCTTGAAGGAGGTGGGAGTCACCCGCGCTTTACCCCACCACCACTGCACGCGATCTGTCGAGAGACTGACTGTGCCATGCCCCTCGATATATCGCCGGCTGCACAGAGGCAGCAGGCGGCCCGAATCAAGAAGCTCGCTCTGTTGTTTTCATCTGCCGCGGCGGCAGATCGAGCCACCCATGATCCGCGCAGTGTGGGGAGGCCCTCGCCCAGCAATGAATTGACTGACAAAAGGGCATGTGCGTGTATGTCCACACGAGTGTCGTCTCTTTGTACATGTTGTGTACATGTCGTGTACATGTTGTGTACATGTCGTGTACATGTTGTGTACATGTTGTGTACATGTGCATGGGTGCCTTGCCACGGCGACCAGAGTGCGATGCCTGCTCACAGCGAACATGGTGACGAGTATCCGAACGGGGCCTCACCTAGGTCGACTCAGCCTGAAATCAAAACCTGGCGGGATGTATAAACATCAGCACTAGGGAGATAAAGGCGGCCTGACATGGTGTTAGTCACACCACCACCTCGTGTTCGCTAACAGCACTTGCCACAACGGTGTGTTCAAGCTATCAGGGGGATCTTTGTCTTGTGTGCGTGCTGCAGGACGTTATCTTCACGCTGGATTGGTGCGAGGTCCAACGCCGGGACGGCGGAGCCTGTGAGGCCCATGGCATCATCCCAGGCGAAGCCAGGTATGACCCACAGCCTTACTCGCTCACCCACTCACTCACCCAGTCGCTCACCACTTACTCACAAACTCATTCACTCGTACACTCACCCACCCACCTGACTAACCCTTTAACTTCACTTACCCGCTCACTCACCCACTCACCACTCACTCTACTCGCCAAATGAGACGACGGGTTTTATTCCACCCGTGGAGAAAAATAAAAGTTTCTGATGTGCACAAAAATGATTGATATTTCACATTTGACCTCGTTATTTTCACCGTGGTTTTTGATGCTGCTGCTGTTGCTGCTGTTTCTACTGCTGCTGCTTCTGTTACCGCTGCAATTTCTGTTACTGCTGCTTCCGTTGCTGCTGTTGCCACTGCTGCTACTTCTGTTGTTGCTGTTTCTGCTGCTGCCCCTGCTGCACCAGGTCCCTGGACGTGCTGCAGCCGCTGCAGCTGGGCGGGGTGAAGCCGAGTCCCTCGTTCCTGTACCCTGGCCTCGCCTCCCGCTCCTACACGGGCTGCATCCGCAACGTGCTCGTCGACGGAGAGGTAGGCGCCCACGCTCACCCACACGCTTACCCACACGCTCACCCGCACGCTCACCCGCACGCTCACCCACACGCTCGGCCACCCGCACAATCAATCACCCACATGCTCGCTCACTCGCTAACTCACTCACCCACGCGCTCGCTGACTTATACACTCAGCTGCACACTCACTCGCTCAAAGACAAGATCCGCCGTGTAGCCCTAACAGACTATTTCAAGTGCTGTTAGCGAACATCTATGATGGCCAGCATGGCACACGAGGGGGTGGGTGGCCAGCATCACGCCAGATTGCAGTGGCAATGAATTACACACCGCACAAGGTACTCATTTGAGGCTGAGTCGAACTAGGGGAGGCCCACGAATCATTCCCATAATCGTCATTTTTGTTGGCCATGAGCGGGAATTGAACTCGGCTCATTGGGTCCTGAGCGCAGCATGCTATAACTGCGACACTACTGCACCCCATTCGCTCGCTCACTCACACACTCACACACATGCTCACTCACACACACACGTACACTCACTCACCCACTCACTCAATCACACACACGCTCACTCACTCACATTCAACATTCGCTCGCTCGCTGACTCACTCGCTCACTCACTCCACGCCGTACCGCTCACAGCTCCTGGACATGGAGACACCGGGCGAGGCCGAGGCTTCGGGGCCCGGCTGCTCGGCGTCCGACTCCGCGTGCGCCCCCACGCCGCCGCCGCCACCGGGGGGGTCTCCCGCGTGCGGGGGGTACGGGGAGTGCGAGGGACCCACGCCCCCCTCGCCGGGGACGGCACGGAGCCAGCCGGCCTGTCGGTGTCGGCCCGGATACAGCGGCGCACTCTGCAAGAGAGGTAATGGTGGCATTGTCATCATTCATAGCGACGAACGTGGGGGCGGTGTTCTCTGCTGTGGCCCATGACCCGCTCCACCTGGCCCCCTCCACTGACTACCTGCAAACGGGCACCGACAACATTTGGTGAGGGTGCCTCCCCCCCACCCCCCCCCACCCCACCGTCTTATGTCCCCACCAGCGGAATCATGAACATCATCATCATTATAATCGGCGTGGGTCATTAGATATCCATTTCTCACCAATCCGTCCAGCTCCGTCCGGTACGTTGGCTGATTTCAATTCAACGTCTCTGTCGTGCGTTCCCACAGATGATGCGTAAACACATATTCGTGATTTTCTTCTCCAAGCAGTAACCGGTAAACTAAAAAATGACTTCAACAGCTGATAGCTGCAGTACTATACACAACCGTTGGCTTGATCGTTTGGTTGTTTGTTGAACACTTATGAAGAGGTTTTTGCACCCCAAGCGCGTTGTTCGGCACGATGCCCGACTTTTTTCACTGAAGCTCCCAGCATGTTTGGTGAGACGTGGCACATCGTACTATTTTAATTTACCGGGTAAGTCCACTGAGCTACATAGCTCTCTTTCAGAAGCCACCTGGCCACAAATTATAGCTCAACGAAGTGGCTTATCACGTGGAAATGTAAAGTAGCCAAATACGCTAAACGCGTATAAATGTGGAGAGAAAACGGGAGGAGACAGAGAAAAATCCACGCGGCCACAGTGAAAGAGACACAAAGTCGGGATCGAACCCACAACCTCCTGCGTACCAGGCGAGGGAGTTAACATCTTACCACCGCGGCGTTGTTCACCGGTTGCATCGTTCACCTCACCGCCCACAGTGCTGGAGCCGTTCACGGTGGGTGTGGGGGGCACTGCCCGGTTCCTGCTGTCCGACTCCGTGGCGCCGCTGCCGTCGTTGCGATGGACGCACCTCCAGCTGCTGCTGCGCACGCGCGCACGCGACGCTCACGTCCTCTCGGCGTGCTCGCCGGACCGCTCGCACTACGTCTCGCTCGCGGTGAGATGCGCGCGCGAAACACTCCCACTCGGTGAGGCCCCGGTAGCTCGGAGGGTCGGGGGCCCTGTCGGAGACACGGGACCGGCACGACCGACATTCTGAGTTTGAATTTTGGTTTTAGACGCCGGTGATTAAACCGGATGGTGGTCTGACAAAGGTCACCAATGGTTGCAAAAAAACCCATCAGATTAATTGAGCAAAATTTCAGCTCTGTAAAAAAAATTATATATAGAAGTTTTTTTTTTACATGAATCAGAAGTCTCTTTTAAGGATCTCAGTTATATGATATCAAGAGTTCAAATTGTTTAGCTGCTACCTGGAAGATCCTGGCTTCAAATCCAGAATTACTCTGCTTGCGGTCAAACTGGGTTATCGAGTGTGGCAATGGAGCCCTTCATCTCGATGCTGACGACAATGCGTCCCGTGTAGGTGTGCGATGGCCGCGCCTGCGCTCGCCTCGCTCTGCCTGCCGCCGGCGGCGCCGGCGTCGTGGAGTCTCGGCTGACCCTGACGGACCCCGGGGGAGCGGGCCTCGTCTCGGACGGGCGGTGGCACTTGCTGCAGCTGTGGCGGCACGGGGCGGAGGTGACGCTGCGCGTGGATACGGGCGGGCGGCGCCGGGAAAACCGCACCAACACCAGGAGACGCGGCCGCGGCGGCGGCGGCGTCCACACTGAGCTCCAGCTGGACCCGGCCGGCCTGCTCCTAGGAGGCATTGGGCCTTACGGGAACCCCACGAGCTTCAACGGTACGTTACGCGCACGTGCACATGTACACGTGAAGATTATCCGAACCAGTCAAGCTCTTGAGAGTACGTATGCGGGGGGCCTGTGTTTTCTGTGACGACGATTACCTGAACCGCTCCTGGGCCTTCCCGAGGTCGACTCAGTCTTAAGTCAGTACCCGGTGCGGTGTGTAAACACCAGCATTGGGAAGTCAAAGGTGGCCAGGCGTAGTACCGGCCACCCACCCACCCTCTCGTTTGTCGTGCCGGCCTTCATAAGTGCTCGCAAAGAGCACTTGCCCCAAGTAGTCTTTTAAAATCTCAAAAATGATCTGTCTTAGTATTGCATGGGGGAGGTGGTGCAAATGCCTACGTTGATGCGCCTGGAGTGACTTAATACTCCTCATATTTGTTGTTGTTGTTGTGGGGTGCGTGCGTTTGTGAGCGCACGTTGCAGGCTGCGTGCGGGATGTCCGCTTTAACGGGCTCCCCCTGTTGCTGGATGCCGCTCCATCCCTCGCGTCGGGGTCCAGGGCCCCCGTCTCCTCCCCAGTCCCCCGCATCTCGGCCGCCCGTGGCATCAGCGCCGGCTGTGTCTCTGACTCCTGCAGCAGCCGGCCGTGCCGCCCACCATTCCTCTGCGTCGACCTGTGGCACCTGCATCAGTGCAGGTGGCAATCATTCTGGAGGGGGGGGGGGGGGTGGGCCCTCGAACATAGTCCCGAAATATCAAGCTTTTTAAACAAGAGCGCTGCATTGATAAACATTAATTCGAGACCCAAAGATCGTGCTTCCTGGCTTTGAAATCCCTCCTCCACGCGCCACACTGGCGGTGGAACCATCAACCGCATGAGCACATCAACAGCAGGCCAACGCACACATCAAGCCACACGTGTGGTCGTGGCCAAGCAATCCAAACTATGGACCATACAGTAAACCCATGGAGACACGTAAAGACCCATAGAGACCCATATAGACATAGGGATACATTAAAGACCAGCCACGGTATTACGATTGTGGCCACACAACCTCAACTATGGACCGTATAGAGAAACACCTGAAGTCTGCACTCCTTCATTGGAGCAGGAACAGCCAAACCACACGGACTAAAGCCCTCTCGTCACGGCCAGCAGACCTCAACATTGCTGCTAAACGCAAGAGCAGAACTGAATGTTTTTCCCTGCTATGTGTATCAATAACATACGAATTGTGGGTGTTTTGAGCCCAGGGTCAGGGAGGACGAGGGGTGCAATCACCTCCACCCCCCACCTCTTCCTCTTTGGAAAGGCCTAATAATAATAATATTCTACAGTCCTTTGTCAATCTGCTGTCTAGATGAGGGCCTGCACGTGACGTTGGGGGTTATTTGACTTCACTCCGCTGGTCGGTGCGGGCTGGTAATGAAGGGAGGGGGCCAGCTAAAGTGGTCGCAAACTACTTCACCCTTTCACGGACGCCATCGGAAGGGAATCGGAAATCAAAGGCCATGCGGGGGGGAGTGTGGCACAGTTTGGCGCCAGCTATCGTAGAGTGCGGTCGTGTCGCTACCGTTTTCAGTGGTGAGTAAGATGTCTTTAAAAGCAGCGGCGCTACGGCACCTCTAAATAAAATGAACGCGGAGCCGCTTGCGTGTTCTGAGATTCAGCGGTGAATAGGAGCCCACCCTGCGACTTGCAGACGTCTCGGAAGAGGAAAGGGTTAATTGGTAAACATTCCTCGCCTCCCAATGAGACTCAGCGAACCTCTCATGGGGAAACAAGCGGACTAAGAATATATCCTTACCCTTTCCCTCTCAATTCTCCACCCATACTCGTCCAACACAGGTGCCCCGTGGGACAGATGCTCCTGCCGCCCGCTAATGCGAGCGATCCCATCACCGCCGCACGGGCCCCGCCGCCGCCGCCGCCCTCCTCGTCCGCCAGCTCCCCCGGAATCTGCGTCCCGGATCCGTGCTCCCGCGCTGCGTCGCCTCCGTGCCGGAACGGCGGCACCTGCCTCCCCGAGACGCCCACGGCCTTCTCCTGCCGCTGCCGCCACGGCTTTGCCGGCCGCCGCTGCGAGGCACCCGTGGCCGGCGTGCTGCTGGCGGCGGGCGCGGCCGAGGGAGGCCCAACGATCCTGGCCGTGGTCGCGGCGTGCGTGTGCGCCGTGGGCGCTTTCGGCATCATAGGTATCGGATGACGAAACAAGCAACAGCAACAAAACACGAACGCTGCGATTTGCGGCTCGCGTGAGCGCATGAGCGCATGTGCACGTCGCACACGCGTGGCCTCAAAGTGCACCTAACCCGGCGCGAGAAGGATAACGATTTGCATTTGAAGGGTGCTGGCTTAGATGCCTCAGCGGCTCAAAGCGCCTCTAGCATCGCAACTCAGCTCAACCGTCTCTTTGTCCTGCTGGGGAGACTCCCTGATGGCAGCTGCCCCTACGCAGCACGAGGTGCATACGCAGCGCCGGCCTGCACATGGACATGAGTCTGCGGAGGGTCGTACCGACGTCGCCGCCGCTTAGTACAGGACGGAGGCTGCTGCTTTTACGTATGGCCTCAAAGTGCACCTAGCCTGGCACAAGCAACGCGGTCATGTCACCTCTAGTGGTGAAATTATTGGATGAGTTCACTTGCTGCCAATGTACAACTTCATTGGCAAGGGCTATCTGAACCCGTCTAGGGGCTTCCCTAGGTTTACTCGGCCTTAATTAAGTGGATGATATGTGTGTATGGACATCGGCATAAGGGAGATACAGGTGGCCAGGCACGGTGCTGGCCTTGCCACGCTCCTGTGCCGTGCCAGCCTTAGTAGGCACTGGCAACAGCACTGGCCCTTTTATCTGTAAGGCTCTCTCTGGATTTGTTGTATGTACAGTATTGTGTCCATTATATTGGTTGAAATAGGGCACATTCTGCGTGGGGTTCATGAATAACTGGTTGAGGTGTCGGCGTTGTTAAGCTTGTCTTTAGTTTTTATTACTTTTTGTGGACAACAATGATAAGAAAACAACTCAACACCTTCGCCGGTAACACTGCGTGGCCTTTTAAATAATAAGGCGACGTTTCGGGCAATGCCCCTTCTTCATAACACACGTGCTATGAAGAAGGGCCATCGCCCGAAACGTCGCCTTATCTTCGGGCCACAGTGTTTTTAGTGAACGTGTCTTTTTTCCTGTCACCTGTGCTTGTGCACCACTGCCAATGCAGCAACATCACCAGAACAATGTCAACAATAACAAGAATGGTTTCGAGAGCGATTTGGTTTGCTCATTCGATCGCCCGTGAACTGGTTGTTAAAATTCTCACCTTCTGCGCCTTCGCCTCCGTCGTGATGTCTGTAACCCATCGTGCGCTTCGTGTGTCGTTCGCTTGCTTCGTGTATCGTGTCGCCTCTGTTGTGCGGGATTGTGTGTTTCCATCGCTTTACGACTGTCCGTCTCTTTCTGTTTCTCCCAAAGTCGCGTCGTTTGCGAGCGGCGACACGTTTCATTTCGTTTCGCGCGCGTGGGCAGCCTCGCCCGCGTTTCTCAAGTAAGGCCTTGTGTACGACTGTCGACGGTGTCGTCTTGTCATTTCAGTTTTGTCCGGTTTTGTGCGTCTGCCATTTCGCTGTGTGAGCGCGCGCGCGAGCGTCAGAGTTCAGGCGACCAAGCGTCCCGCTTTGGCCGGTGGCTTTGGGAAGGTCCGTCCCCTGCGTCTCCCGTGAAGCTTGAGCGGAGGGGGAAAAAAAAATCGAGATTTTCTTTTTGCCGCCCATCTAAAATGTTGTGGCCTCGTGCTCACTTCGTGATGCTGGCCCTGGGATTGTCGGGACCCACGCTGCGTAGAAACGTGCTGCCGCAGAGGTCGTCCGAGTCCAATTCGATCTCCTGGCACGGCAGCTGAAACAATTGTCTCGGCGGTCGATGGGCAGGTCACATGCGGCGGGGTAAAGTGTGGATACTCCCGCCTCCTCTCTTCTGGGATGTCTGGTCAGAGTGAAAGAGGAGACCAAATGCTATCCAGCTCCATCCAGTGGAGACCCTTCTGCCAATGGTGTGAGCAAGCAATTGCAGGGCTGCACCTTTACCATTTTTCTCTCGTTCATAAGGCTCGGTGGCAGCGTGCTTGACTCAAAATTGAAAGGATGTGAGTTAAATTCCTGGTCGGGGACTGACTTATCAAAGGGCCCATAAGATAACTACCACTTTGGGGGAAGTCTACAGAGATCATCCTGATGGAGAGACTGACTTACTATAATCCAGGTGAATGTGGAATTTCCACCACTGGTTAGAAATTATCTATCACTACTGCGTGGGTGTTCCTCTTCCCGTTGTATCCCTCTGCGATGCGTTTTCGGGTTGTGCCGCGTGTCGTTCGGCACGATGTCCGACGTTTCGCTCCCCGTGCTGGGAGCTTCTTCACGGAGAATAGACTCCAGATCCTGAAGAAGCCCCCAGCACGTGGAGCGAAACGTCGGACATTGTGCCGAATGACACGCGACTCGACCCCAACAACACATCAGAACGCCCCCTAAACATTTTTGTTGGTAAACTGCTCTCAGCCAGCGTTCTTACGCTACTGCCATCGAACCGTGGCAATATTATTGCAGTGTTTGGATATTAGTAACGGGATAGTAATGCATGTTGGTGTGATTATGTATTTTTTTTAAATAAACTAGCGAGCGGGTTTTTTTCTTTCACAATTGTCTGTGCGTACGTTTTAAACGGACGTTGATTTGCCCGCTTCAAGACGATCCGCCAAGTTATTTTGACAAGCCGGAACATTTCTCTGGAATTTATCATCGGCAATTCCCAATTCAAACCAATCGGTATTTTGGTGAATTTCCTAAATCGCAAGGAAGTCACAACCATGCGCTTCAGGTCTCAGAAGCTAAGCTCCGTTGTTGTACTGCACTTTGCCGAACGTCTATGGTCCTCGCTTTCACCAACCCCGTACTGAGCAGCGTGGGGAAGTATGCTCAAATATCCCTTCACGGTGCGGTGAGGCCCTCATCCAGCAGTGGATTTACAAAAGGGCTGTACACGTGCTGCAATAGTTCGACTGCTAATCTTGCAAACCCTCAAATGGCAGGTCAAAACATACCTCTTCGTCGCGGAAATTGAGTTGAGAAAGATGAAAAGTTCATTGAGTAACCGACTTAAATGATTCAGCACTCGGCGGTACCAGAGCTTTTATTCAACAGCTTTCATTGGTTGAATATCAATTGATAAATCATCGTTCAAATCAACCCGCGTTCAACCGTTATCTGTAAACATCTTTCCCTCGTTCATATGCAGTAGAATAAACTTCCACGTGCTCTCATAAACCTCTAAGGAACATGCCGTACACATATTGCCTGAAGCACGCTATGTGAATTCTGACATAACTTATTGTGTACGTACTGATTTGGTAATAACACCACCTTCCCTTCTGCCTCATTCCATCGGTCTACCGCACCCCCCCCCCCCCCCCACCTCTGTTTTCTTGTAGTGGTTTTGTCCATCCTCGCCTGCTGGGTACGGGCGCGGAGCAAGCGTGGACCGCAGCACTCACGGGCGCGGGGGAGCAGCGTTGGAGACGTGCGCGAGAACGTCGTCTCTTACAACGAGGAGGGCGGAGGAGAGGATGACCAGGTGAACTGCACTGCATGTAGTGTGTGTGTGGTGTGTGTGTGGTGTGTAGTGTGTGTAGTGTGTGTGTAGTGTGTGTGTGTAGTGTGTGTCGTGTGTGGGTGGTTGTGTGTAGTGTGTGTAGTGTATGTAGTGTGTGGGTAGTGTGTGTGTAGGGTGTGTATGTCGTGTGTGTGTGTAGTGTGTGTATGTAGTGTGTGTACGTAGTGTGTGTGTATGTAGTGTGTATGTAGTGCGTGTATGCAGTGTGTGTATGTAGTGTGTGTACGTAGTGTGTGTACGCAGTGTGTGTACGTAGTGTGTGTACGTAGTTTGTATACGTAGTGTGCGTACGTAGTGTGTGTGTGTAATGTGTGTATGTAGTGTGCGTACGTAGTGTGTGTATGTAGTGTGCGTACGTAGTGTGTATATGTATTGTATGTAGAAACGTGCGTTGAGATTATTTCGATGACTTTGCAGCAATAAATGTCCACGTGATACGCCACTTCGTTGAGCTATCATTTGTGGCCAGGTCGCTTCTGAAAAAAGACACTCAATAGCTCAGTGGGCCTTACCTGGTAAAATAAAAATATATTGTTTAGTTTTATTTGTATATTTGTTTTAAGTGATTTGTTGACCTTTCCTATACTGTGCACTCCGATTGTGTTTGCATTGTTGGTTGTTCTAACGTTCTGACCCGCCCCTGATACACGTCTGTGAAGGAGCTTCATAGCTCATCGGATTCCTACAATTAAAATATCAATCTGTATGTTGAACTTCTTTCGCGCCGTGCGTAGCCAACCGTGCTAATCGGAGATGCGGGAGAAAGACAACAAACGATGCACAAAAAGCAGTTCCAAACAAATGAGTTTTCAATCTAGATTATTTAAAAGTGCGTAGCTCCAAAGGCTTCTTAATATCGGAAGGAAGAGCGTTCCAGACGACCGCAGAAGCGCATCTGAAAGCGCCGCGCGATGCAGTGATCACCGTCTTTGGTCGATGGCCAACCAAAAGCCGCTACTGCGAGCGTGACCAGAGTTCGCGTGATGGTTTATGCTCCTTGACAACATTCTGGCTTGCTTTTATTCAACTGATCACTTGAACCCACTGAACTGCTCTTTCGATTATGAACACTGTAGTACTGGGGCGTACGATGGTGACGTGGCTTAATGGTTACTACACTAGATGAGAAATCCAGAGGTCGCCAGGACAATTCCATCTGCTGGAGCAGTAGATGAAAAAATGGTGCAAGATTCTTGAATTTGCCTCGCCTCTATCCAGCAGGATAAATGGGTATGGCATGGTAAGTCGATCAGCAATTCTCGAGTGTGGGTGTTTACCACCTCTCCAAAGACGTCTTGCCAGTTTGGAAGAGTAGGCCATAAACACGCTCTTGCTTGACTCACAGTTTGAAGGTTCAGCAGTGGTTTGACAAAGGACTATCACGGTGGCGAGATGTTAGCTACCTCATCTAGTAACCAGGAGATCGTGGGTTCAATCCCGACCATGATGCCTGCATATTTGGAGTTAACATGTTCTCCCTGTGATCGTGTGGATTTTTGTCTGGGTTATTTGGATTTTCCTTCCACATTTAGAATCAGTGTGCATTTAGAGTATGAGGTGTCTATTTCCACATAATAAGCCACTTCGTTAAGCGATCATTTGTGGCCAGGTCGCTTCTGAAAAAGAGCAAATAGTTAATTGGACCTTACCTGGTAAAATAAAAAAAAGTTTATTTTATGCAATTGTAAATGACTAAATGAAACCAAGCAAATGGAACCTATCCGAGAGGATGTCCATCCAGCAGTGGATGGACCGTGACTGACAATGGCCATGACGGTGATGAAACTTGACTGCTTGACTCGCTGCATTCACCAGAACTTGTTCAGCATGGCTGAGCTGCAGAGGCCGCTGCAGGGCCTTGAGTCTCGGCCTGCGGCGGACGGTGAGGGCCCCCCTCGCTTCTCGCCGTCATCGTCGCCGTGCGACGGGGACCCCGAGGGCCCCGCGCTCCCCTGCCGCTCCGACGCGTACTTCTCCGTCATCCGCGGTCGCCCCGGATCGGGTTACGCAGCCCGCTCGTCCGGAACGACGCAGAACGGCGAGCCGAGTGGAAATCCGGAAACGCACAACAAGAACACGGAACCGTACGGTGGAAATCAGGAATTGCACGGCAAGAATTCGGATCTGCAAAGTCAAAATCCGGAATCGTACAACAAGAACCCAGAACTTTATAGCCAGAATCAGGAATTGCACAGTAGGAATATGGAACCGTACGGCATGAATCACGAAGCACACAACAAACATATGGCATTTTACAGCAGGAATTCAGAACTGTACGGCGGAAATCAGGAATTGCACGGTAAAAATCCGGACACGCAAAGTAGGAATCTGGAATCGTTCAACAGGAATCCGGAATTTTACACCCAGAATCAGGAATTGCACAGTAGGAACCTGGAACCGTACGGCAGAAATGAAGAAGTGCATAACAAGAATATTGCATTGTACAGCAGGAATCCAGAACTACACAGCACTAATCAAGAAGCACACAGTAAGGATCCAAAACAATACGGCGGAAATGTGGAAATGCACGAGAGCCTCGAGCTGTGTAGGAACGCGGAATCTCGCAAGCCTATCGTGTCACTCCCGGGCTACGGTATTGGATTTGACCTTGGCCTGCCAGCCCATGGTGGAGGAGAAGGCAGGAGCGCACTTCCTGCCGATCGGAGAAACGTTATCTGGAAATCCTCCGCGCTTCCCCATACCTGGCGCCCCGGCGTCGGAGGCCGCAGCGTCCAACGCCGCTCGCATCGTAACCCCCGAATCTCCGTCTTCGACAGTTCTGCTTGGTTACGGTGGCAGCGGTTGCGGCAGTGTCAGTGGCAGCAGTGGTAGCGGTGGCAGTAGCGGCGGCGGCAGCGGCGGTTTACGTGGTGGCCGCACGGCCGCTTCGGGCCGCCCGGCCCCACCGGCCTTCAAAGCCCAGCGGCCGCCCCCGCCGGACTACAGCCATTATTTGGCTCGGATCATGGCCCGCGCCGAGAACCAGCCGGACGACCCGCCGCCCCGGGTGTACGCCGTGGAAGGCGGCGGCACGCCGGCCGGCAGCCTCAGCACCATCACGTCCGGCGAGTGGGGAGAGGAGGAGTTGGATTGTGGTGGAGGTGGCGGCGGTGGCGGCTGTGACGGTGTTCGTGGGTGCCGGGGTCTCGCTTTGCATTCCACGAGTGGGGGGCACAGGGGGGCTGTCCTCGGGGGGGAGGACGGCACGAGGGGAGATGGAGCGCGGTTGGTGTGGGTGGTGGATGCCGTCACGGAGAAAACTTGAGCGGCGTCCGTTCGTTCGTGCGCGTCCGTTTCACTTGTTAATTTTGTTTAGTATTTTTTTTAGCACTAATTAAGTCACGTTTCCGTCATGGGTGTCTCGGCAGTGCTGGCTAATTGAACTACGTACTATTTGTATTTTTACCAGGAAAGATCCACTGAGCTATGCAGCTCTTCTTCAGAAGCGACCTCGCCACAAATGATTGCTTCAACGGCGTGGCTTATCATCACGTGGACATATAGAGCAGCCAAATAATCTAAACACGTGTTGCTCAATGTGGAGGGAAAACAGAAATACCTTGGTGAAAGATCCAAGTGACCACGGGGAGAACATAGAAACTTCAAATATACAGCAGGCGTCAGGGTCGGGATCTAACCCACTCCCTCCTGCATGCCAGGCTACGCAATTAACACCTCGCCACCGCGGCACCCTAATTTGCTCTGACATGGCCATTACAAGACCCTCAGAGCCCCCCCCCCCCCCCCCCCACACGTCGATGAATCTAGATTTGAAGCTTTCGTGACTGCAAGGATTCATAATCTTAGGTTTTTTCGGTAAAGTCACGTAGGTAAAAATAAATAATGATAATAAATATATAATAATATACATTTCTTACTTTCCTTTATATTGTTATTTCTAGTATTATTTTTAATTAATCGTATTTCTTTTTTCCTACGTGACTTTACCGAAAAAACCTAAGAGTATGTTGATGAATATGTTGCTTGTGTCTTCGGTCATTCTTGTGCCAAAAACTTCATGCAGTTCAGCAATAATTTCTCATCCAATTTCACGCCTCTGTCCTCATGCATGTAACAGTAATATGACGATAATAGTGAGTAAGCCTTTGCTAATCCACTGCTGGATGAAGGCCTCTCCGTGGAGTGTATTTTGTGGGAGGTGATTGACCATACTTCACCACACTGGTCAGTGCGGGTTGGTGAAATATTCGCCAAGAAATACCTCAGCACTTACGGAAGATAACCTAATATGCATAACGGTTTAAGTTGTATTAGCTTATATAATTTAATTAAAGTTGTTTACCTCTGCAACACAAATAGACCTCAGACATTTCAAATTACTAATTATATGGTGATACTACGTTGGCAGTGGTGCAAAAAATTTAACTCAATACATTCGTCAATAAGACTGTGGCCTTAAAAGGAACATTTTTAATAGGCGTTACACAATAAGTGACATTTTGGACTTTCAAGAATGGCCAATGCCTAAAATGTCATCTATTATATTTATATTTTAAGGCGACGTGTTATTGACAATTGTATTTTAAATTACAATTCGGATTTACAGTCTCGGGTTCTGAGTTTGAATTCCTGACTAATGTACATCGCTTATCGGGCAAGCGGCTTCACTCACTGTTGTTATTATTCAGACCAAATCAGTGTTTATCTCTGCTATGGCAGGGTTCCAGTTTTTCCATACAATTTTCGACTGGATGAATTAATAACAGAGTTTCAGTAAATACACATTAACGCATTCGAGAGGAGAACCACCGCGGAGATGGAGCGATGGAATCAACTCGTGTGTGAGAGTGAGATGGATCGTGGCGTTGCAGGAGCGCGAGGGATGGACACGGCTTTGGGAGGCAATGGAGAGACGATCACTCGTGATAATAATGATGGTGATTATCAAGATATTCAACAGACATGCGTCTCTATGAGATCTCTTTTACCAGTGGCAAAATATAGTACTAGGTTTTTACCCTTTTAAACTGGTACAAAACTGACACCTTTATTCAAGGCATCATGTTTGCAATAACAACAACACAAGTAGTCAAAAAAGCAAACAAAAAGAAGAAACTCTGATAATGATAATAATATGCACTGTCCTTGAAGTAATATGCACTGTCCTTGAAGTTGTCATTATCAGAGTTGCTTCTTTTTGTTTGCTTTTTTGACTACTTGTGTTGTTGTTATTGCAAACATGATGCCTTGAATAAAGGTGTCAGTTTTGTACCAGTTTAAAAGGGTAAAAACCTACTACTTAGACATGCGTCTGTCTGTTCCACACAGTGGTATCAAAGGGCTGTTCCATAGAGCATCTGCATCCAAACAATATCGCTTTAACAGTCCAGACTCTGCTGATGAGACTAATAAGTTCAACACCGGAGCAGTGTTTAGCTGATGAAACAAGTACTGTTGGAGAATATTTGACCTAAAGGCCAATAGGCTGATAGATCTAATTTTTTTCATGTGAAAAGGTAAAATAGTTGTATTTATTATTTATTTGATAACCCATAATCTCCTATGTAAGCTGACAATGCCTTTTTGTCCTATTGTATTATTCTATGTTGATGGGATTTAGATCGGTAAACAAGAGTGAAGGAATTGATATCCAGCAAATCCAATCTTTTTCAGATACCGTTACATTTTTCCTGCGACGTTGTACGTGCAACCATGAATCTAACATTAATTACCCTTGATCAGTCCTGAATCTGTGAGCATCTCTCACAGCCCTGCGGTGCAACTATCGAGCTCCTGCATGCAAGCTGACTTAATTGTTCCATGCCCGTGGTGAATTGCCCATGTTCACTCCTTTGACTGGCACTCTGTCGTTAGTCTCGACCACCGGTTGCCATCGTCCTTTCTCGCCCCGACGCGTACTGCCCAAGCCACTGTTCTTCACAGTCAACGTGATGTCTGTAACTTGCGTACGTTCCCCGAACGAGCATCTAACGTAGATTTCATTGAATATGGGGACTAACAATTTTGCACTGCGATGAAAGTTAAATGCGTGCAGGGTAACGTAAACACTTGGAGAAAGGTGAAGCTTAGTTAAAACAATTGTATGAATTTGTAGGAGAAATGTTGTTTCTTTTTTATACCTTGTGGCTGATGAGAATAAACGTGCATTTGTAACTACCCTGCTTTTTGTGATTTTGTGAACGCATTCAACATCCAATTAAGTAGCTTTGAGCCTGCATGATGCTTGGATGGATAACCACCATGCACACACAGGGTGTCATAGGATTTGGGGCCGTCCATAAATGACGTCACGCGATTTTTGACGATTTTTTACCCCCCCCCCCCCTTCGTCACACGGCGTCACAAAAAGTCAGACCCACCCTCAAATATGACGTCACAAAGCTCTGCCCCCCCCCCCCAATAAAACATGCTTCAAATCTCTTTCAACTATTGTCATTATAATGTGGCGCTGAACTCTGATGTTCTCGGAGAATTTGATTATTAAAAAGTCTATTTAATTAAGTAGAACGTGTTGTCTATATTTATTTAAAGTTGCGCATTTTGATGTGACGTCACATTTCTCACCCCCCCCCTCGTCACACATCGTCACAAATGTATGACCCCACCCCCCCTAGGTGCGTGACGTAATTTATGGACGGCTCCTTTGTGGTACCATTATAGGGCAGTGCAGCGAAATGCATTGCAAGGTACTATTCCCTTCACGTCTATGCTCCCTGCTCTTACCAATTAGTAATGACCAGCGTGGTGAAGTAAGGTCACAAATGAAATTAAAATTAATAAAAAATGAAACAATACAATCTGGCTGTGACGGTCCCACCTGATGACGGAGACTTGTGTTGCCTCCGAAACGTGATTTTATTGTTTTCTTTTTATTAATTTTAATTTCATTTTTTACCTACGTGACTTTACCGAAAGAACTACGAGTATGAATCCTTGCAGTCACGAAAGCTTCAAATCTAGAATTAAGGTCACAAACTCAACATGGCCCACACGGCGTGGGAAGGCCATCATCCAGCGGTGGATTAAAAAGGCTGTACATGTACATGGAGGATATAAATGACTCTTGTGGAAAAATATTGAATGGAATTCATTTTCTCTTCAATATTTCTCAAAACAGTTGAATGTTTTCAACGTGAAATGCTCTTTACGTCTTGTATGTTACAATTTAGAACACTTTCTCAAGAAACTTTTGGACGATGACCTTTGCACACCATGGAATGTACGGGAAATGTTTGACCATACTTCACCACGATGCTCCGTCTAGGTTGCAAAAGGAGGCTGGGAGGAGGTGAGTGTGGGGAGGCCGGTTTCGATGCCATCGATGGTACGGTGGTCATGTGATGTGATGCTGTTTCTCGTTCATTCAATGATCTCCGGTATAACTGAGAGCACGTGCTCTATCCGGATTGTGACAATGAACACATTCCTCCTGCGGAGGGAGCTGGTAGGAACGTTGGGTTGCTCGGTCAATGGCCAGGGTCAACGGCGGCGTGGTGTATTCCGCAAATATGTTGAGTTTTATAAGGACACCACGGGGTGACCAGCCCCTCCCCACCCAGCCCCACCCCCCACCCAGCCCCCCCCCTCTCCACCCAGCCCCACCCCTCCCATTTTTTGATGCACGACGGACGGACACAATAATCCCCTGTGGGCTGATGGAACTAGGAGGTTCCTACCAGTATAAACATTTCATTTCGAGGCTCATGTTGAGTGAACTGCGGTTGAAGAATGTTGAGCTCATCTTTATCTGTACAGCAAAGCGCAAAATACAGACGAATAAAACTAAAATCTGAATCACCATTACAAAGTTAAATTGCTGTTATTGCTATTATTGGGATACGTATCGAGCGAAGTATTATCGTATCGTGAAAGATAATATCGCCATTCTATTGCGTATGGATATATGTTCAGGAGCGAATTAATGAAATCCTATTGTCGAGGTCTACTGGCCACGTGCAGTTGTTGCTACTCCACCAATCAACGAGCGCAGACGACGACAGTTAACGATACCTTGCGTCGACGTCAGATGTAAAGAATCGATTATTTTAATCGTGACATGGAGTCGCGATTATCGAATCACCCTCAGCCCACGCCAATCTCAATCAAGCTCCGCCCTACAATATAAAAAATGCAACACATTTGTGGCCTTAAAAGGAAAAAGATATCTATAATAGGGAAGTAATAAAATAATAAAAATAAAACATAATAAAACAATTCTCACGACGTTTTCGGCCACAACGCAAGCAGGACGGCTGCTTGCGTTGTGGCCGAAACGTCGTGAGAATTGTTTTATTATGTTTTATTTTTATTATTTTATTACTTCCCTTCTACGTGACTTTACCGAAAGAACCAAGAAGATGAATCCCTGCAGTCACGAAAGCTTTACATCGAAATATCTATAATAGCCGACGTTTTGGGCAATTGCCCTTCTTGGTGAACAGTTAACAAAAAATGGCATTTGAACATGAAGCTATGAATAGATAACTATGAAAAGGAAACATCATATGCCAAGTTAAAAACTGAAGTGGTTTTCAGTGCAGTATCCACGCTATCTCTGTGGCCCATTTATACGCGCTATGAACAAGGGCTATTGCCTGAAACGTCGCCTATTGTATAATGTATTTTATTTTCAAGGCCACACAGTGTTGCTCTTAGCGAACGTGTTGATGCTTACTTTGTTAATTGTGCTTGTGCACCACTGCCAAAGCAGCATCAGCATTCTAGATTTGAAGCTTTCGTGACTGCAAGGATTCATACTCTTAGTTCTTTCGGTAAAGTCACGTAGGTAAAAAATGAAATTAAAATTAATAAAAATAAAAAAATCACGACGTTTCGGAGGCAACACAAGTCTCCGTCATCAGGTGGGACCGTCACAGCCAGATTTGCTGCATCAAGTGACCTACCTGATTTTTTATTTTATTTTAATTAATTTTAATTTCATTTTTTACCTACGTGACTTTATCGAAAGAACTAAGAGTACAGCATCAGCATCACCACCACTATCAAAACTTGTAAACGTGACCACGTTAACATGTTGTTAGTTGAAAATAATAATTCCATTTATAAAGCGATTTTCATCAAGGATCTCAAAGCGCTGATGGTTTTGTTCATGTTTTGTTTCTGACGTAGTAACCAGGTTTCTTTGGTGCAACCAGCTGCCTCTCGACAATGAGAATGAGAAGGTATTCCCCGGTGACTTCGACTTATGCCGAAATAAACCATCCAGTTCAGCCACCAAACAACCACTAAACATCTCGCCTGCAAACTAAACCCCGCCCCTCAACCGCACAGCCCCGCCCACCCGCACCAAGCCCCGCCCACCGCGACCAAGCCACGCCCATAATTAAGCCCCGCTTACCCACACCAAGCCCCGCCCACCGCGACCAAGCCACGCCCATAATTAAGCTCCGCCCCTCCCCAACACAACCCTCCCCCAATCTCTGCCGACAAGCCCCGCCTACCCCAACTAAGCCCCGCCCATTGCGACCAAGCCCCGCCCATCATTAAGCTCCGCCCATCCCAACACAACCCTTCCTCAATCCCTGCCGATAAGCCCCGCCCACCCACACTAAGCCCCGCCCACCGCGACCAAGCCACGCCCATAATTAAGCTCCGCCCCTCCCCAACACAACCCTCCCCAATCTCTGCCGATAAGCCCCGCTTACCCCAACTAAGCCCCGCCCACCGCGACCAAGCCACGCCCATAATTAAGCTCCGCCCCTCCCCAACACAACCCTCCCCCAATCCCTGCCGACAAGCCCCGCCCACTCCAACGAAACCCCTCCCCTTTAAACCCCCCACGCCCCGCCCACCCACACCAAGCCCCGCCCCCAACACAACCCTCCCCCAATCCCTGCCGACAAGCCCCGCCCACCCCAACTAAGCCCCGCCCACCTACACCAAGCTCCGCCCCCCAACACAACCCTCCCCCAATCCCTGCCGACAAGCCCCGCCCACCCCAACAAAACCCCGCCCCTTTAAACCCTCTAAGCCCCGCCCACTCACACCAAGCCCCGCCCACCCACAACAAATTTCCCGCGGCGAGCGGAGCGTTGCGTAGCGGCAGCGCGTGTGGCGCACACACAGCGCGCGATGCGGCACCGGCGGCGGCGGCGCTAATACAAATTGCTCGGTGAAGAGTAACAACTGCACTCACGCTTGGCTTGGCTCGACTGTGGGCAAAGATGTTACGCTGCGCCGAGGTGGCGGGAAGTTATCGTGCGTGAGGGGATCGCCCTCGCTACACCGCCACCTCCCCCCTTCTCCCTCCCCACGTCCCTCAGCCGCCGACACGGAGCGGCCATCTTCAGTGGCGTGAGGCGGCCGCGCCGTGAGGGAGCCCCGCTGAGCGAGGGTGGTGAGATGAGCCTCTCGCCTCCGCTCGGCGATTCATTCGACGACGACGACGAGGAGGAGGACGAGGAGAGCCGAGAGACGCCGCTCCGCCACAGGTTCCCGCTGTTGTCTTCTCCGTCCTCCCGCTAGGCGATGTCGCGACGTCGCCCGCTGCTTTTGTCGTTGCGTCTCGTCTCGTCGTGCCGCCGAGGGGTTTGCGAGATGATTTTGTTTTACTAACGAGGGCTTTTCACCCCCTTTTTTATGGCAACAAAACTGACACCTTTTGCAAGGAGCCACGTTTACATTAACCACGATACTTGCAGTCAAATGCAAACACAAAACAACACTGATACTGGCTAGCAAAGGAGGCCTCGTGATGGAGATAATTAACAATGTTGCGCTCTGGGTTTCTCGTGTTGCGCTGTTTGATCAGACGGCACCAAGCCAGCCGAAGTAATGTTTTATTGCGTGTGGCAATGTAATGTGTAGTTAAAGTGGAGATGCTTTGCACGGCTGCGTTGGCTGTGCAGCGAAATCCACGGTTGCACTGTACTCCTATGCGCCACAACCCCCCCCCCCCCCTCCAGACGTTACCAGCGTGGTTAAGTATGGTCAAATTCTGTAACATCCACGACTGCCACGTGGGTGAGCGCCTCAATCATCCAGCAGTGGATTGACGAAAGGGCTGATGTGCACATGCGCTAAAGCCGCGTGCGTCATTAGTTTCAAGTGAACGTTGATGAATGTGAAACGAATGCTGACAATCGGTTTAACGTGTTACTTACAGTCGTGGTAGTGAACACAATATTACTGAGAGGGCCCACAACGTAACTAGTATCCCTTATCTGTAACATCGCTTAGTTGCATCAACACTTGTTCAAGCAAGCGTCACTGCTGATGAGACACTGCGTGGCGAAACTGGTCCCGAGTTGTTCTTGTTTTGAATCGAATCTGATGAAATTATGCACTTCCCACAATGATTGGTTGTATTAAATACTTTTATTTCGTGTATGTGGAGAGACGGAGACTATATAGGGCCACATTGTTCAATTATAATTATATTTAGAGGCAACTTTTTATGAAAATTAATTTATTTTACAGTTTTTAACATTTATCCGGATTTGTTTTTGGGTCGCGCCACTTAGTAGATTTATGCCTAAACCCATCACCACCCAGCAAGATTTTCACGCTTACAAATGTACACATTATTATGTATACGTGGCTAATGTGATCAAATTCTGACCAATAAGGCTCCTCCCTCCTCGCCGGTGGCTTAAGAGTTTCCACGACTCCCTTTTAACATCCACGTACGACAACGTTTCGAGTGAGGCCGACTACGCTGACCCACCGTGACACCACCCACAGCGCAGATCGTTCCCCAGTCCTTGGTAATTTGGGGCCTGGCTGCTTTTAATTATTACACTTTATTTAACTTGCCCTGCTGTCTGGATTATATTCTTTCAAATTGTTGACGCTTAATATGTTCGGATCTACGAAGACTAACGAGATGAAACTGGGTACAGAAACTCGTGTCGCGTGACAATTCAAGATTTAATTTAAAGAACCGGTTCAGGTACCGCCGATCCTGGGCCTTTTCCACTTAAAATTGTATTGCACTATTTCAAATATATTATAATTATCCAGGCAATCATGAAACTAATGTTAGTGTCTGGATTGAGATCTTATAATGAATATGCACATATACAAATTATTTTGTACAAGATTAACATTAAAATAAATTGGATTAGAAAAAGTTTTTAATTATACACACTTTGATTTGTCCTCAAAAGTAGAAAATACATTATTTCGACCCCAGAATAAATAATATTTGACGTGTTGAATACAAGTGGGTGATTTCCTTTAGATTTACTACATTTTCTGTGGTCAAAATAATTTATTTTCTACTTTTCAGTGCAAATCAAAGTGTGTGCATTGAAAATACATGATTTTACCTAATTTAATTGTTAAAACAACTTCAAAGTCATCTAATTTTACTGGGTCTTCATACCGACTTCTATTTGCATGGCCTGCTTTTTATATGTTGATTACAAATATTTGTCTTCAAAGAACTCTTATTATTCGAAAATGATGCCTTGTGTGCTCTTTGATATTGCTTTCTGTGGTTATTGAGTCATTGTTTGTACAATATACTTATCATGTTACAGGTAAATTAGTTGTGTTGGTTTGTTATTGAGTGTACTTTGTAGTATAGTTTAAATAGGGACTTTTTGATAATGCAGCACTTAGTTTAAATAAAAATATAATCGATGCTACATACTACAATAACATACGTTTTAAGTTCGTATTGAACCTTATTTTTCCATACTAAATAGAAGTATAAACATCAAAGGTGAACTTGATTGGGATTGAAGGTGATTTAAGTAAATAGAAGTAGTGTGGTTTTCCCTGAAAGTACCTTCCACAGAGGAGATGGAACGATTAAATGAACTAATTTGCGGGTGCTGTGTGGGTGATCGCACCTTGAAGCTTTAATCCAGCATTGGACAGATCATAGTTCTGATCTGCCCTTGCTGCAAATATATGAAAAATAACTTAATAGCCCATCGGATTCCTCCAGTATAAATGCATATTCTGATTCTGATAGCCGATAATGTTTGTATAATTAGTCAAATACAGCATGGAAGGAGGCACGTTGGCGTTGTGTACAAATTTTACATCACCATTGTAACACTGAATTATAATAATCATAACAACAATCATATAATTTTGCACAGGAAAGCCTCACTGACTAGTGGGACTTTTCCCCGGTTCCCTGAAACGAATGAATGGATTAATGTGCGAGAAAACCCACCATCCCTTACAAGGGGTGTTGCACGCACAGTTTCAATAATTCATCTACTGTCATTTTCTGGCCACCTCAATTGCCCAGACAGGAAAATTAATGCATAGTTAAGAACAAATGAAAAGTAAAGCCTGTGCATGTGTTGAGTGTGCATGCCCTGCATTCTGTAATTTATACAGGAAAGCCTCGCTGTGTCTCAGGACTCTTTTCAGGAGGGTCCTGCTCCATTTGAATGTTTTTGGCCGATTTGCGTTTCAATGAGTGGTTTTAATATGGAAGAAAACCGGAGAACTGGGAGATCTTGCCTGTATTGAGACTAAAACGTTTGCACTGATGGGTTCAGAAACCGCTTACTGTACTGCCATATCCTGGCCTCCTTGCAGCCCAGTGAGTTTGGAGTGTCACAAATCTGTGGTCTGCCAACCCCTGCTTCCAAAGCGGTGAGTCACAGGCATGCAACCACTACCTGAGTTCTATTTCACAGATATATGTTGTGGCAGAGTGTTTATAGCACTGCGGCCACCTGAGTTGGATTCCCAGCCATTGCTAGCATCAGTTGCGAGGGACTTCTGACCCTGTCTTGGCCCTCCCCTTTCACGAAGTCCTACTGACCAGCGTGGCGAAGTATGGTCAAACAATTCTCATGGCTGACACAGTGTGGGAAGGCTTTTATCCAACACTGGATATACAAAAGAACGCAAAGAGTATAGTACAGTACAACACTCCTAATAATGTAGCCTGCAGCAGCCTGCAACACTTGTTTTATGCATGGTCATCACCCTTTTATGAACTATCCAAGCTGAAACCTTGCTAGCTTCCGAGAACAGCAACAAGTGAGTTTGCAATTTCCTGCATCTTTAATTTGAATACCGATGTTGTCATTTGTAGGTCTGACATGGCGATGTGCGTATTGTGACATAAAACAACAACAACTGGAAAGGACTGGTCAACAACCCAACTCGCAAGCTCAAGAAAAACCCAGCCCCAGGTTCATCACCGCAGAGGAGAGGGCAGGGCTCAGGAGGCTGTCTACGACCGGAGGATGAACCATCAGAGGGCCGAGAGACCGAAGCGTAACAGAATACAGAAGCAACGGGTTGGCCAACTTTTATAACACAATTCTTTCATGTTTGTATGTTGTGCTGGTCACACCCACCCCCCTGTCGCGCTCTGCTCGCCTTAGTAGGTGCTTTATAAAAGCGCTTACTGCAAGTCTATAATGGTATAAAGGGTAACTTTGCCTTGATGTACCGTACACATTCGGTGTGGGGAGTGGTGGCGTTAATGGTTCATGTGCTGCACTCTGACACTGGTGGCCTGAGTTTGATTCTTGGCCACGGCTAATATCGGTGTCTAGTGATGTCTGAACCAGTCTTGGGTGTCTTCCAGCTCAACTCGGCCTTAAATGAGCACCTGTTGCAGTGTGTAAACAGCACTGAGGAGACAAAGGCGGCCATCCACACCACCCACACATACACTGTGCCATCCCTCACTAAAAACAACAGTCTGGCTATATTCGAATGTCTTTGTGTATGTAGTGTTTTGCGTCAAGCACTAGAATCACAGTGACTCTGGTTTAATTTTAACAGCAGTGGCGTGTGGTTTCTACACCATCTCGGATGACCTCTAGGAAAACTCGGCCTTAAATGAGTACCTGGTGCAGTGTGTATGTACACAAGAGCTTTGGGGAGGCCTCAGTAGGTGCTCGCTAACTCCAACGTTTTGTGTGGATATATAGTGGAAGCTGCTTTGTCTTTGTGTGTGTCGAGTGGTAGTGCAGTAGTTTGCGGTCTGTGCTCCAATTACATGTTGGGTGTCTGCCCATGATGTGGCTCGCCGAACACAAGCACCAGCGATGATGTCAGCTATGCTTAGTGGTGAAATTTTCGTCGTGTGGGGAGTAGCGGGGCAGGAGTTTGTGCATGGCACTGCGTTGTCGACGACCTCGTACGTTCCTGGCCATGTACAACTTCAGTGGCACGTTGCATCTGAACCTGCCTTGGGCCTCCACTAGGATAACTCAGCCTCAAAGGCCTGTGCATAGGAGAGGCAAAGGTGATTATAATGACTGAGTGACGTGGTTGGTCTTATTGTGGCAGTGTCATGTTGAAACCCAACGATAAACATCACTAAGTTCATAATATAAACCGATAAGTGTACGTAAAAGCACATCCTACGTCTCCCTTGCGGAAAGGGATAACGTGTCAGTTGTTGAAATCAAGGACGTTGAGCTGAGCACACAAATTCTGCATGCATCCGCTTCGGGATCTGTAACTATTATCAAATGTTCAGTCTTAGTTTTCATGATGGTCATGAATCGCCGATGGGACGCGAGCAGAGAGTTGCAGGCAGCGACTGACTGTGACGAATCTCATTAAACGGAGCTTTTGCGGTCGTACCTCAACCAAAGCCTGAGAAATCCACAGGCTTAAGTTGCTTTTGTTAAGGCATGTTAAAATGCACTCCTGCCACACAGCTCCCCGCATCTTGATGAATTGTTAGTATTCTGGGTCACACCCATTTAATTAAAAGAGTTGATTGTTTTTTTTTGTCTTGTATGTATTGTTTCGTTTTTGTCTTGTCGGTCTTGTGTGGCCTGTGCTTTTCGTGTCATTAGCCTAAGCATCTTGATGAATTGTTAGTATTCTGGGTCACACCCATTTAATTAAAAGAGTTGATTGTTTTTTTTGTCTTGTATGTATTGTTTCGTTTTTGTCTTGTCGGTCTTGTGTGGCCTGTGCTTTTCGTGCCATTAGCCTAAAGGTAACATTGCTGTATATATAATTATAATAAAACATCTTCAGCCCTTTGTCAGTCCACTGCTTGATTGAATATCTCTGCATAGTGGGCTGGTTTTTGGGGGTTGCCAGATGGGTTTGAATCCTGTCAATGGCGAACATCAGTGGCAAGTGTTACCTGAACTGGTCCTGGAGCCGACTTCCACCAGCATGCACTGACCAGCTGTTTAAGTATTGTCAGACAGACATTTACGTGTAATCGGCATGTGTTCACACACTCAAAACTACTTGGTTTCTCTTACAATTAATGTTGTTCCCTCTCAATCTTCGAGGACAAACCGAATGCTGAGATCATAAGATTTCAGTGCCAATGCTTTTTGCCATTGAACCTCACTCGTCTGTTTATTGTGTTTAATTGTTTTGTTTTCGTTTTCACTTGGCTGTTCCTATTTGCGAGTAATTTGAAGAATTTATTGCTTGCAACAGGTGAGCGCTCGCTCGTACGGACGTTATGACGTCACGAGGCAATGTGATTCATAACAGATGCATACTTGAAACGATGTCACTTGGCCCACCGGCAAACGCTAGGTTTATTTTGTGAGAAACCCAAATGTGGGACCCATGCTGAAGTTACGTTTTCCCTGCCGCCCTCTGCCACCCTCTGCCACCCTCTGCCACACCGTCACCCGCAGGACTACAACAATGGCATCCCATGGTGGGAGGAGCGCTATGTACAGAGGGCCCTGCACCTCTCTCTGAAGGACCACAGGGCCTCCAAGAAGCCATCGGCGAGCCCGGCGGTCGCTGACATTGGTGGCAGCTGTGCCGATGACGATGGCATTGGTGGTGCTTTGGACGTGAAGTGTGAGTCTCTTTTCCTTAAAATGTCCCGTTTTCCAGGGCCCCACAGTGTGATCTCCTACTGTAAGTCGGTTTACAGTATCTCCCTACCGTGACTATTCATTCCGAGTAGCACGGTTGACTACGTACGCTGCGAAAATAGTTCAACATACCCGTAAAGTAATTTAACTCGTTTGTTTTAAATCTTCATTCCCATTCCCTGCAGAGTCCGATTTCTCATGTCACTCTCTCTACCCTCTCCTCCATCCTACACACACGCACCCCACCCATCGCAGGCTCCTCTTACTGATTACATCTACAACGCTCGCCTGCCACATTCTGTTTTAGCTCATAATTGACTCTTCTTGTAAGCTGATGCGCCCACATGTGCCGTGTGTGTTAATGTGTCTGTGGGGAGCGTTGTTGTAGTGGTTGGTGCAGTGTGCTATGAATCCTGCCAGCTGGGTTTGATTCCCGGCAATGACTAACATCAGTGGCTAGTGATGTCAGAACTGGTTCCGAGCCGCCCTTGTTTTTATTCGGCCTAAATTGTCACTGAATGACAAATGGGTAGACAGTCAGTCAGGTGTTGTACTGGCCACGCCACTTCATTGTGTGCCATATTGGTTGCTTTAGATGCTCGATAAACAGAATTTGTCTGTTAGCTGTGTGTGACAGATTTTGAGAGGCTGCAAAAAGGAAGGCCCATTCCACACTGTCAAATGCTTCCTATCCATCCAACACGATTACATGTTTGGGGTAGTTGAGTGTGATGGGAGATGGCGATCGCATCCGTCTAGGTTCTCGTGTTATATTCATGTGGCCTCGACAAAGACTTTATAAACAAACAGTAAAGAGGGTTATTAAGACGGTCCTACATTAAGAACGTTTGGCCACTGCTATTAATTAGCATTTTGCATGTGAGAGGAAAGTCATGAATACTTGTGGATAACACTCAAAATTCCATACAGATGGGTCATCATGAGCCTAATTTCTTTCTTGCCATATCTCAGCCACCTCGCAGCAGAGCAGGTTTAGCAGGCTTGCAACTCACAATGGCCTCTGTGTAGTCCACCAACCCTTCAAAGTACTGGATATGGTGGATGAATTGCCAACATGAAAGAACGTCAAAATTAATTGGCATTGGACCTACCAGACTCATCGCATACCAATGCTGAATTTAAGGCCCATTGGCAATGTTCAGAAGGCACCTGCTTGTGAATTCCATTGGCTCGTTGTTATTTGTCGCGGCAGTCTCGTGATCACGGGCGGGTGTAAGCGAATATGGATGAGGGCACAGCTGTAGCTTGATTAACAATTCGCTTTGCAAATGTAAAACATCCACATCTAAGACAAGTAAGTATGCGATCGCTACTCACTGTAGGGGTAAATAATGTAATTTGTAGTGATATAATTATAATTCAATCCACAGCTCTTTTTAACTCCGGTGTTAGATGAAAGCCTCCTTGTGTCGTGTCAGTTATGGGGGTTCTTTGACGCCACTGTACACTGCTGAGTGAGGGTTGATGAATGGGTGGGCGGGTGACGAGACCCTTTCAGATATTGCTCACAATTCACGTTAGACTGTGGGTTTGGACTCAAACTGAGGTCTCTGAGTTCATAGTGCACTGCGCTAATGACTGCGCCACTGCACCACTCCAATATTGCGAAAGGGGCTAGAAATATTAAATGTTGCATATATATTCGAGTCTATATACACAGATATAATATATTTTTGGTTCACCAAAAATTATGGCTGATCTTTTGCATTCACAGAGTCGGGTCGGCTTCAAATTAGAAATTGCTTAAAGTCCCATGCTGGACGCTTAACAGTTCACGATCCCCATAATTAGACAACCAAGTATAGTAATTCACTTCCTGTGGAGTCTGACGCTAAAGTCGACAGAAAGTGCCCATAGCCTGCTACCGGTTTCCACCTTGATTATAAAGGAAGTGGAGAAGAATACATTTTGTTTTGGATCTTCTTTTCAAATATCCACCGCAGCAGGTGACATACGCTCTGTACGGTGCACGTTCTTCATGTGGCAAGCCTCACTCCATGCCCGGCGACGACCCCCAGGCACGTAGGGTGCCTTTTAGGTCCTCATTCCACATTTCATCCCTGTTCACCCCTCTAGTTGAAACCTTGGAATGTTGGTGTTATCAGGGATTAAGCTGGAATCCACCCTTTATATCCTCTAGGCATCCAGCGATTCACCTCTTCCCATCCCCCACCCTCCCAAATCATCATTAAATGAGTTATTACAACTCAAAATCGTGGTGGAGTTTTGATTCGGCACTTAATTTGGCTGTATTCCAGCTCTTGACTTAAATAATATTTGTTTGACCTATCATGCAACGGACATTACCCTCTGGCAGTGTGAGTAAAACAGAGCCTCGCCGTGCTTGTGTGAAGCAGAGGTCACTGAAGAATTTTCTGAGGTAACTCGGTGGTATTTGCTTCTGTGGGCCATTGCACTGCTCTGAGCATTCCGATTTGATTCTTCATCTCGTGATGTGATCCCTCGAACAGAATTGTGATGAAGTTGGGGAAAGAGGGCAGAAAAATGCAAACCAACGATGTATTTTTAATCGATGATTCGTAATGTGCCGTGTATTCAGAAATGAATTTTAAGTCTTGTTAAAAGTGTTACATTTTTTCCCAATCTGTGGCTTTGCATTCAGTTAGCATGTAATTTAATGATCGCACCAAATCTGCGTACACTCTAGCCCCACACCTGCTCAGCTGACAATTGAGAGTGAAGCTGTTCTTAATCCCATTCTCTTCACAGTTGTATATCAGTTTACAAACATTTTCTAACTTGCATAACATGCATTCATTGTATAAAAGGTGGGGAGCGGTGGTACAGTGGTTATCGTACCGCGCTCTGTGCCCGAGTTCGACTGCTGGCCCCGGCTAACATCAGTGGCGTTTGATATCTGAACCAGTCTTGGGCCACTTCTAACCAGCGTGGAGAAGTGTGTTTAAACATCCGCCTTGACTGGCATGCCGATGCCGTCCGAAGGCCTTCATCCAGTAGTGGATTGGTATAGGGCTGTGATTTATATACATTTAAAATTTTAAAGTCAAGCATAGTAAATAATGTGCACACCTATGAATAAGGTGGCAAGCCAGTCGGTTAAGCTAGCTTCCACTTAATTCGGGAATTCCTAGGCTATTTTCATAACAATGTGAGTGCAGAACTGTAATAATGAAGGCATGTGGGGGTGGGTGAGTGTGACTGATGGGCGGTGCCAGCCTTCATAGGTGCGCTAACACCACTTTATCCAACAGTCTGTTCAGGCTATGTGGAGAATCTTTGCCTTTGTTTGCGCTCTCCACCTGCGTGTGCAATCGCCCCTCCCTCGTGCCAGCTCACCCCCCCCCCCTCTTGCCAGCTCACCCCCCACCCCTCTCCTCCCCACAATGAGATACCTCTAATCCATTCAGCACGTTTTCACCCCCTCCCCCAGCCCCTCCACTCCTCTGCGTTTCATTCTCGGTTTGGCGCGATATCATTTTTCACGATACAATATAAATGTCACTCACAATACCAATTTCCTATCTCTGCTTAATTGTATTTTTCAGATGTATGGCATTGGTTCTGTGATTTGCTTTCTACTGCTAGGAACACATTACCTAAAGAGTTCACTCCAAATAAGCCTGCCATTAAATCTTCTAATGTTGTCAGCCAATAGGGTTTTTTATATAGAAACAAACATTGTTTTCCCATTAGATTTTGCCTGCAAATTGTTGAAGATATCATTATACCAATCGTTGGCTCCTATGATGCTGCTTAGAGATCAGCTACTAATGAAATCCTGAAAGAGACTAAACCTGGTTTATCATTCTGCTCTTTGATTTGCACTGGATGTACCATACAAGACTCACCATGGTGACCTCATTAAATCCAATCTCACTTCACTTGATGCAAGAATAAATCTATATTGGGCCTTATTCATCCATAAATCCCTACTGGCAAATCTGTACTATACTTTGCTAATTCGTTAACCCTTTTGTCAAACACAAGAAACCTAAGACGTCCATCTCGTGGCCTTTTGACTTTCTCAAGAACAAGAATTGGAATGGGTGACAAAGCCTTCGTCGTTGTAGGACCAACATTTTGGAACAACCTTGTTTCCTCCCTGAATATCATAAATATTCCTTCAAAAAATATTCTGAAGCAGAATATTAGTGTTGGACACAATGACATTTGCAAATGTCTTTTGTAACTTTTATCCTTACCCCTGTATCGATAGTTAAATGTTAACATGCAGTTGTATTGAAGGACTACTGTGTGTTGTCTTGGTGTAGTTTGGGACTGTTTTTGTTTTGCTGCCTTGCCCAAGATTGCATTTGGTGTTGAAAAATCGGCAGGAATTGATGTACTTATGCAATTCGTACTTATATACTTTACTAGTTTTACTACCTGGCTTCGCCTGGGACTTGGATTCACCACGCCCGGACGCCTTTGTCTCCCCAGTGGCGATGTTCACACACCACACCAGTTATTCGTTTTAGGCTGAGTCGACCTAGGGGAGGCCCAGGACCAGTTAAAATAATTGGCACCGGTGGTGGCCGTGAGCGGGAATCAAACTCGGGTCGCCGGGTTCGTAGCGAAGCACGCTAACCACTACACTACAATGCGTTACGCTTCCACATGCGCGGGTCACGTGACAGATTTGACGTCACAGCTCACTTGCCGTGCAAAAAATATATGCATTATTGAGCTCCCCCCCGCCCCCCCCAAAAAAATATGTGAGTTTTTTTTTAAGTTTTGCATGGTATACAGTCTGGAAAGTACCCACATGGCAAATTTCAAGTTTGTTGCATGTCGGGAAGTCCGCTAAACATTTTGAACAGACACACATAATCACAAGTTTGCCTTTTATATATATGAAGATTTACTTATATTTAGTGACTTGCTTAGCTTTCCTATACTTTACATTCCTATCTGTTCTTGTGGTGTTTGTAACTTTTGGACCCACCCCTACTGGGCATCTGTGAAAGAGCTGCATAGCTCATCAGATTCTTCCAGTCTAAATAGAGATTCTGATTCTCTACAATCTGTACGCATGTCTGTTGAACTTCTTTCGCACCGCACGTAGCCAACCGTGCAATGCGTATAATGCGATTACTGCTCTTGCTGTTATTGTGGTTGCTATTGTGTTGCTGCTGCTGCTGTCAGTGTCAAGAGCGGCGGTGCTGCAGCGGCAGGATGTGTTTTCCCATGCGGACTCGGAGGAGACTGTGGACAGAGCGAGGCCCGTCGGCGCCCTGGCTGCTGTCACCTGGTATGGGTCACGCTCTCAAACACGGGCGGCGTTTGTCCGAGACGGAACCTCGGTCGGTGTTGGGTTTGCCCGATGTACATGTGGACGTGTGAATCCATCCACTGCTAGATGAGGACCTCCGTGCAGGGGTTATATTGATCATACTTCACGACTCCAGGGGTGCTGCTGAGGATATGAGTTCAGAGTGTTTGGCTGTTATAAGTTTCCACATGATAATACACTTTGTTGAGCTTTCATTTGTGGCCAGGTCACTTCTGAAAATCAGCTATATAACTAAGTGGGCATTACCTGGAAAAATCTAAGTCATTTAAAAATCTATTTTTTAAACACGCTTTAATGAAATGTACCCTATAAGTAATGGAAGAACTCCACGACTCCAAGAAGTGGGCCCGAAGCTTGCCATAACGTAAGGGACCGTGGTGATTTACAGCCAACGTCAGTTGAGCGTGGACAATTAGACCCAAGCCGAAACATAACATATAAAAAAATATTGTTTTAAAATATTTTATTTTTAATGATAGAATATAGTATTGTCAACTGTAAGACATACATATACCAAGTTTGCAGTCGATATCACATAGGGAAGTGGGTTAAAATTGAGTTACAAGATTTGAGGATACAACGACAACAACAGTGAGTTAATAGAAAGCGTGTAAAAAAAAGTTTTTAAATAAAAAAAATATTTTTTATGATAGAATATAGTATTGTCAGTATGACATGGAGTGGGTAAAAATTTTATTACAAGAATTGAGGAGTGAGTTAAATAAAAGCGTGTAAAAAGTGGTTAAAAATAGGTTAGTTTAGACTTGCAATGCAGATAAAGTTTATAACCTCCCCCCCCCACCATCTTAGGTTCACCCAGCAGCATAACTGGGTATAGCACAGATAGTCGGACTGCAGGTCCCGTGTGATGGGCAAAAGTGTGAGTAATCCATTCTCTACCAAGACGTTTGGCCAGTGTGGAAGAGTAGGCCAAATACTCTCTTGAAGGACTCTCTCGAAGGGCTCTCTAGTAGGTGCCCTTCTGCCAGCAGTGGCACGAGCAGGCAATACAGGGCTTCTTCTTACTTTGGCTTCACCACACCGGTCCAGTGTGCGTTGGTGATGGTTGGTAGCTTAGCTGCCGGAACGTCGAAGTATACACTTCTTCTTCTTTGTTCTTTCGGTAAAGTCACGTAGAAGGGAAGTAATAAAATAATAAAAATAAAACATAATAAAATAATTCTCAATGACGTTTCGGCTACAACGCAAGCAGCCGTCTTCACGTGACTTTACCGAAAGAACAAAGAAGATGAATCCCTGCAGTCACGAAAGCTTTAAATCGAAATATACACTTCTTACTGACAACGTAGTCCCACAGCAGCCTATACAAACACCTGTGTTGTGCATCTCGGTTGCCCATTCGAGCAAGGCCCAGACTCAACACTGCCTAGCTGCAGAGATCTGACGAAATGGGGCGTGGGTGATTCTATTTGATGACAACATATTGATGGCGAATGGTTAACACACTTCACGGTATAGTTCTCACCGTGCTAGAGTCTTGTAATTTGTCACTTGGACTTTCACAGGCCAATATAAATAATTAGAAGGAAGGATATTTAAGTGCAATTCTTTGTTACCCTGCTTCTTTTATATCTGTAGATTTTGGTAGTGGCTGTGAGTCCGAGAACGGTTTTATGAACCACTGGTTTAGCAACTACAATAACTTCTACAATAACTATTCTTGGCCCAGTCTAATCCGAGGTAGCAAGTTCTCCTTGCTGATAGTGCTATTGGAAGATAATTTATCAGAAAATCACAGAGTGATTCGCAAACACTTCGAGTTCAAGGCCAGCTTTCAGCTGCCTGTGATTGGACTGGATTCTATTGTGTAGTGAATCGATGGTCACGGCTCAGTCAAGCTCATTTCCTGACGCAAAGCAAAATAATGAGTCATAGAAAAATATAATTGGGAAGAACGCATGAGAGAAGCCTGACGTACATCGCTGCTCGTTTCCCGGCCAGGCCACGCATGCAGGCCCAACGCAAGTTCGCTCAGATCTACCCGCCGGGCTGCCCGGGCTCGCCGACGTCCCCCGCCGGCTCCATGGGGCTGGCAGGCCGCTGCGTTGACGCGTTCGAGAGGTCCTCTCCGTTGCCGTTCGGCTTCGGGCAGCAGCAGCAGCCACCATTCCTCCTGGGTCCGTGTCCCCGTTCGTACCCGGGGTCCGTTCGCGCCCCCTACCCTGGCGCGGTGCAGGGGCGGATGCGAGACCTGTGCAAGAAAACACCCAAGACGGAGGACTTCCTCACGTACCTCTGCCTCCGAGGTGATCCCATTTGCGTCGCCCATAACGCTGCGTTTCTCGATTCGGGTCGCGTGCCCTGTCGTAGCGGTGTGGTGACGGGCGCGTTGTTTGGGAGCGCAGGTTCCTCCGCGCTGCCGAGTTCCCTGCGCTACTACGGCATGACCCCGGAGAGCAGCCGTCCGCGACGGGAGACGCAAGGCAACGTGGCGACACGGCCCAGCAAGGGTCCTTCGCCCGAGAAAATCGTTCCCGTCGCCGTGCCGCCAACACAGCCTCCACCGCCGCCGCCACCACCACCACCACCAACTCCGCCACCGACGCCTAGCCCAAAGAAACCGCCAAGGAGCCCACCCAGCAGAAATGCGATCCCATGTAAGTGGGGTGCATGTGAGCAGGATCGCCAAGGCCGGATTGACGCAATACTGTAGCACAAAGATATAAAATCATATCGATGATTTGATAATTATAAAGCCAAAACACCACTTAGTATATTCATACCAGTAATATTTTTGATTTAGTGTTACAATTCGTATTTTGCATTATACAAGCAAATCTGAAATATCCTATGGAGGGAGCCCCCTGTTGAGGATATTTTGCCCCACTTTGGGCAGACAATCTTTTAGAAGAGTTGGGTGTACCACAGTCTCCTGTACACGCCTGCCAATCTATTGGATTGTCTGCGGGGTCCCCTTCCAGTGCTCGCAGACATCAAAAAGGAGCTTATCTGGCCGGAGGAAGGCATTCTCGGCGAGAAGCGGCGAAGCGCACGCAAGAAGGGCAGCGCCGAGCCAGGCGGCGGCGGCGGAGGTGGTGGCGGCGGTGGCGGCGGTGGCAGCGACACGGGGCCAACAGCTGAGCCTCCAAGGCCCGAACGGGCTGGGCGAGTCGCGGCCAGCGGGAGTGGCGCGTGGAACGGCGGCGGGGAGCGCCAGCGCGGCCCGGACTGGCGCGGGGATGCCGGGTGGAACGGCCGTGGGCCCGAGGAGGGCGAGGGCGACGCGGGGAGGGGCGACGGCAGCCACGTGGAGGAGGCTCCTGCTGTGGCCAACAGGGACGCCGGCTACAGACCGGCAAGTCTGCCTCATTGGCGTCGTCGATTTTAGGGCCGCAGAGATGTGGCGATACAGCACTACGATACGTCGTGCGATATGTAGGCGGTATCCGTATCGCTCCTTTAGAAAAGCTTCGTTATATTTCGATCTTGGATTTCATTGCTCCCATTTTTTATTTGCTGACCAACATATGTTACAAAAATAACAAACACAATAATTCAGGTACGATATATATGCCCAGTATCCTTTAAATTATTGTTCAGCAAATGTTTTTCCTCCAAAACTTTTTTTATGGCGGGTAAATGGTTCCTTTTATATATTTGTTTGTTGCGCAACTGACAGCATGTGGGTTATAATAATTAAATATCATAATGGCAGACATGTTATGACAGCTGAAGACATTGATCGTCACCTCTCTCAACATCTGATTTGGTGAAAGTAAAACGGGTGTGTGAATATCTTATGCAAACAATATGAAAATCCTTTGATATATATTTCTCAATTAAACCAAGGCAATGATCTTTAGAATAATCGGTGATTTTTAAGTCATCGAAACGTTGGAAACCCGGTAAACGACCGTCCGTTTGCCCAGTCCCATCACTGCCTCTGGTGCCTGCGCGCAGGCCGCCAAGATGTCCGCCTCCAAGTCGGCGGTGCCAGCGCAGTACCCGCAGACGAGCCAGGGCCCCGCGCAGAGGGAGTCTCGCGGCTCTCGTCGCTCGGCCCGCCACGCCTCCCGCCACGCCGCCGCCCTCAACGCCCTCGCCGCCGGCAGCCCGGCCGGCGCGCCCGAAGCCGCCGTAGCCGCCGACGATGGCGGCGTCTCCCGGGGTCGCTCCAGGGCGGCGCGGCGCCGGCTGCGCTCTCTCGAGCCGGACTCTGATCCGGGGCCCCCGCGCGAAATGATGCGGAGGAGACACGCGCTTCCCGTTGAGTCTCCGAGGACGAGGGAGGAGCTCCGCAACGGTCTGGCTCGGCTGCACCGCTGTCACGGTGGCGGCGGCGGTAGCGACACGGATGCCGAAGAAGCAAACGGAACCCGCATGACGCGCAGGCAGAGAGCGGCGGAGGTTAGAGGGAGGGCATCCGGAGATTCGGCAAAGGCCGGCGCTGTTTTGAACCAACAGCAGCAGCAGCAAAAGAAGCGTCCGCAGCAGTCGGCGCTGCCCGACAAGAAGAGGAAGCTGGAGGAAATGGCGAACTCTGTCTTCCAGGTGGAAGGGAAGAAACAGCCGGCACCACCAAGGCAGAAGACTGGCGTCGTTTCTCCACCACGGGCCTCGCCCCGCGAAGCTGTGCAGTCGGCAATCACCGTCGAGCTCGCCGGAGAATTTATTCCCAGCTCAGGCGGCAACGAAGAAGAACGAGAAAAGAGTGTGGAGCCCTCGGTTACCAGCGAGGTTCCGACAGACGATCCTGCCGCTGGCCGAGAGAACGACCGCAAGACCCGACGGAGGCGCAGGAGGGCAAGCGTCGAGCGAGCCGTCTCCACCGCAAGCGATGGCGACGGTGAAAGCTCACGGGCCTGCGCCGCGCCACCCGATCCGGCCCCATCCCAGCCCTCGGCCGACTCTGCGAAGCACGACGACGAGCAGCGGGGGACGAGGGGTCCTCCTCCGGTCGCTCCCAGTGCCATTGTTCTCCCGGCATGTGCGAGACCGGCGCAGAGGCCCCGGCGCGCCTGCAGTGCTCCTGACGCTGACCCCGGCCGCCAGCAGCAGCAACAGCCACCGCTGACGCTTCGCTCGCATGGCAAGCGTCTCCGCAGCAACAGCAATCTTGCCAGTGGGGACGAGACTGAGACCGATGAGCGACCGGCGGCCCCTCGGGCCGCGCCCGCTCCCACGCCCGTGTCGCCCACGCTGGCGTCGGCGTCGGCATCGGCCGCGCCCTCGTTCCTGGCGCAGGCTCTGCCGGAGGTGCCGGTGCTGTACCCGACAGCGCGGGAGTTCCTGGACCCATTGGCGTACGTGGAGGGCATACGGTCGCGGGCGGAGGTGGAGGAGACGGGCGCTTGCCGCGTAGCGCCGCCCACTTGCTGGAGGCCCGAGTGCCGGCTCAGCGACGACATGCGCTTCGTGACGCGCGTGCAGCACGTGCACAAGCTGGGCCGGCGCTGGGGCCCCAACGAGATGCGGCTGGCGTGCATCCGCAAGCACCTGTTGCGCCAGGGCATCGCGCTGGAGGAGCTACCGCTCATCGGTGAGCGTGGCATGGGAAGTGGCGAATGTGGGTTGGCGGGAGTGTGTTAGTTCCACAGATGAAACGGGGCGCGCAAGCGGATATCACAGAGCTAATTCTGAGTTCCCTTCAAATATCTGGTCACCTCTGCCCTCTTACAAAGATCGATGTTCAATCGCATACCGACCAGTCAAACTAATATTTTTACTTCTCAATGCTGGAATTTAGCCAAATTAAGTGCAGAACAAATTTTTTTATTGAGTCGGTGAGGAATGTACTCTGACCACTAACTACATCCAGTTAATCACAGGTGGCTGAAACAGGTTCCAGCCCAGGATTTCAGTATTTCAGGTCAGTGCTGTGACCTGTGATTAGATTTTTTTTAAATTTGAGAACTAAAAGTAATATTACAACTGGCAAGATGCCATGGAATTAAATCCTTCATCAAAGTGTCGTTTTTGGGCTCTGATAACACGTTGAGCATTTCTTCTCTCAAGCTTCCGCCTCGCTATGCTGTGCCCAGACTGCTTGGAATGTCCCAGACAGGAAGCTGGGAATTATTGGAGCCATCCAGGACCTAGTTATATAGAACCAATTACAAAACCACACAACAGATAATGGTGGAGACCAAGCGAGATTTCTAAGTAAAACTCCTCAAGATGCCCAGAGCAGTGCGTGGCGAAAGTGAGAGAAGAAATGCGACACATACTGCCTAACCCGGAAGAGCGCCCTTGGATGATGACTGGCTGCGGAAACCTCGGTCCTTCCCTTGCTCTGCAGCACATTGGGCAAGACATCCTCGCCACAACTTCTGCTTTCCAGCCAGCTGGTCCGCATCATCCCATGTTATTTCAGTGACCTTTACATAAAAATATATTACGTCTCGCCAGTTATTTTTTTGGCCTTCCTCTTGGCCATTTTCCTTTCTCTAAACAAATGGTTGCCTTCGCTCGTTCGACACCGAAATTGCTACGCCACCGCCCTCCACCTCGTCCGGTCTTTCTCCCCGTCCTCTCAGGCGGCTGCGAGCTGGACCTGGCCTCGCTGTCGGTGCTGATGGAGTCTCTGGGCGGGATGCAGCAGTTGCGCGACGCTCGCGCGTGGCAGCGCTTGGCGGACGCGCTGCGAGTTCCGCGCGCCGCCCAGGACCGCCTGGCACGGCTGCAGGAGGCGTACTGCCGCTATCTACTCGCGTTTGAGGGCCTGCCAGGTAAGGAGGAGAGGGAAACATGAAGCCCCGTGTAAAGCGATCAATCTGGAGCAGGGGTTGGCAATCAAAATAACAAGAAGAGACATTTTTTGTTTATTCAGCAATAACTCTATTTCAAGAGCCGCAATGCAATGTGAATACAAGACTGTAGTTCTTATTAAATAACGTTATGAAGCGGTCATTAACTAACCGCATGCGGCTCCGGAGCCGCAGGTTGCTGACCTCTGATCTAGAGTTTTGGGCGGTCAGCAACAGCGGCGTCAATGTAATTATAAGCATCGACCGCCACCACCCACGTCATTGTGATCGTCAGTCAGTTTCGTCCGTGGATCATCAACCACACCACCCATATCACCGTCGTCAACAATGCGCATCAAAGCTCTTGTCACCTGGAGCAAGAACCTAAAACAGACGCGAAAAAAGGACAAAAATCAAATAAATAAAAACATGAAAAACCAGATGTGACATTTTGTGGGCGCTTCAAACCTTTTTAGTTGGGGGAAAAACATCAGCTCACATCCATCAGTGCTTGCCCCGGTCAGTAAAGTGCATATCAGAGCCCGGGATATCTGATTAGTTGCGTAATCAATTAGGCTACCGATTGTTTGAATTACTGAAAATAAATAGGATAACACGAATATATCCCTGTTCCCACATGGGCTGCGTTCCTATGCCTCGATGCTTGCGGTTATTTCTGTTGTCGGCTGTGTTCAAACGTGAGTGCGTCATTGTGCGTATGTATGATGTATGTCGAACTTTTTTCTCACTGTACGTAGCCAACCATGACAATCGGAGGTGTTGGGGAAAGACAACAAACTAGACACAAAAAAGCAGTTCTAAAGAGATGCGTTTTCAATTTAGATTTAAATGACGTGCATAGCTCCAGTGACTTCCTAATGTCGGAAGGAAGAGCGCCCCAGACAGCCGCAGAAGTGCATTTGAAAGCACGCGATGCAGTGACCGTCTTTGTTTGATGGTTAGACAAAAGGCGCCGCTGCGAAGATGACCGGAGTTCGCATGACGATGGTTTATGCTCCTTGACGATATCAGCAAGGTATTTGTGGCAAGCGCTTTGTGTGTAATGAGCGTGACCTCATGTATCCGTTCAGCAACCGGAAGCCAATGCCAATGTGTCCGTCGGCCGTGTTCAGATGGTGAGCGACGCGGTCTGGAGCGGGAGGTGCTGGCGGAGCGCGAGCGGATCGAGGCGCGCGGGGGGGCTCTGGAGGGACAGCAGGGCCAGGGAGACATCCCTGAGGGGCTCGGGGTGAGCGCTGTCGTCATCAAACCCCCGTCGTGGTGGTCGCTTGCGGTGTCCACGGTAGAGACGCTGAGCTGGTATCGGTGACCTCTTGGGTCCCCGGTTTGGTACCGCAAATCTGTGTCTGTCTCAGGAGGCTGATGATGGCTATGTCAAAGACACTGAACTGGTATCACCTTAGGTCTTGGGTCTAAGACATCTGGCTATGTGTCTCAGGATTGACATGTGATGAAGTTCTGTTTATAAAGCAAGAAGGACCGCTATCTGGTGTTGGTGGAAACAGGCCTATTGCATTGACTCTATAGGTAATACTTTGATGTGGTCTTCCAGTTGGGTTATAATTTGAGATTAAATCCAAATTGTGCTCATAACATTTGAGGGAACCTGCTGAGAGATATCAATTGCATGAGCAGCCAGACCTAAATATATATAAAGGCACTCAGTCAGGCTTACACGTGATGTTTCTCCCACCCATTTAAATTATTGGGGGTCAAGGATAGCAGGAGCAGAGTATAATAGGGCCTTGGATAATATAATTTTCACTATACAAATGCTGCAGGAGAAGCTAAATTTTTCTTGTCAATTTGAGTAACCCCGTGACCTGGCATTGTGTTCTTCAGCTCGGAGCTAGCTTCAAACCGTGGAACAGACTCACGAGCCGCGTGCGGAACGGAGTGTCCTCCAATGGGATGTCTCCACTGCCAAGCGACGGGGAGGATGGGGAGGGTGTGACGAACCCCCCCAAAGAGACGCACAGGGACAGCGGAGTGCTCAAGGACGTGCACAAGTGGTGCTTCAAGGTAAGCAATGACGGTGACGACGTTGGTGATGACGGCGAAGTCCACCTTCTGACATCGTCGGTCAGCCAACCCTCGCCAGGTTGGCTCATGAGGTCAGAGTGTTGAGCTGGGACCATATCACATTAGATTTGTTCTGCACTTAATCTCCGATTGGCACGGTTGGCTACGTACGGTGCGAAAGAAGTTCAACATACGCACATACAATCAGGATAAAAATCGAGCTGAGAATTTAAAATATCGGTTTGATTATCATGCGACGATTATTGCCCTTTGCAGCAGACAGTGAGAATGAACTGCCCCATACTGTTTGGACAATAGGTCACTTGGAGGGGATTTCAGAAGTAATTATTTTAACCACTTCTGTGAGCCATTCCCTAACATGGAGGAGGGGTGCACTTCTCTTTAAGAGAGATCGGAATGGATTCTCCCTCGCGTGACACGACGCCGAGAAGCACAAGCGGTATAGATTTGGACAAGAAGACAAAAATACGTAAATGGAATCATGGCCAAGAATTGTGACTCGTCACCGAATCTCGGAGAGGGAGAATCGTTTATCTACCTCACAAGGTATGGAGGAGGTTGTGGGTTCACGCCCAACCCTGATGCCTATATATTTTGAGTTTGCATATTCTCCCCGTGGTCGCATGGATTTTTCCGGATCCTCTGGCTTTTCCCTCCACATTTAGAATCAACATGCGTTTAGAGTATTTGGCTGCTATACATTTCCACATGATAAGCCACTGCGATGAGCTATCAGCTATATAGCTGTTAAAATTAAAAGTTTAGTTTGTAACTTAGTCAGCATGCGAATTGGCCAAAGAAGGATCACAATTCATACTCCGGCAGTAAGGAATTTGAGTACCATTCCTGCGGCAGTTGGTCATGAACGGCTTTTCTCTCCACGTTTGTAAATGTGCGTGTAGAGTATTCGGTTGCTATAAACTTCCGTGTGATAAGCCACTTTGTTGAGCTAATCCATATGTGGCCATGAGTTTTTTGGTAATTTTTTTGTGATATTTCATGGGTGGATCGTTGAATTGCCCACTCTCACCCCCCCTCCCCCCACCACCTCGCAGGGAAAGTCGGTATCGCTGACGGCGTTTTACCGAGCGGCGCGGAACCTGCTGAGCACTCACTGCAGCAAGGAGCCGTCGGCGTCGCTCATCGAGGTGAGATGCAGTGGATATGCATCTCGTTTGTAAATGCTTTTTGAAAGGGATCCTAAACGTGGGTGGTAGGGCTGGGACGATTAATCGATTTGTTTGATTGATCAACTAAGAATTATGGAAATGATCCTGTTTAAGAGCGGCGGTCTCCCCCACATACTGATGATGTCACCAAGCCCCACCCATCCTCTCCCATCATGGTGCGCGCATCTTGCTCTGACACTGACCCCTCGACGGTCACACCACACTCTGGCCTGGGAAAGAGCGTACGATGCGGCTACAAATACAGGTTCCTGGGAGCCAGATCTACTTGTTTCGCTTGCAATTGTAATTACATATTGTCACTAATTTCAGCTAACGATGCTGCTGTAATTGTAATGATAATTAATTGCCCCAGTTTTGCCTGGGATTGGTTCGGCATGGAAGTAAGCTGTAGCAACGCGAGCTCACGGGTTTAGCCTGGTGCAAGCGTCGAGCCGGCACAGTTTCCCGCGACTGTGGAAACGTGCGTTTTCGTTTTGCTCGTTTCAGCAAAAGTACTGGGAGATCGTTCAGAACCAGGACATGCACGTGTCCGTGCACTGCGGCAAAGTCGACACAAACTTCGTGTCCAGCGGCTTCCCAATCGGCCGCTCCGAGCCCTTCTCAAGGTGATGTCTCCTGGACACCGGCTCGCCACCATGTGACTACACACAAAGCAGCCGACATTATGAATGCTCACGCCCGTAGCTGGCCAACTACCGTGGGAATGATACTCAAATTTCATACTCTCAGAGTATGATTTGTAATTCTTCGTTGGCTGATTCTCATGCTAACTAAGCTAAAATTAATCTTTTTATTTTACCAGGTAAGGCCCACTGAGCTATGTAGCTCTTTTTCATAAGCGACCTGGCCACAAATGATAGCTCAACGAAGTGGCTTATCGTGTGGTAATGTATAGCAGCCAAATACTCTAAAGTGCATGTTGATTCTACATGTGGAGGGAAAAGCCGGATAAGCTGGAGAAAAATCCACACGACTACGGGAAGAGAGCCATGCAAACTCTAAATATACAGGCTTCAGGGTCTGGATCATACGTACAACCTCCTGTATGCCAGGCGAGGTAGTTAACATCTCGGCACCGCAGCTCCCCACGATCCTGTCTCCTGCACTAGAATGGGATACCAACAGGATTAGTGATTATCGTCATGATGCTCGTTTGCCCAGAAAAGCCGAACGTAAATCTCAAGACTCCTTTTCTTAGGAAGATTCTTCCAAGATTTTGTCCATAATGATAATAAACCCAACAATGTTAAGTTTTATTTAGCACCGTTCTTATAATTTCCATCTTGCAATCGCTGAGGAACTACAGACCAAGCTGAAAGGCAACTGGGTGGTTGGTCCAGCTCCACCGGTCCTGTGTATATTCAGATGTTTTCAGCCATTTAATTAGTAGACATTGTTGGGAACAATGTTGCAATGTCTAATCTCGGGTTGAGTAATTTTGCATATGATTTGTCAGTATTTAAATATTTGCCCAATACCAGTTAAACTGCATGTTTGTTTTAGTTATGGGAGGAAACTGGAGAACCCAGAGGGAACCCCTGCAGAACAGGGGGAGAACATTCAAACTCCACACAGAAAGGCACCCGAATCAGAAATCGAACCCAGCGCCTGCAAGGAGGCACAATTGTTACCACTCTGCTATCCACCTGTGTGCATGTTTGTGCTTCTGTTAGTTCATTATTCATTATGCAGTTGTGGAGTGACTCATGCAGCCAGCTGTGGCTACAGGGTTTGGTGGTACATGTTGTTTATGTCGTTTATTGTGAAATTCGGTCACGGTTCCTATGATCACGGTTACATTGCTTATGGCTTTATTTTGGTGATTTCGAAAAGTTTTTTGGTTTGGCCATGTTTGTTGTAGTACGGAGTTAGAATGATGGCTTTAATCTAAGTTGTCTTGTGGTTGTTATTTGACTTGCATCCCACTGGGATTTTTGCACAGCGTTGGTGTACGGTGCTTTTTTTCTGGAAGGCTTTGCAGTTTTTTCCTGGATTTTTCTGTTTGTGCATAGTCACTTTAAGATGTTTTCTTGTTCATGTTTTTGTTTTTTGTTTGTTGCGGTTGCACCCGATTCAAGAGCCGAATGGCTCACAGGGCTACACCAAATAAATAAAACTGAATTATTTTTTTCACTTTGTGTTTGGGTGTCTGCATTGTCATCAGGCACAGCTGGAACCTGACAATGCTGCCCAGCAACCCCGGCTCCGTGCTGCGACACCTGGGAGCTCTGTCCGGTGAGCCCTTGGCATCACACGAGAGTCACTCTGAACAGGATGGGTTGCTCCTAATCCAGGGGTGCAGAACCTACGGGTCACGGGCCGAATATGGCCAAGGACTTTATTTCATATCACCCATGGTCCACATGAATCCTAAAATTTCAAAGGACCCCGAAATCATATTTCCACTTTTTGGATACTAGAGGGGGAATATTTTTAAACGCATATCTAATATTGGTGTGTGCCAAATCACCTATTGCTTTCAAGTAGTTCTCGGCACAAGGTGAATTGCGTACAATCATAGCCTGATCAAAGCTCAGTGTCAATTGTATTTGAAAGTCCTAATTTGGCCCTCTGTAAGGAAAAGGTCCCCCTGTTCCTGGCCTAAAAGCTAACCAAGAGAACCACGAGAGTCAGCCAGCTTCACAGTTGATGCTGTTCCAAACGAGTTGGGATTTAAGCTTATTGTGATGACACAATGTTTCCGAACCTCAGGGGTCACGGTGCCATGGCTGAACGTGGGGATGGTGTTCTCTACGTGGGTGTGGGCCCGCGACCCGCACTACCTGCCCTCCATCGACTACCTGCACACGGGCGCCGACAAAATCTGGTGGGCCCCCCCCCCCATCCCTGCTTTCCGCTTCTGTCCCTACCGGTGGAATCATGACCGGTGGAATCATGACCAGCGTCATCATTATCTTCTGTCGCGATAAAATCCCCTGCAAGATGAAGGCCTTCCCCATCCCCCCACCCCACCACAATATTCCTGCGATGCGACAAGCCACCCTGCGCTTGCACTGCACGCAAGCTGATGTCTTGGTGCGGTCTCCACGGTAGAATCATCATACTTCTGCTTCCCATCTTTCTTGTTGAGTCACAGCAGTGTGAGCCCGTACGTGTGTTGGGCATGTGACTGTTCTTGTAACTAAGCATTGGTTGATATAAAAAAGATCGATTCTTAACATTGCATCGAAAATATATAAACATCAAACTGCACGTGATTGAATGCGTTCGTATGTTGTCATGCAATGGGTTTGTAGAGGTATTATTATGCACTCTCCATGCTGTCAGCCGGTAGTATCCCACACGTGTCAATAGGGGGCAGTGTCAACAGACTATGGCTCAAGGGGCCAACGATAACCCCGATGGGAAAACGGATCCTGGGATGCAGACCCCAGACCCCGGGAGGGGGACTGGGGGTGACGTCACCGTTCCAGAACCTGGTAGTAGGTCCTGGAAGGAAGGCGTGGCTGGGGCGCAGCAAGCCATGGACTTGTATAAAAGCCGGACCTCTGAACGGTCCGAGACGGTCGTCGTCCACCCGAAGATCAAGAGCTCCTGAAGACTGAAGAGAAGAGCCCACGGGCAGAGCCGCACCCCTGGCAAGGGTCGGCTCCAGCTTATGTACCAGTGAAGACCAAGCTTCACCCAGGAAGGGTTTGAATAGCCAGGGAGAGGCGTATTTAGTGTATCGGGTGTAAGGGGCCGTTACCCCTTTGGGTTAAGCAGTTACTGTTAAATACGTGTTGCCTCGGAGAGAGAGATTCTCCTCTAGTTACTGAACCAGTACAGGTTCATGCTAACCACTAGAGCCTGCTACATTTACAACTGTTAAAATAATATGCTTGAATTTAAACTCGACTGCATATAAAAAATAATTATATGAATCACCCACCCCCTTGTGTTGCCGTGCCAGCCTTAATAGGTGTTCGCTCACGGCACTTGCCCCAACAGCCTGTTAAAGCATTTATGTGGAATCTTTTTATTTTTTGTTAACATATGTTCCGTGTGCATGCTGATGATGATAAAATGTCTTTAGTAGAATTGTGTGTGGACATGGAACCCCTCCCTAGGTACTGCATCCCAGCCAGCCAGAAGGATAAACTGGAGAAGGTGGTCCACTCCCTACTGCAGGCGAATGGCAAGTCTGGCTTGGAGATGCTGCAAAACAGCATGGTGAGTGGTGGAGTGGAGACTTCTTAGTGCCATTTAATTTTCATGTTGCTGTGGGCAGCAGAGGGCATCGCAGCAAATTCCATATCTCACATCTATTCTTCCCTCCACCAACTCACACTAACAGTTGTGGCGAAGTATGATCAAACAACCCCCCCATGCCGTGTGAGATGAGCGAGTTATGGTATAACAGGTTGAGAGGCTGCGGTTACTCTAACTAGAGAATGGCTTTTTGTGTTTAGTTTTGTTGCCCTTCTAGGTACGTGTATACGTACAGTATATTTGCTATTGAATTGATCGTGAGTACCCAGAGTGAACCCACACCCCCGGGTCCTGCCCCCCCCCCCTCTGCTGGTGTGTGTACAGGTGTCCCCGGAGGTGCTGAGCCACGCCGGCGTGTCCGTGTACCGCACCGTGCAGCGCAGCGGGCAGTTTGTGGTCACCTTCCCGGGGTCCTTCACCTCGTCCGTGTCGTGCGGCTACTCGGTGTCCGAGACAATCACGTTCGCCCCCGCTGACTGGCTGCCCCTCGGCTGCCGGGCCGCTGAGGTCTCGCCGCTTTTGTCTCGTCCGTCCATCTGTCCGTCTGTCTGTGCATTTTTCCATCTGTCTGACCAACCGTTTATCCGTCTGTCCATCCATCTGCATTGCCAATGAGATGGATGGGACAATTGAAGGACGAGAGTGATGATGAGAGACAGAGCGATATTGCAAATAAGACGTACGGCTATGAGAAATACTGTACAGGCAGTACAAAATGTGAGACTACTATAGAGAGGGTACAATTCATAGAGGACAGATGGTACCATTAGGAGAGTACGAACGTAACAAATAGTACAGGCGGTTCAGGTGGGAGAGACGGTACATACAGGGGGTGCCACGGTGGCGAGGAGATGTTAACTACCTCACCTGGTATACAGGAGGTCGTGGGTTCGATCCCGACCCTGATGCCTGTATGTTTGTCGTTTGCATATTCTTCCTGTAGTCACGTGGATTTTTCTCCAGGTCCTCCACTTTTTCCCTCCACATTTAGAAACATGCATTTGGAGTATTTGACTGCTATAAATTTGCACGTGATAAGCCTTTTTGTGGAGCTATCATTTGTGGCCAGGTCGCTTCTTAAAGAGAGCAAAAAAGTTCGGTGGGCCTTACCTGGTAAAATAAAAATAGTGAAACAATGTCCATTCATTGTCCGTTTGTCCTTCCAGTCTTCTGTCCTTTTGTTTGTTTATCATCCATCTGATTGTCCATCTACATTGAAGACTAATTTCTACAGAACTGCTTTTTGTGTCTAGTTTGTTGCCCTTCCCTCGCAGCTCTGATTAGCACGGTTGGCTATGTATGGTGCGAAAGAAGTTCAACATGCATACATCCTTAAATCTGTGAATGTCCATCTGTCTGCTCATCATTTGTCCACTTGTCCATTTTGCTCCATCCATTTTGTACTTTTTTGTTAATCAAGTGAAGTGTGTCATTATATCAGATGAATGCCCATGTTTAATTCAGACTCGCGGTTGGTACGAACAAGAACAAAACCCAAATAGGGCAGTGCATGCGAGGTAGTAAAAATGAGACCGTACTAACAAGGACCGTACAGGCATTGCAAATGAGATGGTCATCACAGTTGATAGGTAGAGATGAGAGAGAGAGAGATTGCAAATAACACATACAGCTAGAATAAAAATAACTGTACAGGCAGGAAAATGTTAGATGGCACGAGAACGAGTGAGAGGCAACACATTTAGAGTACAGTCAAATTAGGATGGTACGAACGAAACTAACAGTACAGGCAGTACAAGTGGGAGATGGATCGTTACTCGCGAGATGGACAACCGCAGCGGGATGAACCCCAGCGAGTCCAGGCCCACCCACCCACCAGCTCGGTGTAACGGTACCCACTCATGCGGCGAATCTCCCGCGTACGTTCCGTCTGGCAGGAGGTGAAGCGGCGGTGCATCCCCAACATGTTCCCCATGGACAAGCTGCTCTACCTGACGGCCGTGGGCGAGCTGGAGAAGGGCAACGCGGCGGCGCTGGCCCACGTGGGGCCCCTGCTGGGCCAGCTGAGGTGGGCGCAAGCATCTCACCGCGTCGCGTCGCACCACGTAGCACCGCGTGGGCACACCGCACATTGAGACAATGCTGCTGCTGCTGCTGCACCCAAATGTCCCCGCGTGGTCTCTTACCCCTTACCGCCTTCCGAGCCGCCACCGCTGGATCTCGGAACGCGCAAGCGGTGAGCGTTGATTTTATTTAGAGAGACGTAGTGGCGCCGTTGTTTTTGAAGACGTACTCACCGCGGAGAACTGTAGCGATACGACCGCACTCTACAATAGCTCTTTCCCCCCTGTCTAGCAGCCCCCAGACTTTCCCACAAGATATCAGAGTCTCTTGACATTTGTCAAACTCTTCTTAGATTGTTATTTACAATCGTTCGTCTGTTGGACTTTTAGGCAATTTAGCAAATTCCTTCCAATATTAATTTGGTTATTTTGCTGATTCTTTGTTTCTAGTTTCATGTCTTAATGTCATGCTATGTCTGCTGCTGTGTCTTGTACAGCACTTGGAAATCCTTGATGAAGGCGCATTCTAAATAGAATTATCATTCCGCACCACGTACTGCGTATCATGTACCACATACCGCGTACCACATACCACGTGTCGCACCACACGGAACCTACCGCACCACCGCACACCACGTTTGGTACTGTGTGAAAAACCAACCACGCTCACGATTCCGATTTTTGTCCCCCGGGCCGCCGAAAAAACCCAACAGAGACCGGGAGTTGAACCTGCGGCGGAGGCTGCACGTGCGGGGCCTGCGCTCGTGGGCGCGCTACGGCTGCCAGGACGCGCACCATCCCGGCGTGGCCGAGGTGCGCAAGCGGCCGCGCAAGTGGCTTCCCATCGAGTCGGCGGAGCGGCGCTGCCTCACCTGCCGCCAGCTCTGCTACCTCTCCATGGTGAGCGAAGCCGGGGGGCGAACGGGGGAAGGGTTGCGACTTCAAATTGTGGTCGGGCGGTACCACTCCCGGGACCCAGGAGCACCGAGTTCAGGGCTTCGGTCCGTGACATTTCTGTGCCGGCCCCCTCCCTCGTTACGGTTCGTGCCTTTTTGTAAAGTAAAAAAAAATGTTGGTCGGTGGTTAACTCGGCCCATCTCACCTCTGGGATAGATTTTTTAAAATCGAATTCCGCCATGTGGGGAAGGGAGCACAGCGATTATCCTGTGGTTAGACTTTGCCCTGCCGTGGGAATGTGGGGTTTTCACCACTGGCTCGGCTGTAAGTGGGAGATGAACACCGACTCTCTGGTCATTCGAGTAGGAAATTGCTTGTTTACTTTTAAAACGGTCTGCCTCAGCAGCAGACCAAGCTTTCCCACCTGATGACGGATGCTTGTGTTGCGCCCGAAACGTCGTGATTTATTTTATTTTATACCTTCGTGACTTTACCGAAAGAACCAAAGAGTGTGGATTCCTGCAGTCACGAAAGCTTCAAATCAAATCAAGATTGTTGTTTACTGTTTACTTAGAGGGGGAGGGCTAGAGCAGAATGCATCTTATAAAAATGGTAATTCTACTCTTTCTGTTCATGTATGTATGTTGAACTTCTTTAGCACCATACGTAGCCAACCGTGCTCATTGGACGTGTGGAGGAAGGACAACAAACTAAACACAACAAGCAGTTCTAGATAAACGAGTGCTCAATCTAGATGATTTAAAAGTGCATAGCTCCAGTGGCTTCCTATTAATGTCACACGTTCAGTGTTTGGCATTTGTTTCATGTTTGTTTGAACTTTTCCCTCCATGAGATTTTGTATGGGCTTCACTTTCAAACAAAGTCGCGCTTCAGGGTTGTTTGTAGTAAGCAGGCAGGAAGCAGAGAGTGCATGACCAACTTTTGGGAAGCATGGAGCGAGTGGCAATCACGTGGGAAAGCAGGAAGCAGGTAGGAAAGGTGCAAAGACTGGGGACCTACACTCACATCGACCCTCCACTTGAGGAGCAGCAGCTGATTACAGAACCGGCATACTTGGGAATTGCTTTTGTAAGCACGGTTAATCCGCAACCCGGATAATCGAAAGTTCACCATATTGGGGTGATTTCAAAATTCCAACTGAGGTTGTCTAATTTGTGGAACTGCTCGTGGAAGGCATCGTATGTCTGCTTGAATTCCAGGAGTAGTGAATGCTCACTCGCTCTGCTGTGTGGTTTGCCTCCGCGTGTGAATTGTTGGGGGGTGGCGCCGGTGGTGGAGGAGAGCGAGAACGTGGTCTTCTGTCTGCACTGCGCGCTGGCACGCACGGAGGAGCAGGGCTCCTGCCGACGTCTCAAGCTCATGTACCGCTACGACCAGGTGAGAGAGACGTGCGAGCGGTTGCGGCAACGCCGCGCAATAAAACACGCAACACGCTGCAAGCAGAGAGCCCTTTTTCTTACGACGATGTCAAGATGAACCTCTGTGGAGGAAGCACATGAAGGACGCTACTGGACAGTTGGAGGCGGTCGCCATCCATTAACAACGGAGGGCAGAGGAGTGACGCTCACAACAACGGAATGCCGGGCGGCTAAAACACAGCAATTTGGAAGTTGGTCAACCCTTTGCACCTGGGTTTGTCCCGTGAGCTCCTGCCAGCGGGCGTTCGACGCTTCACGTGGCCTTGAAGTGCGCATAGCCTGGCACAAGCGCCATGGCCACTTAGTGGCGAATGGTGGTTTTGTGGTTTGTGGGTTATGACTTTAATTAGTAAAAAAAAAATGTATACGACTGAAAATCCTACGTGTATATGTGTGCCCTTTTACGCGTGTCATGTTGCAGGAGCAAATGGACTCGCTTGTCGACCGGGTGAACGCCGCGATCGCTCTCAGCCTCGGCGCCGGCCTCGCCTTGCCAGGGACTCACCGCAGCCCAGTCCCCTTGGTGTCCACCACCGCCACCACCGCCACCACTCCTCCTCCCCCTCGCCGCACCGCCAACTCTACCCGCCGCCACCCGGCCTCTGAGCCGGCCAGTCCCACCAATGCCACCGCCGCCGCCGATACCGCCGATACCGCCACCACAGTTGCCACCGCCGATGCCACCGCCGCCTTCGCCGGCTCGGCATACGATGGAGCCGACGGTCGGCTTTCCTCTACGTCGCGGCGCAGGCGAGGGGCCGAGCCGCGTGGGGGGGCGGCGACGGCGGCGGCCGCGGAGGACGGGGCCTACGGCCGGCAGGGACAGCGGCAGGTGCGGCGTGCGGCGCTGGGGCCGTACGGCGCGCGCCAACGGGGGGAGGCGTCCGGCCCGGCGAGGCCGCGCCCGTAAGGGATGCCGCGTGGGGTCCGCTCGGGAGGTTTAGCGGCGATCGTTGCTTGGCGGTCGTCACCTGCAATGCGGTTTAAACCGGGAGCGAAAGCGGCACCCTTGGTACGGCAGTGGCGTAGAGCAGCGATTCCCAACCTTTCATTTGTCCGTGTACCCTGACCGTACCTATCACCTTTCCATGTACCCTTTCAGCATATAGGTTTTATATTCAATGACATAGTTGAATAAAATACAACGTAATAATGACATGTATTACAAATATATATAATTATCACCGAAGACGTTTAGTGAACACTTAGTAACTTTAGAATATAACTAAATATTTACAATTTAATATTTACCCTTTAATAGAAAAACAATTTTTAAACTCTACTGTGCAATGTCTAGCCGAGTCACTATGAAGCAGAGGAGACTGGCTGAGGTTCACTGGGCATGGAATGTTTAAGATATTTTTTTGACGGTCTTGAAGATTGTTTTATTTATTTGGAAACTTATAAAATAATGTGAAAAACGAGAGGAATCAGGAATCCTCCTCCCCCCCCCCCCCCCCCCTCAGCAGTGCGCATGGACGATGGAGGCATCCAATCGCACGGATTCGCAAAATGAAACAAACGGATAAGCGTGTGTCGCAAGCACACACGCACGCAGAGCCAGCGCTGCTTCGTGACCTCGCTTCAACCCTACTCCAGTACGCGATTTGTCTCGCGTACCCCTCAGATATGCCGCGCGTACCCCGACGGGTACTCGTGTTCTGTGCCGCAGGTTGGGAACCGTTCGTGTAGAGTGAAGGAGATCTGTTTTGAAGAGCTGCCATTGGTCAACATAGCACAGGACGGTCACGTGGGCCGTCTGCCTGTGATCTGATTGGCAGTTGCCCTCATTTGCCCACTAGGGAGGGCGATGGTCAGATCTGCCTGGAATTACAATAGAAACCTTACAAACACTCCTCACATTTGTCAATAACACTGCCGTAAAGAGGAAACGTACAATAGGAAACATTTCAGGCAATGGCGCGGCAACATTTGCCAGTGCCGGTTTTCGTCGGCAACGTTCGTTCTCAATTGGCCTTTGTGGATTCATTGCCTTGCAGTGTGCGTCCACGTGTCATCCCCATGTGGTTTCTTTTTTTTTCTCGTGTGGAAATCCCATTTTGCGGTTTTACTCTGGAACACAAACTTCAGGGATGGCTGTGAGGGGTGGGCCCAGGACCTCGTTCGTGCGCTGGAACGATATTTGGAGGAAAACGGTCAAATCGGTAAAATGTAGCGACCATTTGACGCTGGGTTCTTTTTTTGCCAAACATTGGCAGCAATGTTTTACCGGCGCATGAATTGGGGCCGAAATGAATTTTTGTTCCCCCCCCCCCCCCCCCTGCAACAATTTTTTGTACCGTGTTGTAATATTTTTTTTACCTGTGAGTGTGTACATATTTTTGAATTGGACTGTAGTACGTTTTTTCGTTGTTATAAAGTGAAACAGGTCACACAAGGGGGAACGCAGAGTGTTTTGCTCATGCGAAAAAAAACCCCAGAATTTATAGTTTTTTTTTTAAGTGATGCCACCTCGCGTTTTAGAGGGGCATTTAAGTTCGTGGTCTTTTACTGAATTTCTACTGTTTTTATCAGAAATCCTCGGCAGACTGTGACACTGGTGTTGCGCTGCTGACAGCAGCCCACCCATTCCGACAGGTTTTAAATGTGCTGCTCGCGTAAAACCTTTCTCCATTCCAAAATTTAGTATTTTATTTGAATCCGATTGCCGATTTTAAACGCTAAAAGTTTAATGCATCGTTGCTCTCGTTTGCGTTGCCTTGACCGCACGACCGATTTTAAAACAGTGAAGTGATGAGAGAAAGAGAAAAGAGCAGTGTTGAGTGACTGTCTGACAGTAAGCCAGTACATGACCTGTGTACGTGATTCCCAAGGGTTGAACTTGCTGTGGAATGGATAGAGGGGATAAGGTGAAGTTGGTGGGCTGTGGAGTTGCTTGGGATGCGGTCGTTTATTAATGTGAAAAATTTAAGGGGGTCGATGCTCATGTTGAAAGGATTTGCACTAGCGAGGAACTTAATTTACTGTATGGAGATAAAGCAGCGAAAGAAAGGAAGTGATGCTTGTGTAAAATGAACATGTCCGGAAGCTGGTATTTGTGTAAAAGCCCGAGGCGTGATTCATATGTTGGTGGACATGCATTGTCCACCGATATTTGACGGAGAAATGGTCACGTCGCTGCTATTTCACGATCGTCCATTTCCCTCCCGGCTGAATTTCGGCGTAATTCGGTTTCACCCAACACACGTGGAGCCAGGTGCTCTGTCTCGAGCGGAAGTGGTCGACAAAGTTTCTCCTTAAATGTGATCTTTATCAAGTATGGGCACCCTTACGGGTAAATCTCGCTCTTTCAGATCATCGAAGTGACATTCTGCCCAGTGGGGAACTTTAGCCCCAGATCCTTAAAGACGTCTGCACAAGTTCTCGGAATGTGAAATTGTCAAAGGAAGAGCTGCTGAACGTCGGAAGTGAGTTCAAGTTTTAGCTTAAGTGCTTAATTGTTTATGGAAAGATGTTTACTCCATCCCAAAGAATGAGTGAAAGGCAAAAGCTGAGGTCTGTTCATTCGCGTTGGAATAAAAGAGTAAACTTATTGTTTTACTATCGATATCAACGATGGTGATGGTGTGCCCACCTGCAGAGTGTTAAAAGTACCCCGTGAACGAAATCGTGAGCTCCTTATTTTAAGAATATTTCTGGGAGGCACAAAAACTTGATTGTGGCAACGGGCGACCCGTGACGGTGCGTCGACGCGACCACTCGGCGACTCCAGAGGAGTTCAGTCCGCGTAGGCAACGTGGTCTGTTGCGTGTTTTACAAACTCCCAACGAGAACAGCTAGCTCCCCCGCCTCTCCCACACTGAGCGCAGGTTGGAGTTGAGTTCCCGGGGAGAGAGTAAAAAAGAAAACACGTGGCGGATCCAAACTGCCTGGCTGGGCTGACCGACCTGGGTTGCCTGCGACGCACTCCGTCGAGAGCGGCGCCGGTTGTAAGTGTTCAGTGCAATGAGTTTGCAATGGCCTTGCTGTTGTGGAATGTAAATAATTGTTATTGATACAATCATCTTCGCGTTAACAAACAAAAAAAAACGGAATTCATGGCTTAAAAGGAAAGAAATGGATTGTGTGCCCGTTATCGAGCGTTGTGGTTTTTTTTTCCCCTTGTGTCGTCATCGTGAGCTCGCGAATTTCAATCGAGTGGCAATTTGTGCGGCGGTGTCGGTATGCAGTGATTGGTGCTAAATGTCGCGCTTCATCCCCTCCCACCCCCCAGAAAAGCTTTATTTTTTTGTGCTGTGCCCGGCGCGGTGGGTGGCACAGCGCTCTCCTGCCGTCGCGATTGTGCTGTGTGTGGCTTCTGCAGATCCTGCTTGAACGTTTACCCGTAATCGATGAGGGGATGGGCTTGGTATCCCTCGTGCGAATCACTGCTGCTCTGTGAAATCCTGCCACAGAGAATTGATATCTCTATCTGTAACCCTAAAATCATAACCCACGACCATAACCGTGACTCCATATGCATTTTGCCTTGTGGGTTTTTTTTCATGGCACATCCATTCCAATGCTCTGTAGGGAGAAAAACCAAGTCTGACTGGAGGCAGAAATATAAAAGTAACAATAAACTCGTGCAGGGAATCGATGAATCGTCACATTCCGCATCACGGTTCAAGTAAAGAATCGATCTTTTTTTTATATATATTAACATTTTTTTTGCCTCTTTTGTACAGGTATGTGCACCGTTCAGTTGAAACGGTATATAATTTGCACAGATTGATAATACTGTATATTTCTCGTGCGTACAGTTTGACATGCGTATCTGGTGTGCAGTGGTCGGTTTTAATCAATGCACCTTTACGTGCCGTATGGAGCAGCGGTGCACCACCAACCACATTGGGTGTCTCTTCTGCCCTGAATCTTGTCTTGCCGAACCGAGGCAGCATTGTCCTGCGACAGTCTCTTGGAATCGCCTTCCTGCACAACATAAAGCCGTCGTCGGATCGATTGAGCCCGGTACTTAACCCATTCCAGTCGCTCGCTGGCGGTTAGCAACCTCATTGTCACTCTTCTATCAACACTCGTCTGGTTGCTGTCAACGTGAACGTCACCGATTGATTCCTCCACCCATGTTTAGCACTCCGTCTACCTCTGACTTGTCTCGTCCCTGCCGTGTTCAAACAACAGACTGCAGGTCGCGTCTTAACTCCCGTTGTCTCTTCCCAAGTTCTTACGTTTGTCAATTCCAGAAATGTAGCGACTCCGTCGTGGCGTTTGTTGCTTTGTTTTTTGGCCTTGTGCCCAGTGAACATTAAACAAATGTAGTTAACCATTTATCCATTTACATTGCATACAAAAAAAACGAATGCAGTGTGCATTGGCATTGCTCGAACCTAAAAGCCACCACAGCTGTCTACGAGAGTACCCCTACCAGATCACCACGCCCTCCATTCTCGCACCCTCGGTCTCCCTTGCAAGAGACGTTTCGGTTGCGTACCGTTTATCTGTGAGGCTCTCTACGTGTGTCGGAAAGGGCACTGTGACACTCTTTAAAGCTCCCAACAACACTGCTTCCACCGATCCTTATTGGTCGAGAGCAGGGGTGGGGAACCTTTTCTCTGCCAAGGGCCATTTGGATATTTATAACATAATTCGCGGGCCATACAACATTATCAACTTCAAAATGAGAAAATTAGCCGGTTATATTTGGTCAAACATTTAATTAACTCGCCCCTAATGTGATGGCTGGAACTGCTTCTCTTTCATGAGGCGTGTGATGTTATCTGGTATTGATGTTGCTACTCGCAACTGCTTTTCCAAGTTTTCGCCTAGATTTATTGAATTTCGAGTCCCGCCTGTGGTTGCCTTGGCAGAGCCAGACTAAATGATTTCGCGGGCCCTATTACAGCCCGCGGGCCGGACGTTCCCCACCCCTGGTCTCGAGGACCGATCCATGGGGTGTGGCAATGGAGGTGACATCACCCCCGCGTGGAAATGAGGTGACGGATCAAGTTGGAGCTACTGAATTGGCTGCAGAGTTTTTGGGCAGCAGTGGTTTGCAGTTTAGTCGGGGCGATGGTATCTTCAGATGAAGCCGAATACCGGCTTCATCCACGATAACAATGATGTTCAATATAACATGGCATATTTTTCACGCCAAAACCTCGACGTAGGTGGCTCTGAAGGATTTAGCCTCCCATTGTATAAGACTATACAATAAATTGTTTGCAACTTCATCCAACAGCATATCTTACGCGTATATCAGGGGTTTATTTTGTTCACATCGTGAGAGATAGCCGACCAAATGTAGCCGTCTTCTAAAATGTATAATTGCGGACCTTGTCCATTAATGACCACTTTAATAATGTCACGCGCAAATCTAGGAATTTTTGTTTCAGAAAAATATTCAAAGTCTGAATATACGTAGTCTCTAAAAAAAGAGTACTGCAGAAGATATTCTCTGCTCGCATTTACGGAGGTTCCTTGTTTTTCTGCGATGAAACAGACAGGCCCTGTCCCTGAAACATCACGTGGCCGCTGATTAGAGGAAACGTTGTGTCCTGGAATCAACAAATCGTAGCAGTTGTGTAAGTACTGTTCTGTCGGTAAAGTCACGACAAAGGGAAATAATTAAATAATGATTTTACGATCAAATTATCACGACGTTTTGATTGCAACACAAGCAATCATCAGGTGTGAACCACAGCAAGATTTTTTTCTTTAGAAGTGTTTTTTTCTTGCTGTGGTTTTCACACCTGATGTTTGTTTGTGTTGCAATGGAAACGTGAGTTTTGTTTTATTTTTATTATTTCCCTTCTACGTGACTTTACCGAAAGAACCAAGAATGAATCCCTGCAGTCACGAAAGCTTTCAATCGAATTCTGGGGAGTATTTTCCCATGAAGCAGTCAGGCAATCGTTTTAATCCCCCTTGGGACAGAGAAACTACTTATTGGCATTACCAGCACTCCATGCGTGCCATCGGAGCAGCGTTTTAGTGAATTCTAGCAGCGTACGGAGGTTTGAAATGTGACCGATAAATGATGGCATATCGTTAATAATTGTAACGTGTTGCAGCTTGAGCTCTGGTGGTGTTCAACCTGTTGTTGCTACTACTGTGACATCCCCTTGTTAAATTTAGTTTCAATCGAGTGTGTACCTCCCCCTCGCCTGCCCCCAACATGGTTGAGAAATAATTGTATGAAGAATGAACATCAACATTTTAACAAATTGTCCATTTTGTGAGGTAATCCGAACTTAAGTCACTGCAAGGGAATAAAGGAAAATGATGGTACGCTCTCCATGCATGAAGTCATTTGTTCACGCTCCCGCTGGTTCCTCTGGGAAACCACTTTGTGTACGATCAATGAGTTTACAAAGGTCGGCTTATATCGATCTCAGTTACCATATGGATTTAAATTATATTGCCGTTATTTTATTTTGGCAGATTCATACATCATTATTCACCAATGGCTCGTATGACACAATTTCACCTTGACAAATCACTTCATGGTACCCCCTGTTGAGAACCACTGAATTATTGTAACTCGCTAACCCCCCCCCCCCCCCACCACTGCCTAACTCAAGGAGTGCTGGCAGTGGCGTCGTGTGGGTTGGCATGGACCTTGCTGCAAGGAAAGAAATGGGGCCACCCCTTGCCCAATGTTCCCTCTTCATGGTTCGGTGCCTGATTCCAGGTGCAGTTGCACCGCCTGCACACTTGACAGCAAAGCCACTGAAGTGCTGGAGAGGGGGGGGGGGGGTGGAGAGGAGTGGGGCTGTAGCATGCTCATGTGATGATGCTTGAGTTTGTTTCCATTATATATCTAAAATGCCTAAGGAGTATATTGTTTTAAGTTTAAACTTGTGCTGATGTAATAAAAGTGGAAGGAGAGAGGAAAAAGTGTCGTGAGTTTTATTTGCGTTCAGTGAACCACTCGCAGACCTGGAAGATCGCTGTCGGGGCAATTTAACGCGTCGGCTTTCAACAGCAAATGATCAGGGCGTTTACTATCAAATGGGTGTAATGACAATTTGAAGTGGGCCTTTAAAAACGACACATTACAACATGGATGGATGATCCCCACATACTTGTAAATTTGTACATGCGCTGGTCTGGTCGAATGCAAAATTAAAACGTTACACATTTCTACACGTGCAGACTAAGTACACCACTAAAACAGATTTTAAATGGATACATGGGGGTCATGATCACTACACAGGCAATATATGCGCATTCTAAACAGGAAATTGTTATAATTGTGGTTCTTTGTATTAACTTTTTTCACACCGTACGTAGCCAACCATGCTCATTGGAGGTGCAGGGAAGGACAACAAACTAAACATGCAGTTCTAACAAAAATAGTTTTCAAACTATACTTAAAAGTGCATAGCTAGTGACTTCCTAATATCGAAAGGAAGAACGTTCCAGACGGCCATAGAAGCACATCTGAAAGCACGCGATGCCGATGACACTTTGTTAGATGGCGAGCCAAAAAAACCCTTAAGGAATTCAAACTCGTGCATATTATCAACAAAAACCTAAGCAAGAAAGAAGACGCATTGGCCGAGCAACACATTTGCGTTTTATTAAAACGATTCCGACAAAAGTAGACCGCGTAGTGCATTCACCGCATTACGAGGTTTGGAGTCAATCATCGATACCGATAATTGCTCATTCTACTTGTGTAAAAGACAGTCCATGCCCCTGATCAGTCTCCAAACATACAAATGCAAAACACGTATTACAAAACAAACAAAAAACGGCAAAAACACAAACGTAACTCGTTTTAAATTAAACCATCACGTGGTCCTGCAAGTAGGATTGTACACCGTCCGCTTTCACGATTGGGCCAAATCAGCAGTATTCACATTACCTCCCCAAGCTGAAGCCAAATTGCTCCGTATGTTTTCCAACTCTTTCCAATGAAGGTTGAGAGTGTTGAGATGCATCAGCTCTGTCGGCAAGGCGGGGTGGGCGGGGTGACGATTACTCTCGTAAAGATGACACAATACGTCTCAAGCTGTCTTTTTAAAAACAGCCAAATTGATCGAAGGGATATTTGCAAACCAGTGCAAAAGGAGGACCATTTGCAAACACGCAAACGTATTTTACCCCTGATAACTACCCATCAGATTCCGTATGAATATAAATGCTTTTTAAGACAAACGCATGTTGAACATCATTACTGAATGCCTATGTATGCTTGATCTTTCCCAAATTGTTCTCCAAGATATGTCAGACAGATAACAGACCGCACAGATGATACATTGATGGCAATCAGTTTAAAACTATCCAGTGTCGAAGGTCTTTAGTATTTATTAATCTCTTTTATTTCTGCCGAACATGAAGCAGTTAATCGGTGCTCTCTTAATCGCAACGTCGCGATAGCAGCAGACCATTGCGGCAGAAAACAAATACACGAATGCTTGTTTCAGACAGCATCGCTTCGTGCGACATCACCACCGGTGAATATTTCGTCCCCTTTAATTCACGTGGCGATCCATTCCCCATGTGGTAACCGCACAAAACGGTGGAGTGGTGGGAGAGCTGGGATGTGGTGGTGGGGGGGGGGGGGAGAGAGGGCCTTCAGTACCGAAGACGCGAGAGTTGCGTTCAATCTGCACGGCGTGCCTCACCGCCTCGCTCAAGTCCGGCCTCGGCGATAGTTTTGTTGTTGTCGAAAGAATTTCTCGTCGTCGTCGAGATTGCTGAATCTCATTTTAGCAGCACATACGAGTCCTTGCCGTCGTCGCTCTTGACGCGTAGGCCGTGAAAGAGGTGGAACTCTCGTCGTAGGAAGGCGTAGAGGTAGTCGGATATGAGGAGGATCTGCGCACACACACACACACAGCATGTCCAACCATCATCTTCCATCATTAGGCAGATCACCACACACATCTCCCCAGCAATTTGATGTCACTATTCAATTCGAGATACAATATTTCTTTGGTATAATTTTCATCATTTTGTTTTGTATTCTGCTCTTGGTTTGTTTTTTGTGATTTCTATTAACTTAAATAAATCAATGCAATGTACAACCCTTTAGCAGCCCACCGAGAGATAAAGGCCTCCCTAAGGCATGTCGGCCGTGAGGGATGTGTGACCATACTTCGCCCTGCTGGTCACCGTGGGTGGGCAAAGGTTTGGCCATGTTTGTTTGTTGTAGTACGGAGTAAGAATGATGGCTTTAATCTAAGTTGTCTTGTGGTTGTTGTTGTTTGACTTGCATCCCACTGGGATTTTTGCACACAGCGTTGGTGTACGGTGCTTTTTTTCTGGAAGACTTTTGCAGTTTTTTCCTGGATTCTTCTCTTTGCACATAGTCAATTTAAGATGTTTTCTTGTTCACGTTTTTGTTTTTTGTTTGTTGCGGTTGCACCCGATTCAAGAGCCGAATGGCTCACGGGGCTATACCTAATACATGAAACTGAGCCCTCACCGATGTTCGCCATGGCTAGGATTTGAAGACCGCAGCTTGTGTGCCGTTCCACCGCCTTCACACTCGATAGCTACGCCACTGAGCGACGGGCACTGGGTGGGCCGTGCGGGAGGGTGGCGGCAGGGGAGGAGGTGGTGCCCACCTGTCCCGTGTTGAACGCCAGCGTGGTGGCGTAGTAGAAGTTGGCATTGGCACTGCCGGAGAAGATCCACAGGTGCCAGAGCACGGGGAAGAGCACGGAGCACACGACCAGCAGGCACGTGACGAGCAGCGTGTTCCTCAGGTCTGCCACGCGAGGGTTCGCGAGCACGCGCATACGTACACACACACACAGAGAACAAAGGCAAACATTCCTCGTATAGCTATAACAGACCGCTGGGGCAAGTGCTGTGTGCGAGCACCTATGAAGGCCGGCACGGCACACGAGGGGGGGTGGTAAGCACCACGCCCGGCCCACCTTTGTCTCCCCAGTGGCGATGTTTACACACCACACCAGGCACTCACTTGAGGCTAAGTCGACCTAGGGAAGGCCCACACAGAAGGCAGAGGCGCCCACATATGTATTCTCAAGAGCTTCGCCGCCTGTACCTGGACAGCATTATTGGTAATTCTACAACCATAGTGCTAAGACTATCATTAACACAACACTCATGTCAACCCTAACCTCACGTAACACTGTCTATAAGCCTCCCTTTAATTGAATTCTAACCCTTACCATAACTTTAACATCAACACTGACAAAAACTCAAATTCTAGCCCTAATTTTAACTGAAAATTAAGTTGGGTCAGCAGATGGGTGGGTGAGTGGGTGGACAGGCGGATGATGAGATGAGTGGGTGGGCAGCTGGGAAGGCGAGCAGGTCATTGGTTGCATAGGTGAGGTGGTTGGGTGGGTAGGTGAGCAGATTGTTGGATGGGTGAATACGTGGGCAGGTGGATGAGCAGGTAGGTGGGTGGGTAGGCGACTGGTTAGGTGAGCAGTTGAATTATTGCGTAGGTGAGGTGGTAGTTGGGTGGGTAGGTGAGCAGCTTGTTGGGTGGGTGTGTGGGCAGGTGGTTGGATGGGTGTGTGGGCAGGTGGTTGGGTGGGTGTGTGGGCAGGTGGTTGGGTGGGTATGTGGGCAGGTGGTTGGGTGGGTGTGTGGGCAGGTGGTTGGGTGGGTGGGTGGGCAGGTGGTTGGGTGGGTGTGTGGGCAGGTGGTTGGGTGGGTGTGTGGGCAGGTGGTTGGGTGGGTGTGTGGGCAGGTGGTTGGGTGGGTGTGTGTGGGCGGGTGGTTGGGTGGGTGTGTGGGCAGGTGGTTGGGTGGGTGTGTGGGCAGGTGGTTGGGTGGGTGTGTGGGCAGGTGGTTGGGTGGGTGTGTGGGCAGGTGGTTGGGTGGGTGTGTGGGCAGGTGGTTGGGTGGTGTGTGGGCAGTGGTGGTGGTGTGTGGCAGGTGGTTGGGTGGGTGTGTGGGCAGGTGGTTGGGTGGGTGTGTGGGCAGGTGGTTGGGTGGGTGTGTGGGCAGGTGGTTGGGTGGGTGTGTGGGCAGGTGGTTGGGTGGGTGTGTGGGCAGGTGGTTGGGTGGGTGTGTGGGCAGGTGGTTGGGTGGGTGTGTGGGCAGGTGGTTGGGTGGGTGTGTGGGCAGGTGGTTGGGTGGGTGTGTGGGCAGGTGGTTGGGTGGGTGTGGCTCTCGAGTCTCACAGCACTTGAGGTGAGTCCACATGGGCAGCAGAGCCAGGAAGAGGGCGAGGTCGCCCACACTGGGATACGACTTGAACACGGCAATGAGCCCCACCTGCAGGCACATGTGGAAGAAGGGGTGCTTGCTGTGGGCGCACGTGTGCGTGTGTGTGTATGTGTGTGTGTGCATGTCCGTGTGTGTACGTGTCAGTGTGTGTCCGTGTGTGTGTGCATGTCCGTGTGTGTGTGTCCGAGTGTGTGTGTGCATGTCCGTGTGTGTATGTGTGTGTGCATATCCGAGTGTGTGTGTGTCCGAGTGTGTGTGCGTGTGTATGTCCGTGTGTGTGTGTGTGTGTGCATATCCGTGTGAGTGGTTGTGGACGTACAAGCATATGTATTAATAAAATGATTTTTGGGTAAATTACATTCCAGACCCCATTTCGCTGTAAATTTATCGATCACTGTAATTATATTATAATTAACGATACTGGTTGTAAAATTGTATGCTAACCACTGCGCTAGTTCAATTAGAATATGGTGATAATAACTTCAACTTGTTTGAAATCAAATAGCTCAAGTGAACCGCTTGAGCAGCAACATTAAATAACAATGTAATAATTTTTCTTATTACTATTATCATAAACTTATCATGATGACATTGGCAAGCAGAACAAGTTGCCGTGGGACCAGTTAAGTAAAATTGTGGATGGCGGGAGCTCCAATGCACAGCCAATTGAGTGGCTAATCAGGTGGCAGTTGTATCCAGATGACGCACTAACACAACACATGGCAGTCCGGCGAAATCGATCTATGATCCCAGTCGTTACCAACATCTATTCATCAGCATGGTGAAGTTTAATACACATAATAACGTACATTTGTCAGGCGCATTTCATCCAAAGATCCCAATGCACCGTGCATGGTAACCAGAGTAAACACAGAAGCAGGGCAAACGGTCAAATAACCCCCACGACCCAAATGGAATGGGAGGGGTCTCATCCAGCAGTGGATTGACACAAGAGCTGCAACCGTACATGTACATATGCCCCACTTACTGCACTCGAAATCTAATGCGACAATTGGTGGAGAGGTGGATTCCAGCGATCACCAATGGAAAAGCCGACCAATGTACGGAAAAGCGTTGTCGCCTCGACGGTGAAACGGGAAGGGAACGTGACAAACACCTGAGCAGCACGGCAAGCGGCACGGTGTAGATGAAGGCGTTGATCTGGAAGATGCAGATGAAGAAGAGGCGGAAGTGCTCAAACACCTCGGTGAAGAAGTACCAGAAGAGTCCCACATTGGGAGTCAGGTCGGGCACAGACAGCCTGCTCACACCATCACACACAATCATTGCCATCAACATCGTTGTCATCGTCGTGGTCAACGCTACAATCGGTATCACCAGCATCATCATCGTCGTCATCATGATCAACACTGAGGGCAACGCGGTGGCGAGGTGCTAACTCCCTCGCCTGGTATACAGGAGGTAGTTGGTTTGATCCCGACCCCGACACCTGCTGTATATCTGGGGTTTGCGTGTCTCTCTCCCCGTGGTCGCGTGGATTTTTCTCCGGGTCCTCCGGTTTTTCTCTCCACATTTGGAATGAACATCACGCATTTAGGGTGTTTGGCTGCTATACATATCCACACAATGAGCCACTTCGTTGAGCTCTCATTTGTGGCCAGGTAGCTTCTGAAAAAGAGCCAAAGAGCTCAGTGAGCCTTACCTTGTGAAATAAAAATAGGTCAAATAGTTTTTTTAAATAGAACATCACCATCATTGTCATCGTTATGATCGCCATCATCATCATGATTAATGCCATGATCCACATGAACACTATCATTACCATCATCATCATCATCATCTTTGTCATCATCATGAATATTACCATCACCATAATGAAACTACAATAACATTACTTTGCACAATAGGACTCCCCCAACAAAACGGAGACTCGCTTAACGTACTAGCTGATAAGGTTGTTTTATAATTGGTTCTTTACCTGTCTATCTGGCAACAAAACTGACACCTTTTTACAAGGAGTCATGTTTGCATAGACCGCAATACCTGCAGTCATAAATACAAACAAAAGACATAACTCTGATAATGTGCACTGTCCTTGAAGTTGATTGGTCCACACCCGAGACAGCTTTCCTTCGAGCCTAGTCTCACATGGGTTGGACCAGATGACGCCAAAAGGCGCACAACTCAAAGACAATGCACCATCAGAGTATGAGAGCTCGGGGCAAACATCTACACTATGGGGACCTCATTTGCCAGTAAAGATATGATAATTGGTTCTTTACCCTTCTATCTGGCAACAAAACTGACACCGGTCTATGCAAACATGACTCCTTGTAAAAAGGTGTCAGTTTTGTTGCCAGATAGAAGGGTAAAGAACCAATTATCATATTTTTACTGGCAAATGAGGTCCCCATAGTGTAGATGTTTGCCCCGAGCTCTCATACTCTGATGGTGCATTGTCTTTGAGTTGTGCGCCTTTTGGCGTCTTCTGGTCCAACCCATGTGAGACTAGGCTCGAAGGAAAGCTGTCTCGGGTGTGGACCAATCAACTTCAAGGACAGTGCACATTATCAGAGTTATGTCTTTTGTTTGTATTTATGACTGCAGGTATTGCGGTCTATGCAAACATGACTCCTTGTAAAAAGGTGTCAGTTTTGTTGCCAGATAGAAGGGTAAAGAACCAATTATCATATTTTTACTGGCAAATGAAGGTCCCCATAGTGTAAGGTTGTTTTAGCTTAATCTGAACCTCAGCCCACTTTCGAATCTGCTTTGCCAATGGAAATTACTGTGTAACTAAAAAATGTTTTTATGTTCCTGGGTAGTAAGTGTTATTTCCGAATTGCTTAAGCCTCAAAAGTACAGGAAATGGCTATTATTCCCCACAAACTTTGCTTTTGTGACCAGGACAGTGATAGTTTGAAATTTACATATTTTCGATGAGAAAACGTGGTGTGCATTTGTGTCATTCCTTCACATACAGTCCTGGTCACAAAAGCAAAGTTTGCGGGGATTAATATCCATTTTCTGTACTTTGTAGGCATAAGCAATTAAAAAAATAACACTTACTACCCAGCGACCAAACATTTTGTTACATAGTGTACAATTCGGTTCAGAATAAGTCTCGTCGCGATATATTAAGTCAGCAACATGCCATGAAGAATTCCCTACACTGTAAGTCCCCGGAGCTGAGAAAGAGCCGACTTGGGGAAATCCGACTTCACGGAAATGTTCCCATAAATCAGGTAAAAAAATATGTGAATATGCGGAATTTTTCGTGTTAGTTATGTGACAGATGAATACCGCGGAGCGAGATGCGAGCCCCCCCAGCTTACGCCTGTGCTCCACCAAAACGTCGCCTTTACAGAGTCCGAGATTCACTAGGATTACAGTAAATGTAATTTTTTTGTCGCGTTAGGCAATTCTTTTCCTTTTGTAGCATTACGTAACAGTTAGTTTTCCATGCTTAGAACTATCTTTTATTTCCATGTTTCTATTGCTAGTTTTCTCCTTGTTAAGTTTATGTCACGAGTTATTTACTGTATGTACTTTATTTAACACAATTACACTTCGACTGCTCATGGTCTCAGCCAACAGCAATCGGAGAAGTATCGGCCTGGACTAACGCACCGTAAACGAACATTCTGAAGCGACTGCTGCTTTCTGTTAACAATTCATATTAACGTGTTTCGTGGTTCATATTCTTGGTTCTTTCGGTAAAGTCACGTAGAAGGGAAACAATACAATAATAAAAATATAAAACAATTCAATTATCACGACGTTTAGAATGCAACACAAGCAATCATCATCATTGCTTGTGTTGCAGTCGATATAAAACAATTTTATTGTTTCATGTTTTTATTATTTTATTGGTTCCCTTCTACGTGACTTTACCGAAAGAACCAAGAATATGAATCCCTGCAGTCACGAAAGCTTTAAATCAAAATGTTTCGTCGTATTCATAAACAATTTGATACGGTATGTTTCATGAGTTTAATAATGGGCGTAGTGTTAGGGTAGATATTCGATCAAATGAAAGAATCATAGGAAGTGCAGAGTGCATGCACAGCGATACGATGCAGGTAGGGACGACAGTGCGATACAGGAGTGAAAAAAAAAACGGTAGGGGAGGGAGACAACAATTTCTAGCGATGGGATTTTATCGTTGATTTTGGGAAGAAATTGTTCAGTTTCCGACATACGGAAAATTCGGGTTACAGATCGTGCTAGGGAACCTAACCCTTCTGTAACCCAGGGACTGCCTGTACACGGGTCGTGAAGCATTTAGTTTCAGAAAGGCGCGGAGCAGGTACTAGCCTTATAACCGCACCATATCATGAAGTAATATTAATTCCCAAGCATAGAATGCATGCATGTGGCGAATTGCGTGTGTGAGTAATGACAACAATTTTGTGGTTTTTAGACCACAAAGTAAACCACTGTAGTCTGCGCCCCTTTCACGGAAATAAAAAAGCACAAAGAGACAAACTCTCTCCTGAAGCCCTATCAGACACCAACATTCAGGCTCCAAACATATTGCCATACGCAATAAAATAATGTACAATGTATGACTTTCACAGAATGAGCACATTACATGCCGAGTTTTCATTTAGATGAACAGCGCAGAACAAAAAAAATCGACAATCGAATCGAGACAAAAGACGCAACTATTCAATCTAACAGCGCGCGCCCGAAGCGAAACACTTCACCAAGTGGTTTGTACGCGTGTACGTATGTAGAACTTCTTTTGCACCATACGTAGGCAACTGTGCTAACCAAAGGGGGGACGGGGGTGGGGACAGCCGCAAGGAGCGCCGCCGTGCCACTCACATGAAGCCGTATGTGGCGCCGATGAAATCCCAGGACTCGAGTAGCGTGAAGGAGAGGCACAGGAGGATGGCGAGGCAGCCGAGGAACGCGAAGACGCACTCGGTCGCAAACGCCCAGAACGCGGGGCTCCTCCAGCGCGCCTCGCCCTTCACGTGCTTCTGTGCTCACGCGGCAAGGGGTGGTGCGGGAGGCGGGGGTGGCGTTCAGAGATGGCGTTCAGAGATGGCATATCGCCATCGGCGGAGGTGCCATGATTAAACCGGTGTTCTCAAGCGAAGAGAGATTTGATGGGTCTCGAGGCGGTTCGCCAAAAGCGGCGTGAAAAAATCTACGCGTTTTAATTAGCGCTCTCGCTCAATTTGACTAAACGTCAGCCCTGAGAGTTCAATAAATAATGTGTGATTGGTACGTGGCAAACATTTCGACAGGTGAGAAGCTGCCAATGCCGAGTGTAAATGAGGTTTTATCTCCCAGCAGCGGTTGTCAAAGTCTCACTGCTTTCTGTGAATGATTTCCAAGTGGACGCATCTTTGGGGCATGAGAACGAGGCATAGGCAAATCATGATTTGACAGACTGCACAGACTATCACGTGAAAACTAATAAATATAAACTAACGATATATTATTTTTATTTTACCAAGTAAACTGGCCACAATTGATAGCTCAGTGAAGTGGCTTATCATGTGGAAATTTATATCAGCCAAATACTCTTCAACGCATGTTTATTCTGAATGTGGAGTGAAAAACCGGAGGACCCGGAGAAAAATCCACGCGACCATGAGAAGAACATGGAAACTCCAAATATACAGGCGTCGGGGTTGGGATCGAACCCACGACCTCATGTATACTAGGCGAGGTAGTTAACATTTTGCTACCATGGCACCCTAAAAATTTGGCATTAATACGGTCCATATGTAAACAACTCACACACCGTACCTGGGTATTACAATATTTTAACATAACCAGGTAATTGCAGTGAAAACCCAAATGAGATGGAGTAAATCTCACAATTGCCTCTATGAGTATGTAGGTCAAAGGTCTTCAGCACCGTACGTAGTTAACCGTGCTAATCGGAGATGCGGAAACAAATGAGCACAGTCACACAAATAAACACATACAGCTTCACAGACACACACAAAGATTCCCCAATGAGACTTTTAAGACTGTAGGAAGCAAGTGCTGTTAGTGAGCACCTATGAAGGCTGGCATGGAACACGAGGAGGGTGGTATGGCAAAATCCACACCTGGCTGCCTTTGTCTCCCCACTGCCGATGTCTCCCTCGTGGCAATGTTTACACACCACACCAGGAACTCATTGATGGCTGAAACAAGCTAGGGGAGGCCCAAGACCAGCTCAAATATTCTCCACTGTTATGGAACTTGAGTTGCCAGGTTAATCGCACATGTCGCTAATCACTACCCTACCGGTCCCCACTACCGTTTAGCACACAGAAACACACAAAAAACAAAGATCCCCGATATAGCCTTTAACAGACTGTTGGGGCAAGTGCTGTATACGAGCACTTCTGAAGGCTGGCATGGCACACGAGGGGGTGGGTAGCCAGCACCACACCCGGTCGCTTTTGTCTCCCTTACGGCAAAGTTTACACATCGTACCATGTGCTCATTTGAGGCTACCTAGGAGAAGCCCAGGACTGATTCATATAATCGTCACTGTTGTCGGCCGTGAGCGGGAATTTAACACGTGTTGCCGGGTTCGTAGCGCAGCTCGCTAACCACTGCACCCCCGTAACAAACACACCACCTCACAAACATACACAGAAACACACAGAGAGGTAGACACATTAGCAATGCATGCATTACCTGGGCCATGTGCAGGGTTGCAGGTATAATGAGCATCACAGGGTAGAGGGACTGGTAGGTGGCCAGTGCCAGGAAAACTGCCATCATGAGAATGCTCCCTACAAGCACACACACACACAATTACAACACATGAGCTCCCAACGTGGGCAGAAGCCTCAAGTCCAAAACATGATGTATGTTGTTGAACATCTCTCGCACCGTACGTAGCCAACAGTGCTCATCGGAGGTGCGGGGGAAGGACAACAAACTAAACACGAAATTAAGTTCTCAAGAAATGATAATCAACGTTTTTGGGTTTAGATCACGTTATTTATAAATGTGTCGTAACCCTCCACAATCCGACACGGCCAATCAGTAACAAGTAAACCCGTAAAAACAAAGTTTTTCACTCTAAATCCTTTATATGCGTGGCAGCTAGAGTTCTCTCGTCCTCTGGCTTGAGATGGCTGCAATCTATGGGTCAGATGATTGCATTGCACCATTAAGCAATTGGTAATTAAATATTTAATTTGTTTTCCCTAAACAGTGTAACATTTTGGAAAAAAAATTTCACGAAAATTAATTGTCACACACAACGAGTCTGTGTGGAAAATGTCAGCTCGATTGGATCACGGGAAGTGGGTTAAAAAACGAGCGAAAGATTTGCACGGTCCTAAGCAAGCAAGCGAACTTAATATAAAGGATTTAAAAATATATTCGCCTGTGGAGGACGCGGGGATCGATCCCGCGACCTTTGGCATGGGAAGCGAGGGCGCTACCAACTGCGCTACTCCACCACAGCCTGTGGAGGGGTTACGCTCTGGGCTCTTACACTCTGACGTTCAGCCAAAGCCATGAATGCGTTCTATTTGAATATATGTAAAATACTTTTTTTTTGCCTAAAAAGTGTAAAATTTTGGGAATTTTTTTCACGAACAATAATTGTCTGGCACAACGAGTCTGTGTGGAAAATGTCAGCTCGATTGGATCATGGTAAGTGGGTTAAAAAACGACCGAAAGATTTGCACGGTCCTAAGCAAGCAAGCAAGCACGCGAACTTAATATAAAGGATTTTAAAAAGTGTCACGTTGACAAAAGACAAATATTTCACTGCTTTAGCCCACCAGTGTGTTGACGAGTGAAACCACAACATTTACAATTTGAGTACGACGTTTCGCTGGTAATTGTAAAAATTGTAAATATTGTGGTTTCGCTGGTAATTGTAAAATTGTAAATGTTGTGGTTTCACGCTTCAACACACCGGTGGGCTAAAGCAGTGAACTATTTGTCTTTTGTTAACGTGACACTTTTTTACTAATTGGCCGTGTCGGGTGGTGGAGGGTTACGACACATTTATAAATAACGCGATCTAAACCCAAAAACGTTAATTATGAATCTCAAGAAATGAGTTTCCAATCTACATTTCAAAGTCTTAATGTCGGAAAGAAGAGGGTTCCAGATGGCCGGAGAAAATGGCATCTGAAAGTGCGTGATGGCAAGCCAAAAAAAATAAAAGTGTCAGAAGATTACAGCAGTGGAGACAAATTTTCCTGGAGAAGCATGCGGTGATGTTCACCAATTATCTGTGTAACAACAATTAACCGCCCCAGATTTAATGAATTTCTACAATACAACACCACTATTAGGTTCAAGAATCACGTGTTGTTGTCGTAATTTTTACGTCTCAATTACATTCCTTCAAATTTTTCACGTCCAAGTTTTTGGTGTTATCTGCCACGTTAGCCTAAACGTTAACTTCAACATATATTGTCGGACTGTAGATCATTGACTCTCACATGCACTATTCGATGCGTGTGCCGTGAGATGAAGAATCGGCTACAATCGCGGTGGCCCGGTTATGAAGACGTTCCAGTGCTGAGATGGCACTGCTGATATCCTGGGTTTGAATGCAGGCAGCTGGCTGCGATTAAGCTGGGTTCTCGTGTCCAATAAGTTGACGGTTTCAGCCTGGTCACCAATGACTGCCCAAAAAAAGTACACGACGTTCAATTTGGATTTCCACTTCATTCAGTTAAATTCCAACTCTGAAAATAAAAAAATAATCAATCTTGATTTGAAGCTTTCGTGACTGCAGGAATCCATACTCTTTGGTTCTTTCGGTAAAGTCACGTAGGTAGAAAAATAATAGATCACGACGTTTCCATCGCAACACAAGCAATCGTCATCAGGTGGGACAACCACAGCAAGATAAAACTGCTGAAGTAGGCGAGAGATCTGCCGTGGCACGAGGTTATAAAATAATCAGTTTAATCTGTAAAGCGATGAATGTCACGTTCGGTTACTGGGCCGAGTGGAAAAGTGCTGACTGCCACTGTATGCACCAGAGTTCAGATTAAAAAAATATCAGCGGTAGCTCTGTGATATCAGCTTCTGTGAGCTGTTCCCTTCCCATGAAGGCTTTCATTGGTCTGTCGATATTCTTCATGTTTACTTTATTTCGTGACACGACACCGATATCAGAATAGGGTTCAAATTTGGGGGGAAAAAATGTAACTTTAAATTGATGAATGAATGCATTGTCACATGCCCCTCTCACCATGCAGTGTGGCCAGGAGACTGAGGGCGATGAAAAGGTTGTTTATGGCACAGGTGCTCCGAGCCACGCATGTTAGGATGGTGTAGGGGTTCAGGAGGTACCTGTAAACAAAGGGAGACAAGGAGACGTAAGACCGTTCCAAACCACATGAGATGACATCACACGCCACATGATGTGACGTAAGAAGATGAAGTCATAATTGGTCTTTTACCCTTTTATCTGGCAACAAAACTGACACCTTTTTTTTACAAGGAGTCATGTTTGCATTGCCACAATACCTGTGGTCGGAATGCAAACAAAAAACACAACTCTGATAATGTATGCACTTGTCCTTGAAATTGATTGGTCCACACCTGAGACAGCTTTTCTTAGAGCCGAGTTTCACATGGTGTTGGACCAGATGACGCCAAAAGGTGTCAGTTTTTTTGCCAGATAAAAGGGTAAAAAAACAATTATCATATTTTGCTACTGGCAAAGGAGGTTCCAATGGTGTATAAGATAAAGTCATTTATAATGACGTCACCAGGAGGGGAGATACGGACTTGACGTGTGATGGACAAAGATGACTTCACACATATTCATGGCATTGCCTTGGCCGTCAAGGATAATCCTTTAATCGCTGTTTTTAACCCAAGATTTTTGGGCAACCTTCTGATGATCTGCTCAAGTCTGATTCATATCGGATCGCCTTAACGTGAGCTTTAGCGACCTGCTGCTAAACAAAATGACACAACTAACTAGTTGAAAAGCACTAAAACAGCAACGCTTGTATGTTGTCCTTACGCCATGGCGACGCGCAGAGGGAGGTAGCTGGTGTCTCGTGGGTCCAGCAGGAGAGGAGACGTGTCCACCTTGTAGAGGCGATGCTCTTGCTTCTGCCGCTCGTGCTGGCGGGACAGAGGATGGGGAACCGGCGAGTTGTCGGGGGAGCGGGACACACAACGGCGTTAGCGGCATGTTAACTTGCTCGCCTGGTATGCAGGAGGCTGTGGAGTCGATCCCAACCCTGCCGCCTATTGTATATTTGGACTTTGCATGTCCTCCCTGTTGTCACGTGGATTTTTCTCCGGGTCATCCGGTTTTTCCCTCCACAATTAGAACAACGTACGTTTAGAGCATTTTGCTGCTAGAAATTTCCATGTGATAAGCCACTTCGTTGAGCTATCATTTGCGGCCAGATCGCTTCCGAAAAAGAGCTACATTGCTCAGCGGGCCTTACCTGGTAAAAGAAATAAGTAATATTTAAAAATGCTTTTTTAAAAACACGCTTTAATGAAATGTACCATATGAGTAATGGCAGAACTCCACGACTCCAAGAAGTGGGCCCGAAGCCTGCCATAACATAAGAGACCGTGGTGATATACAGCCAACGTCAGTTGAGCGTGGACAATTAGACCCAAGCCGAAACATAACAAATAAAAAAGATTGTTTAAAAGTATATACATTTTATTTTTAACGATAGACTATAGTATTGTCATCAGTATGACATAAGTATACCAAGTTTGCAGTCGATACCACATTGAGAGTAGGTAAAAATTTAGTTACAAAATTTGAGGATACGACAACAGACAGAGTGAGTTAAATAAAAGCGTGTAAAATAGTTAAATAGTTAACTCATAAAGCAACAAGTCTTCCTGCTTAAACCAGCGATCTACACGAACAGCCCTTTGTATGAAGCCACAGTTGGATGAGGACCAAAGACATGCGCGTCGTTTGACCAGACTTCAACAGTCCGGTCAAACGACCCAAATTACTGATACGGCATTGAAAAAAAAAATAGGTGTACATCTTTTTTCATGAAATCACGGTCCCACCGGTGAGTAGTGGGAAAAAAAGCAGGCGTTTAGATATTTACAACAATTTTAATTTGTTTAACAACTTGGTTTTGCAACTTCTTGGACACCATGGGCAGTCAGCTCAGTCTGGTGGCATCTTAAAAGTCCAAGCACATATGATACGCATGTGAATATGTACATACTGCGGTGCATATGCGAATGTATGGTCAACACATAGAAGCATGTACTAATGCTGTAATTATAATAGACACTCACCAAATAGTTCATTAGTTGTTTAGTAGCCAGGTAGAGGATGACAGTTGTCAAAACATCCACAAACTACACAACAAAACAGTCGAGAAGGTTAATGCATGCCACTCTCTCAGCTAGTCCGTTATATGGTTATAGTTATATAAAAGATTTCATTCATTCGCATATATGGCATTCAATACACTTTATTTTTAAATAGAGAAATGCTCTGCTGTAAGGGACTTCTTACACGTACCAAGACGAAAAAGCACACCACAAAGTGATGCACATTTGTCCTGAGCATCAGCGTATAACGCAACATTAAGAAGGTATAAACAATCAAACTGTCAATTAAAATAGCAGTTTACGCTCACGATACACACGTTGAATCATACGTGCAATCCATTGCTCTGTATTAATGTGAAACGCATGGAAATCGGACGCATGATACGGGCCACCCAGTTGACCACCGCTGCTGTACAGCACAGCACAACGCAAGGGACTGCAGGCTCACCATGAAGACAAGCTCAGAGCAGTCGACCAAGAAGTGGAAGACGTAGATTATCATGGGCGTCTGAAAAACGAGCAACACTCGGTTACAACTCGGCAAAAGAAGCAACACAGAAAATCTCTCAAAATGCACACGCGTAGCTAGGCTTTGTGTCCTGCATAATCATCTTGCGATGACAAGACATCAATTCGTCAATTAACATTGTCACACAAACGATACATGCATTGTGTCAAGCATGCTGGTTAGACTGGGCCGAAGGAGCGTCGGTTGGATAAACCAGGACACAGCCGAGGTGAATTATCTAAGAGTCACAGTATTTGTGTTGGGGGGGGGAGGGGGAGGGTGTTCCTTTAGCTCAGTGTTCATTGCAAGGCCCGTGGGCCACTGGCGGTTGCTGACGTGCGGCCCCCCGACAGTACACAAACAGTGAAACCAACCCCATTGTGCTGCCAAACCACAATGGTTTCAAATGTGTGGCGGCCCTCAGCACCGCTGTCTTATAAGCAAAAGTGGTCCCCCCCCCCCACTGCGAAAATGAGTGAAGAACACCGCTCTAGCGAGCTGAGACACGGCGAGTTCACGACACATTATTCAACGAGAGGGCTCCATCACCTCGTGGAAAATGTCCCCAGAGTACGGCGAGATTCCCAGGTCCAACATCGTCATGGCCTCGATAACTGCATCGTTCACGCAAAAGAAAAACCAAAGCCACACGGCGAGATTAAAACAACAACAAAATTCATGCACAGTGAGACAACTCTTGTTCACGAGTGATTATCCGCGGCCCATAATGGATCAATGACAAACTCATACAATTATCCGCATTGTGACTGGAGCGGTATCTCTTCATATGCGTAATGAGTTTTCTCTGGTTACTAGTGTCCCTCCAAAGTGCATTTTTGCGTGGATACAATTGCACGGAATGTTTGTCTTGGTACAGGAACGCCCGTTGATCCCTCAAATAAAAGAGGCACACCAGGAAGTATGCACCTGGTTAGTCGATTCACAAATATCTTTTGATAACAGGATATGTGTGCGGCTAATTCATCAGATTATTAACATGTATCGGCAGATAACCACTGATAAGACGAGATGACAATATCAATGTGACATTATTCCCAACATCAGTATGGATAAGCGGAGTATTCGCTATTTTGAAACATGTTTTGAAAGACTGTATTTCTGGCCTTCTGTAATTCGCGTCTAGTTGTGGTAAGGATATCCCCGTTGGTTCATGATGGCCATGTGAGATTGAACTGAGTACTGCTGACCGACCGGCCTGGGTTTGAGCAGTGGCTCCTTGCTTGGTGTGTCTCGCTGCATCTTAGGAGGTTGAAAATCGGCCATTCAAGGCATACAACATGAGCACCGATGACCTGGATTTGAGTCTGGTGTAAGAAAACCTCAGGAGGTTCAGAACGATCTCGCAGCCCCCTACCCCCCTCTCTATCTCTCCTACCTTGCTCCTCCACCCTCTCTTGCCTATATAGCCTCTTGTCACGAGCAGCCCCTTTGCCCAATTCAGCAATTGTTTCTTGCTGTGGTTGTCCCACCTGATGACGGACGCTTGAGTTGCGCCCGAAACGTCGTCATTTAATTTATTTTAATTTCTACCTACGTGACTTTTTATCGAAAGAACCAAAGAGTATGGATCCCTGCAGTCACGAAAGCTTCAAATGAAATCAAGATTGTTGTTTACTGTTTACTTAGAGGGGAGGGGGGGACTAGAGCAGAATGCATGCTATAAAAAGCATATGGTAATTCTACTCTTTCTGTTCATGTATGTATGTTAAACTTCTTTAGCACCATACGTAGCCAATCGTGCTCTTAGGATGTTTGGAGGAAGGACTACAAACTAAACACAACAAGCGGTTCTAGATAAACTGAGTGCTCAATCTAGATGATGTAAAAGTGCATAGCTCCAGTGGCTTCCTACTATTAATGCCAAACGTTCGAAAACTTCAAATCGAGATTGGTTCATAACGACTTCGTAAAACCGACTGCCTGGGTTCGAGTTCAGAGTCCCGCTTCTTAGAATGTTCACAATTGGCCATGTCAGAGCATGGGTGGAAAAAACCCGATTTTTCCAGCGGCATGCATCTGGTTTTTTTCTTTAATACAATTAAACCCGATTTCGGGGAGTTAAAACCTGGTTTAATGAATACGAAACTCTGATCCAAGGCTCAGGCTGCTTCCTCGTCGGTGCTGCTATCGTACTCGGGGGGGCTGTCGGGCACGGGGTAGTCGTAGAATGCGGCGGGCAGGTTGGTCTTGATGAACACGAGGAGATTCTCCACAATCGTGGGCGCCAGTGAGTTCCTTCGCTTGGAATGGATGAAGCCCATCGTTGAGAAGTTGGCGAAATGCGGTTCTGCAATTAGAACCAACTAAACCGGATTTCTCCCAATCTCAGATGATCGGGTTTAATATAAAGACAATTAAACCCGATTGTAATAAACCCGACCGTGCCACCCTTTGTGTCAGAGACACCGACTCAGCACTCCCCTAATGCCTCTCTCACATCCACGCACTGCACAAAGACCCCCCCCTCCGTGTGGCCAACACCACGCCCGGCCGCCTTTGTCTCCCCAGTGGCGATATTTACACATCGCACCAAAGAAAAACAAAGATCTCCCCCCCCCCCCCCGAACAGACTGTAGGGGCAAGTGCTTTAAGCGGCACCTACGAAGGCCGGCACGGGCACACGAGGTGGGGGGGTGTGTGTGTGTGTGTCCCAGCCCCACACCCGGCCGCCTTTGTTTCCCCAGTGGCGATATTTACACATCGCACCAAAGAAAAACAAAGATCTCCCCCCCCCCCCCCCCCGAACAGACTGTAGGGGCAAGTGCTTTAAGCGGCACCTATGAAGGCCGGCACGGGCACACGAGGTGGGGGGTGTGTGTGTGTCCCTGCCCCACGCCCGGCCGCCTTTGTCTCCCCAGTGACGATTTTTTGACACACCGCACCAGCTCCTAATTGAGTCCGAGTAGAGCTTAAATGAGGCCCACGGGGGGGTGTTCAGAATAATCGTCACCGGCGTCCGTGAGCTGCGCTCCACTGCTGGATGAGTGCTGCGCCAAGTCTCACCGCGCTTCCAGGCGGTGACGGGAGTCGAGGCCTCGACTCGCTCCGCCGCGAACTCCACGAAGGCGGGAGCGCGGAAGAGGGCGGCCCGCAGCGTGACGCCCAGCACGGCGAGCAGAGAGAGCGTAGCCACCGCCATGGCGACGAGGAGGAGGAAGAGGAGGAGGAGGAAGAAGAGCGGCCCCCGACGACGACTCCACGCGTCGCGGTTGTCAGCTGGCGGGGAGGGGACAGGTGCCGCGCGGTGACGTCATCACGCGGCATGACGACGACTTCAGTAAGAGAAATTGACGTCATTGTTCACGTTGCCGTGACGTCACACATCGCTGCTTGTCAGCTACACGACGTCATCGCGCCGCATGACGAAGGCTTCAGTAAGAGAAATTGACGTCATTGTTCACGTTGCCGTGACGTCACATCGCTGCTTGTCAGCTACATGACGTCATTGTCATTATCGTGAGCGAGGTTAATCGGAATGTGGGTTTGTGCTGGAGGAATCCGATGAGCTATGAAGCTCTTTTTCACAGTAGGGGCGGGTAAAGAACCTTACAACGAAGCATACGATTCGCATCCTTTAAGCACGTAACAACAATGGGTCCGTCCATAAATGACGTCACGCACCTAGAGGAGGTCAGACATTTGTGACGATGTGTGACGAGGGGGGGGGGTTGAGAAATATGACGTCACATTAAAATGCGCAACTTTAAATAAATACAGACAACACGTTCTACTTAATTAAATAGACTTTAATAAATGTTTTCTCCTACAACATCAGAGTGCAGCGCCACATTAAATACGCACTACAATGACAATAGTTTAAAGCGATTTGAAGCATGTTTTATATTTTTTTGGGAGGGCAGAGCTTTGTGACGTCATATTTGAGGAGGGGGGTCAAAAATCGTCCAAAATCGCGTGACGTCATTTACGGACGGCCCCAATAATAAATGACACATCCACCGCGGCTTTGCATATCCTATCAGCAGCATTGGTTCAACACAAGTAGTCTGTACTGGTTTAAATCTTCAACTTAACGTACGCTGACTGAGTCGTTTTAACAGTATTGTGCGCTTTTATAAGGGTATTGAGGTGACGTCACGCCACAGCCTGTCAAATACATGACGTCTCCGCGCTGGAATTACTTTCAAGGACCGGTGTCAGACGGGCTTGGTCGCTCGCTAGTAAAGTGACGTCACCCCCCCCTCTCCCTCCCTGTGTAAGATGACGTCATTTTATCGTTCAACCGCTTAGAAGACGTCACCGCCGCTGGACTGCGTCGTTATAACAGTATTGTGCGTTTTATAAGAGTAGAGGTGACGTCACGCCGCAGCCTGTCAAATACATGACGTCACCGCGCTGGAATTACTTTCAAGAGGCCGGTGTCAGACGGGCTCGCTCGCTCAGTGACGTCACCCCCTCCCTCCCTGGGTAAGATGACGTCATTTTATCATTCAACCGCTTAGATGACGTCACCGCCGCCGGACGAGCGTCGACGGAAGTCGCCATCGCCTCGCGCCCGCACTTCCGCCTCCATTCAAATCTTAACGGTCGCCGCCGCCGCCGCCGCCTCGCTCATTGGAGTGAAGGTGGAGCGCGCACGAAACAACAACATCAACAACATTAACAACAACAACATTAACAACAACATTTACATTGCGGGACGACAATGGACGAGGCGGAGCGACGCGAGAACGAGGAGGCGTTCGCGCAGATGATTGCGCGCCTGCAGAAGATGCACGAGAACAGACGCGGGGGCAGCGTGGCCGCGACGGCGGCGGCGACCAACACGGAGAACCAGGAACCTAGCCTGGCACCGCGTGATGGCGGAGGAGGTGGCAGTCGTGGCAGAGGTGCGGCCCTCGGAAGCGGTGGGAGATCTGCGATGGATGAGCCGGCGCGGAGTGGAGGACTCTTTGAAATCATGGGGGTACCGATGCTGTGGAAACTACCCGGCGTATCCGCAGGCGCTGGAGGAGGAGGAGAAGGAGTTGGAGCCCCAGGATCTGATCAATCCACACCAGAATCCGAACAATCAACACGAGAACCCGGAGCAGTTCCTCCAGCGCCTGGAGCCGACGTTTCGGGCGACACCAGCAACGGGTGCAGCAGCAGCATCATCGGCGCGACGGCTCCGTGCGGCGTGACCGCGGGGCCCGACGAATGGCTCCGCTTCCTGAACCGCGAGCGGCTTCGTTGGGAGTCGAACGACCGCACCTCCAAGGGCCTCTTCCGTCTCTGCCTCCTCTACGCCGAGTGCCTGGAGACCGTGGACGCGGGCACCACGGGCAGCAACCGGAGCTACGCGGAGCTCCACGTGCAGTACGCGCAGCTGCGAGCGGCCCTCGACCCCGGTGAGGGCCGCGTTCAGTTCGACCACGCGCGGGTCGCCTGCCGCCGCGTGGCCCGCGTCCACGTGGCCGCCGCGCAGTTCGCCCTCGACCACGGGCCCGGGGTCGAGAAGAGCGCGTCCATCCTGCGCAAGGCGAGGGAGGCTGGAGCCGAGCCGCGTTCCCTCCTCGACGAGGCGTTCAGGAGGCTGCGCGTCGGTAACAAGCGGCTCGTGTCGCCGGTACACGACAAGGAGAACGTCGCCGCTGGGTTTGTACCGCAGATGGCGGCACCGACGCCGACGACGACGAATCTTGCGCAGGTGCAGGGCGAGGAGAAGAGCGATGGTCGGAGAGCGGCGATGTGGGCCAGGCGAATTGGTGGCGGTGGTGGCGGTGGCGGTGATGCGCCTGTCGAGATGAAGATGCAGCAGATGCAAATCGGTACGTTGCTGCGTAACGCCGCGGACTTGAAAAGTAACGTGGCCACTCCGACGGTGTTACAAGCCAGAGAGAACTTGTTCGCGGCGAAAGCGGTGAGCCGCAACCTCCAGGTGATCGCCACTCCGTCTGCCAGCCACAACAACACCGCCGCTGCTGCTGCTCCTGCTGCTCCTGCTGCTACTCCTGGTGGCTTCGTCCCGAGCAGCGCCGTCCCTGCGGTGGGCCACGGTGCCCGCCAGACGCCGCTTCGGAGCGCCGCGATCGTCGACGGCTCGACCCAGGGCCGTGGCTGCGAGGACGGTGCCCGGCCTCTCCTGCCTGCGGTGCACGGAGAGAAGAGAAGCTCCTGCCGCAGCCAAGAGGCGGCGGCGGCGACTCCGATACCAGGCGGAGGAGGAGGGGGAGGTCAGGAATCCGAAGCAGGGCAGCGCAAACGTCCGCGGGGATCAGCGCCTCTGTCCGTCCGATTTCAAACGCGGGCAGCAGGACTCGGACGGACACCCGTCGGCCAAGCGGATACAGCAACCTCCTCCTCCGCACAAGCCACCACCGCAGCACGAGCAGCAACGACAGCAGAAGCAACAACAACAGCAGCAGCACCAACAGCAGCAACAACAGCAACAACAACAGCAACAACAACAGAAGCAGCAACAGCAACAACAGCAGCAACAGCAACAACAGCAACAACAGCAGCAACAGCAACAACAGCAGCAACAACAGCAGCAACAGCAACAACAACAGCAGCAACAGCAGCAACAACAGCAGCAACAACAGCAGCAACAACAGCAGCAGCAGCTCGCGCGAGGTGTCGACGTTCCGCAGCCCGTGTGGACGGCTGATCCTCAGCCCCGCCGGCCGGAGTCGGTCCAGGCGAAGTTGCAGGACCCTCCGGGAGGACCTCTCACGGAGCAGCAGCAGCAGCAGAGGCTCCAGGAGGAGATGGCGTGGAGGGACGGCAAAGGGACCGTGACGGTGAAGGGGAGGCCGTACTGCTTGTTGAACTTGATCGGCAAGGGCGGCGGCGGGAAGGTCTTCTCTGCGCTCGACATGCAGCGGCGCGTCATCCGCGCCGTCAAGTACGTGTCGATGTCGGAGAGCACGGCCGAGATGGCTGACGCCTACGACGAGGAGCTCCAACATCTGAAGCGGTTGCAGCACCTGAGCGACAAGATCATCCAGCTGGTGGAGCACGAGGTGACGGAGCAGTGTACCTTGATGGTCATGGAGCTGGGCAGCGTGGACCTGCACACGTGGCTCCGTAAGACGGGGCGGCCCGCGCCGCACAAGCGGTGCTTCTTCTGGCACGAGATGGTGCAGATCGTGGCGGCCATCCACAAGGAGGGCATCGTCCACGGTGACCTCAAGCCGGCCAACTTCGTGTTCGTGGAGGGCAACATCAAGCTGATCGACTTCGGCATCGCGAAGGCGTTGCGGGCCGACGTGACGAGCAACGTGATGCAGGTGGCCGCTGGCACGCTCAACTACATGGCGCCCGAGATGTTCGGGATGGCGGCCAAGGTGGGGCCGAAGAGCGACGTGTGGGCCCTCGGCTGCATCCTGTACCTCATGACTTACGGAAGCCTGCCCTTCCACAAGTTTAGCTACTGGGAGAAGATGAAGTTCATCTGCGACCACACGTGGGCTATCCCATTCCCCGAGGTGGACGACGACGACGAGCTGGTGGACGTTCTCAAGAGGTGCCTCGAGAGGGACAAACAGCGGAGGGTGACTGCGGTGGAGGTCCTGCAGCACCCGTACCTCAAGCCGCAGCGACGGGGCAAGTGAGGGGACTCGAAGGCGCAGCGGCGTTTTTCAAAAATTTTCAGAGAGGTGGTGGTGGTGGGGGGGCCCACTTTCGCCCATAAGACATCGTCGGTGTGAGGGCCCTCCACACATGTGACATCATTGTTGGGTTTGACAGCACGACGATCATGGTAGGTGTTTTGACATGTTGTGTATTGTCTGGGGCCGCACTCAAGGCCGCCACCAGGGGCCGTCTGGCCTGCGGGCCCTGCAATGGAGAACCCTGGGCCAGAGGAATGGAGATGGTGAATTTACGGTGATAAAAAAGTGAAGGGAAGTGTGTGAGGTGTCTGGGTGACAGGTGGAAGTGCGTCTGAAATAATGTGGGCGGTGGGTATACTGCACAGCATGAAATGTTTGGTTGGAGGCCCGGTACAAATTACAGTTTTTTGTGGGATATTTTGTTGAAAAAGCCCTCCTGGAGATAAAATACTGAAGTGTGAAAAGTAATGTATTACCGGTCGCTTCACCTGCACATCGATTTGTATTGCACATTGTAGCTCTTGCGAGACTTGTGATTTTGTCGCATTACATTTGCGTTTAAATCGGCGGAATTACACATCTCATTACTTAAACTGTCACGTGACAAGCCTCGCTCTTAACGCAGAGCAAGTTGGAAAAGTGTTGCCTCCCCCTAAAAGTGTGGATCAAGAGTTCACTTGAACGGATCTCAGAGGTAGCTCTATGTTATCCGGTTCCGCGGGCCATCCTCCCAGCACAAGGGGGTTGCGCTGCTCTGCGAGAGATCCGATGGATACTGAGATGGCACCGGTTGTGCAATCGGGATAACATTTGGGGTGGGGGGAAAGTGATTAAAATAATAAACATCGTGAGGAACCCCACACCTGAGCTCGCCCGGGTACTTCATGGACTCGCTGTCAATGCAACCAAAACCACGCAGCTCTCGTGCGGAGATGCCCGCTGGCAATTACAAAAACTTTCGACGTTCGTCGCCATAAGCACGGCCCGAATCTTCATCGGCCATGATCATCACAGCTGGGCCAAGGCCTCCCATGGCCATCGTCGCCCTCAACTGTTGCACGATGCCACAACCACCCACCTCGTCGCAGCACATGAGCTGTCATCGTTCCTTGTCCACAGTGGTTGTCCCCTTGAGCTGTCTCCTCCTCTGGCTTCCATTCCGTCACTGACTATCCCCTTCCATCGACGCGTATTTCTGACATCTTGACTGACGTCGATGAAATGTATTACTTTTGTTTTTGTGCGTTGGTGTTGTCCTGTCGGTCTATTCGTCTGCACTTACCATCATTTGTTCCACCACCTTTGTCAATGTCCATGTTTCTGATCGATGCATCATCGTGGGGAGTGCACCGATTTAATGCTTTAGGCTTCTGGCACGTTTCCATGTTGCTTTTCACATTCCAAATTGACTAGTCAGCTTTCATTCACCTATTTAGTTAATAATTTCACCCCCCCCCCCCCCCCGGGTCTGTTTGCAGTCTGCCCCTCGGTGTAAATACATTATACGTTACATTTTGATTTAAAGCTTTCGTGACTGCAGGGATTCATATTCTTCGTTCTTTCGGTAAAGTCACGTAGAAGGGAAATATTAATGTTTTATATTAATATTATTTTATTATTTCCCTTCTACGTAACTTTACCGAAAGAACCAAGAATATATATTATACGTTGTTCGATGTGCATCGTAACAATTATTTTTGTTTGCATAGTACAGCCTTATAACGGAGACATTCACAATATTTTAGAATTGAGAACAGTTAAGATTTTTTTCACATCGCTCTCACCACGCCGAGCAGAAATTACGTGGCACCCGAGTCCCAGATTCTGCACCGTTTCTGCTCCAGCAGAGCACTGCATTCTAAAGTTGGCTCTTGATTTTGAGCGGTGTTTTCATCTGACCTGTTGTATTGCTTTTTATATAAAATTGTATCACATGAACGTGATATGAACGCTATTATAATTTGGGCGTTTCATTAAATAACGGGGTTTGTTAAGAGGATCGATATGCCGGGGTGCGAACCATCCATGACTTAGCCCGGCATTTCTAGAACATGCTGGACGAGAGAGCTGTGATATTCGATCATATGAAAAATGTGTTCCTCGACTGATAATTATCGGTTCGATTACTCAACCAATTGAAGACGATTTTATGGACTTGGTGACGTCATCGTCGAGTGGGGGTTTCCGACCTTCGTCAGGCCCAAGTGATTGGTCACGAAACTTTTGTGGGACAATTATCAAAATCATCCCAGCTCTACGCTGCGATCAACGCGCTGACCAGATGGAGGTGTACCCACACTTTACCTCGTCATAAACCATAAACCTCCCACTTACTGTATATAATTTTGTTTTAAAACACATGGCATTGGTTAATATAAACCCTATTGAACGTTTACGAAAAGAGCGGGTTTGATTCAAGAAAGCTTTCATGGTGATACAATGGAATGTACATAATTCTCTTTGGGGATTCACAAACGTTTTCTCTGCATTGTATAAAACAGCTGTGAAGTAACATGACTTTTCACACAGTTCTGTCATTGTTATCCGTTAAGTTTGCAAAACGAAATTCCACTATGACTCATAGCGGCCAATGTTAACCGTTTGACCGCATACCGATTTTTCAAAGCAAAAATCGCGTCAATTATTTTCAACTTTTCAAACATTGTAAAATGAGCGCTGTGGATTCGCTTTGAAAAATAGGTGCGTGGTAAATGTTCTTAAACAGCGGTCTACTTGCCTCTCTCTGTCTGCTATGAAAGATGTACGTCTTTTTAGTTGTGTAAATCACTGGGGATACTAACATTTTTATCACTGGGTGGTATAAAAATTCTTGCCTGTTCAGCATACGCACATTTCCTGGGCAGTGTAACATGTCACTGATCGCATCTCATCACCGTGGCCAGTCAAGACCTATCGGCAAAACAAAAACGCGATGAGCATTTTAGTAAGCTTTACAATTTACTGATTGTTACGACTCTTACCTCTTGTATCATGATGCACGTTTCGAATAAAGTTGTGTAAATGCTGGCTTCATGAAGCATCCGCATATATATACACGTGTTCTTCACTCGTTTTCACAAAAGTGTGAGGGCCGCCACACATTTGAAACCATTCCTGGGTTTGACAGCACGATGAGGGGATGATGGGGGGGGGGGGGGGTGTTTTCACATTTGCATATTGTCAGGCTCCGCACTAAAGGCCAACGAGGGCCAGCCAGTGACCCGCGGGGCCTTGCAACGAAGAGCACTGGCGCACACAACAATGGATTCTTGTTACATTTGTAGTGCAGTTCACTGACACTGCACTGTGTTGGCTCGGTATGGGGGCTGTAGGCGGGTGTCTGGCCGTGACAGATAGATAGATCGTTTATTGTCATTGTCACCAGTACAACGAAATTTAAAATGGTCACCAGTCAGGGCATCATTCATAAATTTAAATTAAATAAAACAAGAAAATAAAATTAAATGAAAGATAATCAATTTATACTATATATAAAAACAGCCCAAATATACCCACATACCCACATAAGGTTACATTTTGTCATTGCACATCTCTATTTCACAATCAATTGTAAACACTATTACTTAATAATTAATTAGCATTATTGAGTGTGGTGATCGCTGTAGGATAAAAGCTCTGTTTGAATCTTTTTGTCCTTGTTTTGACTGATCTGAATCGTCTGCCTGATGGCAACAGCTCAAACGGTGAGTGTCCAGGGTGAGAAGAGTCCTTTATAATGTTCTGTGCTTTTTTGATGCAACGTGAACTGTGTAGTTCTTCCAGTGTGGGGAGATGGCAGCCAGCGATCTTTTGGGCTGTGTTGATGACCCTCTGGAGCGCTCTCCTCTGAGCCACTGTGCAGCTGGTATACCATACACAGATGCAGTATGTAAGAATGCTCTCGATGGAGGCTCGGTAGAAGGACACCAGCAGTTTCTGTGTGATGTTATTATTCCTGAGAATTCTCAGGAAGTAAAGTCTCTGCTGGGCCTTTTTCAGAAGCTCAGTGCTGTTGGCGCTCCAGGTCAGGCCCTCCCCAATGTGGACTCCCAGGAAGCAGAAGTCTGCCACCCTCTCCACACAGTCCCCGCTGATGATTAGTGGTGGAGTGTCCGTTTTCTTTCTCCTGTAGTCTATTATGAGCTCCTTGGTCTTCGCGGTGTTAAGGAGCAGGTTGTTGCCCCTGCAGTATGCTGTCAGCCGCTCCACCTCGTCCCTGTAGGCAGACTCATCCCCCCCAGAGATAAGCCCCACCACTGTGGTGTCATCGGCAAACTTCACAATGGTGTTGCTATGGTGGACGGCGGCACAGTCATGTGTATAGACGGAGTGACACTGCGTGAACTAAACAGGACACGTGACCGGATAAAGGGGGGCCAAGGGCCCCAGGGGGGGTCACGTGGTTGGGGGCTTGGGCCTTCCCGAAGGATCGGGAAGGGGGGCGTGACCTGGGGTGGAGCCGGCCACGCCGGAGGTGTTGTCAGCGGGTGTGGACGGAGCGCTGGGATGTTCTGTGCTATACTGTTTTTTTCGGTAAAGTCGCGTTGGTAAAAAATAAATTAAATCACGACGTTTCGGAGGCAACACAAGCCTCCCTCATCAGGTGTAAAAAAGGCGCAGCAAAATAACTGTCGTGATGTAATTTATTTGGATTTTCTTTTTCTACCTACGCGACTTTACCGAAAAAAACAGTATGAATCCTTGCAGTCACGAAAAATTCAAATCTAGAATGTTCTGTGCTGTTCTGCTGGGTCAACTCTGGGATGAAGCCACCATATACGATCCTCGGTCTCCGATCCAGTAATTTCGTATCCCGTGTGTTAGCCAAGTTCGGAACGGTGGTTACCACCACCCTATGTCGTTATCCTGTGAATGTTAAGAGTTACCCATTCTGTTGAGATAATAGTGTTGCCTCCAAAGTTCCAGTGTGCGCCTGAATTTAACCCACTACGACACATTGCTGCTTGGGAGAGGGATAGATGTGTGGTCCAATCATTGCAAAGCCAGCCCAGCCCGATACCTAGCCCCCCCCACCACTCCACAATGCTGAGCGCAACGCCAACTCTACCGTGTCCAAGCGAGGGGTGGAGCCTAAATGGAAATGGGTGGGTCTGTGTGAGGGGGCGGGCCTAGAAAAGCAATGGTGGAGCCGAAAGGAGCAGATGGGGGGCCTACAAGATGTACGTAGAAGTAGTAACATAGAACTAGTAACGATTCTAGATTTGAAGCTTTCGTGACTGCAAGGATTCATATTCTTAGGTTTTTCATTTGTTATGTAGTCTAGCCGTAGTCTCAAGCCGCACCTTACCATAATAAAAAGTGGGCCGTTCCTGGCCCATCCCCCCCCCCTCAACCATTATATATACGGAGTAGTATCTCTTGTAATCTCTCATTTACGTGATACAGCAATCGTGCTGTGACGGTTCCACCTGAAGACGGAAGCTTGTGTTGCCCCCGAAACGTCGTGATTTTTATTTTATTATTTTTATTTTACTTTTATTAATTTTAATTTTTTACCTACGTGACTTTACCGAAAAAAACCTAAGAATAACTAGTAACGAATTGGCACGCTCTGTTTACGTGACAATCCCTACTAATTGGCTGTGTCGGGTTTAACGACACATTTACGCGATCTAACCCAAAAAGAAAACCTGCAAATTTCGATGTAAATCTTTCGTGACTGCATGGATTCATATTCTTGGTTCTTTCGGTAAAGTCACGTAGAAGGGAAATAATAAAATAATAAAAATTTCATTCTCATGACGTTTCGATTGCAACCCAAGCAATCATCAGGTGTGAAAAGCACAGCAAGATTTTTTTTTTAATGTGGCGGTTTTTTCACTTTTTTCAAATTTTCTTGTTGTGGTTTTCACACCTGATGATGATTGCTTGGGTTGCAATCGAAACGTGAGAATTGTATTGTTTTATTTGTATTATTTCCCTTCTACGTGACTTTACCGAAAGAACCAATAATAAGAAAACCTGTGCTTTGTACGTGGGGCTTCTTTCGCACCATACGTAACCCAACCATGCGAATCGTCCGAGCAGCCCTGTTGAATGTTGATCCACTTGGGCTACGCCCATCTCCAAACCTTTATAAAAAGTTTGCCTTTAGAGGCTGACCCCTTTTCCTGATGACGACCGCTTGTGTTGCGATCGAAACGTCGTGATATTTTTATCCACTTTTTTATACATTTTTCTATCTCTGTGACTTTACCGAAAGAACCACAGAATATGCATCCCTGTTGATTTAAGGATCATCTTTCGTATGGCTCATGATGACGTGTGAAATGACAGCGCCATCGCCTGTATTATCAGGGTGGCATATATATTAAGTATACAGTCCATGCTTATCCATAGTGGGGTTTACATCTGGGGGAAAGGTGAGAGGCGGTTCCACCAGGGAAGCCTCTGGAACGTTCGAGAAGGTTCCAAGGAGGGGCGTGGCCAGAGGCGTGGCTTAGTCCCGGGTAGGGGGATATAAGCGGGACACGGAGCAACGCAAAGAGGTCGGTGTTGAAGACTGAAGAGGAGCTCTGCCGAAGAGACGGAGACGCGTGGCTGTACCGAGCTTTTATTAATGGAGCATTGTGTCGTTATACGGTCTGTTCAGAACGGACGATAACAGCGTAGCTAATCGATACGTGCGACATGGCTTCACGGCTGCAGGTGGCGGCCACAGGCTTGCGAGTTCAACTTGATGTATCGTGGCCACGTCTCTCCACCATCGCGCCTTCTTCAAGTGGACGCTTTCCCACCTGATGACGGACGCTTGTGTTGTGCCCGAAACGTCGTGATTTATTTTATTTTTATACCTACGTGACTTTACCGAAAGAACCAAAGACGATAGGCCACTCGGCATTGCAGTGTACCACGACAATGCTGATGTTCGATTTGCGTGCGGAGACGTGGGTTTGACGGAAGGCGTGCAAGCAATGCATCGATTTCATTAAAATGTTTTTTTACGCAGGATTCGTCCATCAAATTATTGACATTTTAACGCGTGCAAATTATATGCTGTTACATGTTATATATTCGTCTGTGTCATTACCACGTTCCGACTCGGCTACTGTAATTTAACAATCACACTCACCGTCAAAATCATCCACGGACTCGTCTCACTCTACTCCCCTCCACACACTCATCTCACTCCACTCCCCTCCACGCACTCATCTCACTACACTCCCCTCCACGCGCTCATCTCACTCCACTCCCCTCCACACACTCATCTCACTCCCCTCCGCCCTCCACGCACTCATCTCACTCGACTCCCCTTCACGCACCCATCTCACTCTACTCACCTCCACCCACTCATCTCACTCTACTCCCTCCACACACTCATCTCACTCCACTCCCCTCCACACACTCATCTCACTCCACTCCCCTCCACGGACCCATCTCACTCCACTCCCCTCCACGCACCCATCTCACTCTACTCACCTCCACCCACTCATCTCACTCCACTCCCCTCCACACTCTCATCTCACTCCACTCCCCTCCACACTCTCATCTCACTCCACTCCCCTCCACGCGCTCATCTCACTCCACTCCCCTCCACACACTCATCTCACTCCACTCCCCTCCACACACCCATCTCACTCCACTCCCCTCCACACACCCATCTCACTCCACTCCCCTCCACACACCCATCTCACTCCACTCCCCTCCACGCACTCATCTCACTCTACTCCCCTCCACACTCATCTCACTCCACTCCCCTCCACGCACCCATCTCACTCTACTCCCCTCCACGCACCCATCTCACTCTACTCACCTCCACCCACTCATCTCACTCTACTCCCTCCACACACTCATCTCACTCCACTCCCCTCCACACACTCATCTCACTCCACTCCCCTCCACGGACCCATCTCACTCCACTCCCCTCCACGCACCCATCTCACTCTACTCACCTCCACCCACTCATCTCACTCCACTCCCCTCCACACACTCATCTCACTCCACTCCCCTCCACACACTCATCTCACTCCACTCCCCTCCACACACTCATCTCACTCCACTCCCCTCCACGCACTCATCTCACTCCACCCCCCTCCACGCACTCATCTCACTCCACTCCCCTCCACACACTCATCTCACTCCACTCCCCTCCACGCACTCATCTCACTCCACCCCCCTCCACACTCTCATCTCACTCCACCCCCCTCCACGCACTCATCTCACTCCACTCCCCTCCACGCACTCATCTCACTCCACCCCCCTCCACGCACTCATCTCACTCCACTCCCCTCCACACACTCATCTCACTCTACTCCCCTCCACACACTCATCTCA